CGAGGCATACCTACCAGATCAGTGATGGTGTTTCTCAAGCCTGTCCCACGTGACGACGCGACGATTCAGCTGAGAAAAACACGTCGTTCTTGAGGGAACACGACACGAAGCGTGAAGGTTGAGAAGGCTCTCAATGGAGGAGAGTGGCTAGTGGTCCAAGAAAAAAATGGCACACTTTGCAAGTACCTTCTGCCTTTTAATCCGCCGAACCACAGTAAAAAAGGCCCATGATTATAAATCTAGGAATTAATATAGACTTTAGAATATAATTAATATAAGTAATATATTTATTTATCTATTCTAGTCTAAGTTATATCTATATAGCCCGGCAAAGGTTTCATTGCCTACCTGCAGTGTGCCATTTATTTCTTGGTCTGGGTGAGTGGTCCTGGCTAGTCACCAGCGAATTTGCCTCTTGAGCCTTAGCATACCAATGGGATGGCCCGGATGCACTTTAAGCGCCCTGGGCAGGCCCCGCGTGAGCGCCTACAGCTCCCATCCTGGCCTCACTGCAGGGCTTGATGACTTGGTTGCAGACGTTGATTGGGCAGGCATAAACACTAGGCAGCATATTGCGGACTTGTTTGTTGCGAAAAGCAGAATCGCGAAAGATAATGGCGGGAGCATTGTTGGTTTGATGCGACTTTGGGCATGCCCACGAAGAAAAAGCTGACGGAGACACTTGGATATGCTACAACACGACACAATTCCATGGCGATTGTCACAACCCCGGACCAATTCAATTCTCCGCAGGTTCAAGCATCCAATCCAGATGGTGAGGGGGAACAACGCAACGGTGCGGGGCTGTGTATGCCGAGCTTGGCACAGCTTCCATGTGGGCGGCTAGAGCAATTAACTGACCACCTCGAAGCTGTGCTGGCGAGAGCTGTCCCGGGGTCGTATCCTTTTTCTTCCTTGTTCTCCTCCGTAATCTTGTTGTCGATCATTCTTCTCCTCGTCATCTTCTTCCTGTCCTGAAAGTGTCACAGCCGTTGTGTAGCAGGAGCCCAATCGCAATGGCTTCCCACTATTATCCTCGTAAGTCGCTCCTCCACGCCTCGTGCCCAAGCAAGTTCCGTTAGACTGACCATGATATCTTTACAGCTCCGCCCGGCGCGGCCCAGGGTTCGCCAGGTTCGTGCGAAGCTCGCAGTTGACTTTAGTTATAGCAAAGCTGACCTCGGGGTATCTCTGCCAGCTCCTCCTCCACCACAGCAGCAAGTCCAATATGCGCAACCTCCGACCTCTCCCCCAGCGAACCGGACGCAGTTCTACCCTCCTCCGCCTCAGACGCAAGCTGCGCATGCAATGAACTATCCTCCTCCTCCTCAACAATCACCATCTCCCAATGTTCCGCCATCGCCGTATCAGCCGACGCCGATTCACTACCCACCTCCTCCTCAGCAACAGCAGCAGCCGACGCCTTCTCCCCAGGCACAAGCTCACCCTCAGCAAGCAGCTGGCACGTACTATCCTCCTCCTCCCACCTCTGCGCCGGCGCAGCCACACCAAGTTCAGCAGCAGCCTCCTCAGCCCACGCCTCCGCAATCACAGGCCCAATATCCTCCCCCGCCAGGACAGCAGACCAACTTGGCCATGCGGCCCGCAGCAACTCCTCCTGTGGCGACTCCTCCTGTAGCAACTCCCCAGTCTCACCAACAGCACTTTGAACCACCACCTCCGGCCGCTGTGCCCCAGGCCGAGAGCAGTTCATACCCAACCGAGAAGGAGCAACAGCCACAGCCTCAACAGCAGCAACCGGCGCAAGTCGCGCCAGCAATGACCGTCTCGGGAGCACCTGCGGCGGGTCAGTTCGTTGGTGCCCAGGCCACGTCCGATGACGTCGGCACCTTCAACGGAGGTAGTTACCGAATCAGCCATCGAGATACCAACACCATCTTGACTATTCAGCTTGCCATGGGATGTCCGATGAGTGCCAAGCCAGGTGCCATGATAGCCATGTCTCCCAGTGTCACTCTGAAGGGACAGATCAAGTTCAGCGTGAAGAAGATGATCACTGGTGGTGAGATGTCAAGCTCGACATTTGTTGGTCCCGGTGAGGTGCTCCTCGCACCGCACAGTCTCGGTGATGTCACCACGCTTCGTCTGACCGGTCAGGAGAAGTGGTCAGTAGGCCACGACGCCTATCTTGCTTCGACACAGGGCGTCATCAAGGACTTTAAGCGACAGAGTATCAGCAAGGCCATGTTCAGTGGTGAAGGTCTGTGGGTGTACAAGATCAGTGGCACAGGTCTCATGTGGATTTCGAGTTTCGGTGCCATCATCAAGAAGACAGTAAGTTGTTCTCAGCAATACTGACGATGGACTGTCCCACTGACTCATTATGTCTATAGCTTGTCGATGGCGAGAAATACATTGTGGATAACGGTCACTTGATTGCCTGGAACACCAAGTATGTCATGGAGCGCGTGGCATCTGGTGGCATCATCAGTGGCATGGCTTCGGCGGAGGGTCTCGTCTGCAAGTTCACCGGACCCGGTACCATCTATATGCAGACACGAAACTCGGTAAGTGCTCGTCTCCGTGATCGCTTGAGGAGTCTGGTTACTAACAGTCACTGCAGAGGGCGTTTGCTGCCTACATGGGTGGACAACAGTATCAGGGTTAAGGGTGGGAGTGAACGGCGTAGGGACCAAGCGATCAAATCACGACTGTCATTTCTCAATGTGTACGAATTTGTTTATAGGTGTCTGGAAATTCTTGGTTTGGAGTTGCTTTCGATTTGGGTTAGTTGGATACCTCAAGTAGCTTGTTCATGCAGCGCCTCTGTCCATCTTGATTGCATCCTCCAAGTCCCCTGAGTTCTGTGTGGCTCGGCCATTGCTTTCTGAGTATGGCGTTTCCATCTTGGAAGCCACGGACTTCTATCTCCCTGTCTGGCTTCCGCATTGGTGGGTAGAGACATGCAGGAAGGGAGTTGAATGGTCGGCAGGTAGCAGGCGAGCAGGTCGCGATAAACAACGAGTACCAAGATGACGAGATTCCCCTCAGGAAGCTCGGAGAGTCTAGATACTGAAGGAAGGAAATGCCATGGCACTTCATGGTGCACCTTCTCCTTTGGTCACCGTAGTTGTAGCAGCAGCCCTGACGTGACTCCTTCCCACGACACTCCCAACTCACACCTGCTCCAACCCTTTGACATCATCATCTTGTCCTCACTTTTCTCCATCGATCACTTCCTCTCCCAGTAACTACACCATCACATCTTGGCCCTCGCTTTGAGCTTGCTAGCCCCCTTTTTTGGACCTTCTATCGCGCTACACGCAGCATTAAGGCATCTTGTCTAGAGCAAAAAGCCTGAAGCGGTTCCTCTTCCAGCGACCATTCCAAACCATTTCTGCCCCTTTGTTCTCGTCATCTTGATCCTTTTTGGAGGGTGTTCCAGTACCGCTGCTTCGAGACTCTCGATTTCCTATCCTCTCTTGGCAGGGGACATTCTATCCGGCGGGTGGTCTGGGAGTTGGTGAGTGCTTGATGCCGCTTCACAATGCTGCAAGAATCTTGACCGTTGGCTTGTACTAACACATCCTTTCACTTAAGACTCTTTTGCGCTTGGATGTCCACTGAATATCGCCTGACACACCAAGCCCTTGACGAAGAAATCGCGCCCGCGACGCGTCAGAAGCCCAGTTCACAGGTCTGCCAAACTACCTCAATACCACCACACTCGTCAAGATAAGAACACAGAGAAGACTCACAGAGCGCTTCAACAATTTCAAACCCTGGGAAATTTATCTGCCTAGGGCTAGTTTCGCAACCTCGATCATCAGTTCGGTCTTGGCACACAAGCTGCGACACCTCCTACCCTAAGGCTCGAACCATCACCACAACACTCGACAACAGATAACATTCTTGTATGGGCTGCCTTTCGATATTATTGCTAATTGAATTTTCCATTTGAAGCTGACTCTCAGGGTCTCTAGGTTTCAGTATGGTCTCTGAAAGAACCAGTCGGGCCCAGGCAGCCCGAGGCTTGATCAAGACAGAACCGTCTTCAATAGATGAATCTTCCTTCGACGAAACGTGCTCCGCTCCTGCTACATCCCGACGAGACCACTCTGGCGAATACAATGGTAGCTCAAAGTTTGCCGAAGCAATGAAAAATCCGGATTGGCGTCGTCGAGGAGAGGATCGAAGCTCACGACACCCCGACACGTCGAGTGCAGGAAACCCTCACACACAAACAGACCCTCACGCACCTGGAGACGAAATGCTGCACAGGAATGAAGAAATCGGCAAATACACGAGCCCCTGGGATCACATCAATCCTGTCAATCACTGGCGGTCAAGTCATGATTGCTCCGAGAGTGATATGGATGATAAAGACTTGGCGTCCACTGTCAGTCACGAAATGAATTTATCATCGACCGAAACGCACGAAACTGACGCCATAGACCGTGGCTTGTGTACTATAGTCCATCAGATGCCTTTGCCGGGCCTCTTTGCAAACGGTCGGCCTGTCAGCATTATCAAGGTCGCCCCCCTTTTCACAGGGGGCGGCGGACTGTGGCATCATGCCGGCGCCGGCAGTACCCCAATTGCATCTGTAGCTCAGATTCAACGCATTCACAGAGAATGCCACAAAATCATCAAGGAGAACGGTGATGATGGCGGCTTTAATGAGCCTCGGGCAGCAACAACTGGAGAAGCCCCTTTAAGGCCCCACCACTCTCCCGCAAGGCAGTCTTTTGAAAGCAAGGAAACGACCATTGATCAGTCCCAGAAAGGACAACTTGAAAGAGCAAGAAATGCTGTATTTCATGACCCCGCGGTTGCCAATATAGGAAGTGTTTACTACCAAACTCAATCAAACTCGAACACGGAAAAGCAAGCCCCCTTGCCCAAGGAAGCAAAGAAACAGGGAGAGCTCGAGACTCGACACGACGCTTTCCAAAGGATGCTGCAGAAACTTCACCGGGGAAAACGGCAGGAAGAAAAAATCACAAAGGAGGAACCTGACGGCCCATCGTATCGCAGTCATGTGTGTCCTTGGGGGCAAGCCCCTAGACAACGGCAATCTAAAACTGGAGAACGGCAGAAAGCCAACAGATCTGACTCAGGAATCAGCTCTTCGCATATTGAGGGCTCCCAGCGAAAAGAAAGCTCTCGAGATTCCGGTGTGTGTATGGATCCCGAGTCGCTCTCCAGGGGCTTGAACCCCAGAGCAAGAGAATTTCTTTCGTTCCCGGGGGCCATCCCAATGACAACAACAACCCAGAATCAAGATGACCAGAAATCTTCTCAAAAGCTCACAGGAGACTTGTTGGACATGGAGGGTGGCAAGGAGTGTGGAAAGAGAGATGAGTCGTTCTTCAACACCCTCCAGGCCATCAACAGGCCGGTCCCCCTCTTGCCGACTGACTATGGTGCCGAGAAGATGAACGGAACTTGTGTCCCTGGCTTCGGGACGATTCCGACCCTGAATATGAGCGCTACAGGGCCTGGGCCGTTGTCGGGGCTGCCACCATTCTCGTTCCCGTTGAGTACCTTCCAACCTCTGGGACTCAACGCAACGCCTGAGGTAGCATCTGGGACGATTCCTGGATTTGGGCTGGGCTTAGGCGCGGGAGGCTTCCCACCATCTGGTGGTTTGACGAATCAGTTGAACTTGGGGGCGATCAGTCCCGCGATGCAACCATTCTCTGTCTCACCAACTCCCTTTGTGAACAACCTTTCAGCTCTCCCGCTGCCGAGTGCTCCACCGGCGGCAACGGGGGGTGTGCATTCTCAACCACGTCCTGTGCCCAAGCCGGTAAATCCAAATCCGGGACAGCAGCAAGCATATGAGGCATGGATTGAGTGGCGCAAGGCAACCGAACCAGGCTATGCTTTGGAGTGCAAGAACCGGCAGCAACGCAGAGCCCAGAGAAGTTCGACAGTGCACATGGGACCAGCTCAGGGTCCCCACAACGCAGTACAAGTGGGTTGACTGACCGTCATTGAGACGTGACAGCTCGAAGTTTCTGATCTGGAAGCGAGCTGCTTGGAAGTTTGTCACACAGTTATCGAAGAAGGTTTTACTTGGAGAGCGGGACATGTCACAGGACATGTCAGGCGCTTGATACGGACGAATGAGGTTGAGAGCATTGTGCATGAGTGAGTGATGCTCCTTGACCTGCTTTATCGCCAGGCCGACTTGGACATGATTCAACAGAACCTATGGATGAGAAAGTCTATTACGTTACTGAACAGTTAATGGACGACTAGGCGCTGCCCGTGGGGCTGTAGCTGAGATTATTCGAAGTATAGATAAGTGTTGCTTGGCAAGTAGTCGACTATTGGTTGTTTGAGAGACTTGACAGTCATGGTCATGGATGTATGTTATAGAGCGTTGAGAGAGCCATATGGAGGCGCAGCAAGCAGATTTAGGCATCTCGAGTGCGGAAACAGACAGAGGAGAGTAGTATGGATAGCTATTAATGGGACAGAGTGCGCGTGAGGTGAGGCTCGATGAGAGAAGAGAATGTGCAAAGTGACAGGGGGTGAGAGGACCGTTTGGGCCCCCAAGACGCACTGTATATGTATGCAGATACCTAGCCTCCACTGTCTATTACGTAGTAGATTAAAAGTGCATCAAATCCTACGGTCCCTGTCCGTGGTATTGGATCTTGACAGTGTGACAGTGCCCCCAAAGTGTGTGCGGATGAATAGGTAGGTATCCAATGTGGCTTGCCAGGGGGTGGTTGGTGGGTATGAGGATTAAACTAAAATAAATAAATAAAAAGCGACTAAGACGGATACAGCCATATAGACGCGTAGAGAGACATCTTGGCAATGCTACCCAATAGAATCTCGCCGGTCCCGGACCGAAAATCACCATAGCCTGCCCCCCAAAGATCGAAGTGCATCGCCTGACCGGCAGGGGGGACTCATAAAAGGAGGGGGGGTGGGAATGGACTGGTCCTGCATCTCGAATGCAGCCCTCCTGCAGCGAGGGGAGAGAGATTGCTACGGTACAAAAGGTAAATGGTACATGGGGGAGGGCTTGGACTTTGGACTTGATGCGTGCGGCTGATCCATGGCTGAAGGAGGATTTTCTCACTGCATGAGCTGGGAATGAAAAGATGGGGGAAAAACAGGCCATAGACAGGGATGAAAGTGCAAAACGGGGCGACTTGAGGCTCTGCGGGTCATGACGGAACTGACGAGATCGAGATGAGCTCAACGTCTTTGTCGTTTCCGAGTTCCATTGGTTGTTGGTGTTGGTGTTGGCGGACCAATGAGTAATTGACAACTTGGTAAAATTCCCCCCTCTTCATAAACTCGTAAACGACATTGTCACCCTCTATCTGATCCGTATTCTACCGTAATGTAACGTATAACAAGACCCTCGTCTGAAATGCTCATGATGCCAGTGAATGAACCAAAAAAATGAATAATGCGACATCCCATAAAGAGGGCATGGAAATTTTTACATACAAGATAGCAAGGAAAAAGGAAATATATGCCCATTATAGAAAACTTCCATCGCAGGAACCAAAAAAAAAACTTCCATGCCGATGCGATGGTGGTATCATGACGACAAAAGAGAAGAACCCCAGTTTGAACGCCAGCAAATTATCCATCGTCACCAATTAATCATATCCCACCGTGCAAACCCTGATCCTAGCCCAAGGAGTCATCAATAAAAATCAAACAACAACGCCCAAATCTCCCTCGACGATGAGGGTCCTGATCCTGATGCTGCCGAGTCTTGATGCTTCTCGCATCACTCGTATGTGCACTCCTCGCCCTCGGCATCCTCGTCTAGAATCGTGTCAATGTTGGGAGCTTCGCAGAGCTCGACTCTAGTCGCCTTGAGAGGTTGGCATGTCTTCCATCCTCCCGTGGTCAACTCAATGACATTCACGCTCGGGCTTGACGCCCATTCTGTGAGTTCAACATCGTTGACACCGCCAAACAGCACCGCAGACTCCTCATTGCTGGCCGCACGCTCCAGGTGAATGGCAACGTGCTCCATGCGGTTGTCCCATGTCTTTGAGCCATTGTTGAACTCGAGGCGGCAGTTCTGGGCAGGACAACGCATAAACAGCGGCAGCTCGCAACGCTGTCGAACTGCTCGATTTTGCATCATCTTCTCCTGCGCCACCCAATCAGAAGGAAGGTTCTTGTCCTTCTCTGCCTTGACAATATGAGCAGGTGCGTGCATCCGACGGATGTGCTGCGTGAATAGGTCCTTTCGCCTAAAGATTCGACCATGGGTTGGCTCCTTGGAGTAGACGCCGCCCTCTGGAGTCGATGCATGTCCACATGCGCCATTGGTGCAGAGCCAGTAGTGGAGGTTCAGGTGCTGTGCCCAGACGTGACGTTTCCATTCGTTCTTGTTGGCAAACACCTTATCGCACCCCGCAAAGTGGAAGACGCAGGTGAAAGGACGCTTGTGGAGGGAGTTGATGTGTTTCTGGAGCGTTGCCTGATCTGTGAACCCGTTGCTGCAGTGTGGGCAGACTTTGGTGTTAACAGCAGTCGACGAGACCAGCCTGCGGGCCGTGGTAGCGCGAGATGAAGGCCTCGGCTTGGAAATCTTTGTTTTGCTGGCATTTGTACCAGAGCTCGATCGTCTTGGACGCCCACGGCGAGGGGTACTCTTGGGGGCTCGGGATGACTTGGCTCGGCGCGTGGGCTTGTAATCCTCGTCGTCGTCGTCATCGCGGTTGGTTGGGCTGGAAAGATCACTGCTGGACCCATCGTCGGCTTGTTGTGCATCTTCCGTGTCAGCGTCCTGGAGGTCGGGATAGGCCACGAATGTCTGAGCCTTGTTGTTAACCCCATAGGTTGGGTTGTTTAGCGAGGCGAAAAGATTGGGGTTGGGGTCATGATCATGATGGTCATGATAGAACGGAGTCGACGTGGAACTGTCCGAGCCGGCGCCTGGGTCGGTAAGGCCAGTGAGCATGAATCGAGGAGAGTGTGAATCTTGCGGGGCGATGTGAGGGGACGAGATGACATTGTTGGGAGGAGTAGATGGGCCTTGGGTGCTATCAACGTATGGGTCATTATCGCTGGTTGCCAACGATTGCTGGTATGAGAGCGGGGAGTCGTGTCGAAACTGTGCGCCAGGTGCAATCGACGAGACAATCGAAGAGTAGCCATAGGAGGAGTTTGGCATGCACGGTTGCGATTCGAACCACAAGGGTGGTTGTTGCTCCTGGAGGTATCGTTGCATGGTAGCAGGTTGGAGACGAGGATCAATGGGATCTTCGAAGTGGTGATTGCCGTAATGCGTGCTAGAGCTGGAATAGGGATGGTAATGATGTTCAGACGCAAGCCCATTGTTATCCCCAGGGAAGACGCTGTATTCCATGATGGCAGTGTTTCTTAGCTTGCAGCTAAAAAAGAATACACCAGACTGCCCAAGAGGGCAAGAGTGAGAGTAATAAAAAGAGAAATATAGAAAAATATTGGTTCAAGGCAGGGAAGTAGGAAGCATATGTACGCGTCGCACTGAGATCATGAAAAGAGTACGCGGGTATGACATATGAAGATGAGGCGTGTACTTGGTGATGGATGCGATGCGATGCAGGGCACAATGTGTGTTAGCCAGGCACCAAAAGACGACTGGCAGGGTTGAAAGGCCGGGATAAGAAAGGCTCGTTGAAGAAAAATGGAAGTGATGAACCGGGACTGTTTGCTGAACAGCAAGCCAAGTAAAAAAAGTTTCCATTGTGGGAGGGCGAGAGGAAGCTGATCTTTAAGGCGAGACCGACTACCCCAGTCTCGAGGTCGAAGACGCCTGTGAGGGCTGTTCTGCACATCCTCAAGCGTGGGAGCACTCAACTCCCTGAGCAGAGCCTCATCTTAGTTGTACCTTTGTACCTTCGTACTGGGTACCTCCCTGTCTACCTCGGGATTGGGAGTGGCGGGGCAAGCCACGACCGGCGAAGCGCTGATCTCTGCTGCCCTCCTTGTCAAGTGCAGCAATCCCAGGCCCTAGGCATCCTGGCACCCTGGTACTTGGCTTGCTCAAGGGTGGGCAGACGGGCCCCGTCCGTTCTGGACTGAAACAGTAGGTTAACCGGAGTTAGTGGACGTGGTTCGCGCCAAAGACCACTTCGGAACCTTGACATTGGATCAGTCAGTGCCCGAATTCGACTCGACGCCCCGGGTGGCTATCGCAATTCTTCTTGATTTCTCGGGGTCGGGGTGAGGCCGGGGTTCACTTGACCCCAAAGCACTTGCCTATTGTAGGCAGAACACTATCGCCTGCGAGTCCACCCAGGTGATGCCTTTTGATGGATGCTTGTTCTAAGACAGTGAGTAGTGACCTCTCGAGGGAAGCTCAGCTCTCGTGCGGCGCCAGCACAACCTGCACATTATGGATGGGCTTGATGGCCGTTACCTCGGGTATAGAGTTGTGTTGAATTAAACTCTGAAAGGCTGTCATCATGACAGATGAACCTCGAACGTTTGTCCTCGTGGGTATGCTGCCAGTCAAGGCACACAGGACCTTGACGCCACCGCCAGTGTGGCCCGCTCCGCCGTCCCGGCCCTTTGATTCTGAATGCCATGCACCCTCGTCTTCAGCGGTGACAACCACGTTGCCGCAGAACGGTGGCAGGACAGAATAAACGGTGGCTGTGTGGATACTTGAAGAGATTGAATCAGCCATGACCCGAGAGAGGAAATTCGCTAAGAGATGGACAATGACGTGCGAGCGAAGATGGACGGACGGACGTGACTCCGAGGGTAGATGGGGACGGTAGTGGCTTGAAACGGCTGTCAACAGGAACCATCTTGAGTCAGTTAGTTGCCCACCAAGATTAACCTCTTGACAGATACCGTCGATGGCTGGCATTCTTCAGGCTTGGGGCGCTCGTTCGCACAAAGAAACGTGGGTATCGAGGTGAGGTTTGAGGCTTGTTCAAGCCATTGTTGGCGCGTAGGTGCTTGGCGTCTGTCTAGACGCCGCTATGACCTCTCTGACGGCAACTATTGGTGATGTTTGGCTAGGCTATCCGCGCGCGATCCAGCTGGCAGTTGAGAGTCGACCACTCCCAGGACGCGGCAGGCCATGGGCCTCAACGGAAGACCCTCTGTCCGTCTCGCCCTACGGCCTGGGTGAGGTAGTCGATGACGAGAGTGACGGAATGGCAGATCCTAGTCTAGCGCAAAGGCCACGAGCGAAGAAGCCCACAGAGGTGGAGCAGCTAAGCTTAACGGTTGATGGAGAAGAGAGAGATGGAGAGATAGAGATGGAGATGCGGGATGGTGTTTGGTTGGTGAGCTGGAGTAATGTGGGCGGGATGGATGAGGCTAAGCCATTTCCGTTCCAATCAATGACAGCCGGGAGAGCAAGAACGGCTTGGGCTGTCTATTTCTAGGATCGGAGGAGGAGCGGCAGTCCGATCGAGCGTCTCGTTAGCGTATCGGTCGAATCGCATCGTGGTAGATGACAGGCGGGTAGGTCGGGCCTGGGAGTGGCCGCTGGAAGTTTTCTCATCTGAAATGGATGCCAGTTTCTTCTTGTCTCCCCCCCTCCCCTCCCCGAAGCTTGGGTTTGAGCCGGCCGTGATGGGATGGGATGGGTGAAGGGGTGAATGAAGGGGGTGATGGCCAAGCGAGAACGCGAGATTAGCGGTGCGCCAATCGCTGGAGCTGAGGAAGGACCCTTGGGCCCACTATGGAAAGACGGCAGCAGAAAAGGCAGACAAGGCGGGCTTGATTGGTGGGGAAAAGAGGAAAGTGGAACTCAAAGGACTCCGCTAACCCCTTTTCAGCCTCCTTCATTGGCCGAGTTCGACGCAGGTTTGATCCAGCCATTCCAAAAGAGGAATAGCCCCCACTTTAGGACGACACAACCAACAACATCTCGTCGCCCAGCTTGAGTGAAGAGCAACTGTACTCCGTACCAGAACCCTTTTTCTCCAATTGCACCCATCCATCCACCTGGCATCTGATACACACGGTCATCCCGTGCCTGAAGCTGTATCTCGAACGCCTTGATATTTGCTCTTTGCTCCATTCCTGGCTTCTTGTCATCCTCGGTGGCATCCAGTGACCCGTCTTGCTGTCAGGGGGCACCCATGTCAGCTATCGAGCTCAATCCCACCCCAACTCCGGTGCACGATGTTAGGCCAGCCGCCCATGCACCGCCGCCATTGATATCGCTAGATTGCTTGCTGATCATCAGAGACACTTTACACTGCCAAAGAGTGTCAAAATACCACCTTGTTGAAAAGGGAATTTCAAACTTCTGTCAGCAAGATTCCTCTTCGGCTTAGTACCCCCGACAAGACCTGTCCTCTCGAGACCTCGGCGCTGCATAAACTGGACGCATCTGGATGCCTCGCTTCGCTCTCAGGTAGTTATCAGATAGCGTATCGTGGTGGGGGCAACACATAATGTTAAATCTGCTTTGCCAACGAACGACAGCTGCTGCGGTCCCCCCCCAGGCTTGGCCTCCTCTGTTGGTACCTACTCCGTGGTCTGGATGTTCAACATCGTCTTGATCCTGGTCCTCCCAGACTAAAAGTCCCGTCTATCCGGTTCGTCCACTGACCTGTCGGATCGGCAAGGCCCCTGGAGACGTTCTAATCCACTTCGATTGGACAGTGGGAGGCACAGCTGAATCGCTGTGTAACACAACACATGGGCTGTGTGGCCCCCAACCGCCAACACCTTCTGTCAAGTCCCTGAGGCTTGTGGCTGCGGCAATGTTCGTCAACGCAAACCAGAACTATCTTGGCACTCAGCCGGCTGGCAGCCCTCGATGCACAATGCCAAAACTCGCCGGTTAGATGGGCTGAGCAAGGGGTATTGAATGCCCCGTCAGTGAGAACCCAACCCGCGCCACCAGGGACGAGGGGCTGAACAGAGACCCATCGTTGGCTGCAGATGGGGTCCTACCTGGTGCAAGTTCCCACACCGGGCATCTTTTCTCGTTTCCGGACACTCACGCCTTCTTCGGCAGATCATCGAGCTGAAAACACATCCAATGGTCGACGGCGAACTGGGGTGACGGCGATTGGCAGTGAATGTCACCTCATCCATGCCCTTGCTGTTTTCGGTAGTTTGACGCCTCCAATCTTGGGCTCCTGGTTCATTGCTATCCTGGGACAGTTCATCCTTCAGCCCTTTGAGGCGTCGCCCCTTGCTCACAAAGGAGATAACCGCGGGCCTTGACGAGTCTGGGGCACACTGGCATGCGACAGGAGGCCCACCACCAGTCTCAAGCCGTTGTTTGCTGGCCCGCCCTCCGTCCCCGTCATGTCTATCAACTGCTGTCAGAGACCCTCGACGTATCATTCATGTGCCCACAGTGCTCAATAAAAAGAAAAGATGCCCGCCAGACCGCGCCCGTGGTTGCGGTCCTCTGTGGCGGCGGGCCCCTTTCTTTTGCAGCTTGTCTCCTAATGACCCAACTAGGATCTCTCTGCGAGCAATACCTGACCTCACAGGATGACTAGGTCCTGAATGTCTTGGACCCTGTCGAACTGACGCACCAGAAAGCTTACATGGGTGTTTTATTGACATGCGTCCTGTCATTGTTCCCCTCATCGTCACCTTGATCGTCATAGCTACCACCCCTACCGTTGGTCATCGTCTCTATCCCCAGACCAGCTCGACTCGACCTGAAGACAGATCTTGCGTGTCTGAGACACGGGTGGGATAGGCTACTTCCCCAGACCTTTTCCTATAGGACCGTGAGCGCCAAAGTGCCTGATGTTCGCCGACCAAGTCTGGTCAGCCCCCTCCCTGGTCTATACTCGGCACTGCTAATGGTTCTTTACTTTTGAATTTGCTTTTTTCTTGGCCTGAATCCTAGCCCTTTGACGACACGACGGCATCGACAAGATGATAGTTTTCTGCTGTGCAACATGATCTATCATCAAGGGTCAGTCAGTTGACTCTGGTGATGAACTCGCAGTGTCCCAGCTCCCGGCCAACCACCAGGAATGCAGCTGCACTATGAAGTCCTCGCGGAAAGGATGGATGCAGGACGCTATCGATGACGGCGACTACCACCGGTTTGCCAGACCTGACCCCCAACCGTCAGCCCCTGTTCAGCTCATCTGCGTCAAGATCCTGATCCTGGGTGGCTTTCCACGATGCTGGCAAGAGCTTCAGGCTTGTCGATCACATCTCGGCACTTGGATTTCCTTCAACTCACACCGCCTTGGTTCCGCACCCCATCGCCAACTTCTGCTAGCGAGGGATCTCATCGACTAAATGTTTAGCCCAGCCGCTCGGGCGCTTCCTGACGACGGGATGTGACCACTGAGACAGACCCACGCGGCTATGAACTCGGTGACCAGACTGGGGAATTTGTCACCCTCCTGCGGCTCTTACAGGTGTAGAGGTTAGAATGGGGATGCAGCTGGTGTTCCTCCCACACAGCCCGCCAACCAGCCAGCCAACCAGCCAGCCAACCCGTTGCTCCTACTGATGTAGTTGCCCCTTTTGGGTTGGAGAATACGCGCCTTGGGCGCTTAGGACGCTGTACCTAGACATCTTGTGTCTTTTCGCGCGGTTCAAGCCGGAAGCTGGAATTCACTTGTGGCGTTGCATGTCTCTGCAGCCCGGGGCCCAGGTTTTCGTCATGCCGGCGCCTATGCCTGCCTGGCCTTTGCCAATCTCACCCACAGGAAATCATGACAGGAATCAAATCATAAGTGACATGTATAGTAACCAAGAGGCAAGGATCCCATCCACCCTCATCCTTGCCGCCGGCATTATCAGGTGCCGCTTCTGTAAGTCTGCATGTCGGGATAGCCTCAGCTGAAAGGACGAGGGGTGATACACACCGTCCATTATTAAATTACAAAGTTAATGGGTTTATCGCGTTGTAAAGCATGCGCTCCAATGTCAATGTTGTGTTTAAGAAAAAACCTGTATTCTTTGTTCCTGTGCCCAACACTCCATGTCTTTGCGAATGATTAACTAGGTACCCAAACAGCAGAGTGCCTGACTCAACAAGGGAAAAGAAGTCGTCGTAAATCATATAGTAGTAGAAAATACTCGCCCAAACCGCTGGCCTCCCCTTTTCTGTCTTCAACAATTGTATCCAAGCACGCCAGGTAGTAAGTAGGGTATATCATCCATCGTATATCTATCCATCCATATCATCAAAGCAGTAATCAAACCATCATTCAGCCTACGCGGCCACCCAGTTCTCGAACCAAACCAAAAACCCCAAGAAGAAAAGAAGAAGGAAAAAGAACTCGCCCTTGCTGGAAGATAGCGTTTAGCCCAAATCCAGTCGCTCGTTGTCGACCGACACCCTGTTGACCTTGCAACCCGTACAACGGTTGTGGTTGCATTCGAAGCAGCAGCCTGTTGTTCTGCTCGTATAGTTGTGGTATTGACTACAGTTGCACTGGTTGTTGAGGTTAGCTAGTTTCTATTTATGCGGCGAGGACAGGTCAAGACTCACGCAAACCCACATGTATTGAGTTGGGGTGCTCTTCTTGGCCTCCTCGGCAGTTGGAGTAGAGCTATTCGGGGACCTCAGGCCCGTGTTGGAAGTGGAAGACTGTGGTGGCGAGTCCGGCTCGGTCTCACGAGTTGGGCTGGCCTCGTTGTCCTTTGGATCTTCGTGCTTCCACTCGGAGATGCGCTTCAAGGGCTGATTGCGGCCACAGAAGTGATCATCGATGTGGTCACATCGCTTGGCCCATGCATTCTCGGCCTCGGTGATTTCAATGATCTCGACGCAGAAGCCGCACCAGAACTTGACATCGCAATGTCGTCCTTTCCGGCAGCAGTCGAGCTTCTCCTCGATCGCGGTCGAGTCCAAGATGGAGTGCTCCTTGGTAAGATGATTCCGGAAACTCTCGCGGCGGTGGCAGACCTTTCCGCACACCTCTGTCGAATTTGGCTTGGGATGGTCACAGTTCCACGTCTCGAGCTGGTAGTGTTGGATGCTTTCGTGTCTCTTCCAGTCATTCTTGCTGCCGAAAACCTTTCGACAGTTGGGGAACGTGCAACCGTACGGCTTAGAGTGCCTCTTAAGATGCTTCCTAAGGGTGCGTGTTAGTATCTAGATGCTGGATGGTCCAGGATGGCCGGTACTTACTTGAGCTCGCACTGCCTGGAGAACGTCTTTGGGCACTCTGGACATTGATGCATTTGATTCTGGCCCTTGCCGACGGCCGTATCTTCTTTTGAGGAATCATCCTTGGATCCAGCAGAGCCGTCTTTGACTTTGAGGTAGTTCTCGATCCAGTCTTTGGGAATCCTGTCCAGGACAGCCTTCACCGATTCCCGGCTTGGACTGGACGAGTCCTTTGAAGCTTGACCTCGTGGGGTTGACGTTGCAGCAGGGGTGTCATCTGCATCTGTCATCCTGATATCAGGTTGCTCGGGCTCTTGGTCTTCGGTATTCGAGCTTTGTGTGCCAGACACCCCGATATCCGATTGATTATCCCGGAATGTGTCTTCCATGGTCGTCGATGGAGCGGTCCCCTGTGGTTCAGATCCAAAAGCACTTTGACTACTTCCAGAAAGGTTCCGTTCACTGGGATTTGTGGATTCCCATCCAGTTGGGGAGAGGGAAATCCCGGTGTTCGAGGCCGTCCCGTTCAAGTAGCCTGGAGCAATGCAATACCCATCGCCTTCTTGGACAGGGGGGAGGTTCGATGAGTCTCGATCGAAGGAGTTTGCAGTCGAGATCCGGGGCAAGGACTGGTTGTTGGTCTGAAGCTGCGAGGCCCGACGCCTCGATTCTTCATTATACGGGTCGCGGAAAGCGGATGGCATGATGATTTCAGACGAGGGAGGGAGAGCGAACTGAGAGCCTTGGCTCGGCATGTAATCCATAGCAGATCCTCCCACGCCTTGGAGATCTTGCGATGGAGGTGGAGAGCTGGCCTGTTTAAGCAATAGTTGAGAGGATGAGATGGGGGGACTTGAACATACCGATAAACATACTCGCCGAGGTCATCATCAGCGCGGTACTGTTTTCCGTGGATGCGTGAGAGGTGGCACCGAAAATTATCTGCCCTCGGCCAGAGCTTGATCTTCTTCTTGGCGCAGCCATCAAGAGTACACACGAAAACACGACCGGCTACTGAGCGATCCCCATGGACGGTCCTCTTGTGTCTGTCGAGGTCGTTCCGAGAGGTGAAACCTTTGTCGCGCGAGCATCCATGGACATCGCAGTGGAAGGGTAGGGTATGCTTCAACACATGCTTTCTAATAAACGTGAGCCAGGCATTTTCTCATATCGAGAGTTGCCAGACATACCTCAACTCGGACCTAGTCCGACATTGTTTGGAGCATGTCGGACACGGGTGAAGCCGCTCTCCCTTGACTGGGGCTGTGGCAATGCTCGCAGGGGGGCGAGAGCGGTTCCATGGGAAGTGAGAATCATCGACTGCAGATTGGGTCTGAAGCTGGAGGGATTGTAGATTCCTCCCAACAAGCTGGGCCTCAGCGTTGGACTCGGGGTCGGGATCCTCGCCGCCATAATTGGAGATATTGGCATTGCTCTGGGTCAGACCGCTTCCATAGGTGGAATCTGGCAAGGTTTCACACTCGGATAGGGGGGGCTTATTCCGATAGCTCTGGCCAGGGAACTCGAAAGTGGAAGCGCCAAGGATTTGCTGGTGAGTTTGGCTATCGTTGGGAGGACCAGAGAAATCCAGAGGGTTCCAGGGACCATTACCCCAGTTCCAGTGAGGGGGTACTCCGGCCTGAGGTCTTGACTGAGGAAAGTGACTCAATATTGAGCTTTGTTGGGGCGCCTGGGAGGAGTTGTTGACACCTCTGCCCCGGCCCAGAGAAGGGTTGTAGTTGTTCATGGTAAAGATATTGTCCAGGGAAGCCCGGTATAGTTACAGGTGAGGAAGAGTATGGCTGTCCTGGTGTTGATCTCGTACTGTATACCGAGAAACAGTGGCCTTCATGGGCGAGGGAGGTTGCTAATATGAATGCGAGGTTGTAACAATGTTGGTAGGAACGAGGAAGCAAGAGTCGGTCAACTACTCATGCCTCGAGGTCAGCGTCTGGCTGGGACGTTGTCCGAGTTCAACCGGCCATCCCACAAGGGGTAAGGAGTAGGAGTAGGGGTAAGAAGAGGACTGAAGGGCATCAGAGGTGTTGTTTGAGGGACTGTTCGTTGGCTGTGCAAGGTATGGATTGGGGACTGAGAAGAAGAATGGATGGAGATGCAACAAAACAAAGGGCCGCAAGATGCAAAGACTGGACTGGGAAAGGGGTGTAGATGGTTTTCTGTATAGTAGTGTGAAGGGATATCATCTAGTCTCAAAGGCTCACGATGTTGCAAACAAACAAGCCAAGTGGTACGCAGGGTTTCCAAAAATTCAAGAATCAACAGAAAAAAGCATACAGGTAGCCCAAGACCGGAGGAGCGGGATCGCAGAGCCTCATCAGGTGCGGGGGTTGGTCTCGGGGAGGGATCCAGGTTCGACGACTAAGTGTGATGACGAGCGCTGTGCTGTGCTGTGCTGTGCTGTGCTATGCTAAGCTGTATAGACGGTTTGATGGTATAAGCTGTATGCTGAATGCTAGGCTGTCTGATGAGATGCAATAATGGCGCTTGAAGGCTGAGAGTCGAAAGGCGTCGAGTCAAGGTTCGCGGAGCGAGTATGAGGTCAGGGAGTTGAAGCTTCGCGTCACGGGCTACCTAAGCAAGGTACCTTGTTGGAAGCCAGTGAGAGATGACAAGAATGAACGAGGCAGGAAGTGGCGGACGAGCAAGCGGCAGAGGGTGAAAGAAAAGGAGAAAAAAAGGGGGGAGGGAGGGACAAGGACTCGATCCCAAGCAGCGATGAATCAGGTCCAAGATGAATGAGAATTGTTGGGCTCCATCCATGCACGACAGACAGTTGATGTTTCTTTGAGGGAGAATGGTTTTACGCTGGGCCGCCTCACTTTTGGAGGCGTTGCACCAAATCACGAAGCGTGTGTGGCCAATCAGGAGGCTAGTTTCAACCCAGGACGTTGTAAGGCAACCGCAAGGCAGAGAAGGACCATGGAAGCCTTTTTGCGAACCACGAGGATGCGGCTCAAACCATGAAAAATGCGGATTAGAGGGGAATCCATCACCGCATTTCATCCATCCATTTATTCATTTGATGAGTTGCTCGCACACTCGTGCATTTACTCCTCTTCAATTCCTCGTCCTCATTTGAGAAATCTCACGATGCTTGGGCGCAATGTGCAATCTTGGCACACCCATGAGCCACCACCACCACCACCAACTCAGTAATTCTCTCTCCAGAGCCCAAACCTCCGACGAGGCTCATCACAGCTGCGCCACCCATCCATCTTTTCCATCCACAGAATGCGACCCATTCCAACACAATTGTGGGAATTTCTCATCCCATCGTCTGTTGGAAATTCCGACCATGCACGAGGTCAAACTAACCTCCCTCCGCAACTGCGTACCTGGGCAGGTCATCATCTCCAGTCAGGAATCACCATCTTGCCGGCATCTGTCGCGGCAGCCCTCTGATTGGGCCTTTCTCTTCCCGTCTCTCATTGGCAACGTCTTATTGTCTTCTACCAGACTTCAAGTGCCCAGTGGCATCGACAACTGCATCATGCGTGTCTCTGATGGCCCTAATGTCATGCCATGGATGCGTATGCCATCTCACCTTGACAAAAGACATGGCATCTGGGTTGTTGTCTCTTCTCCCACCTGAACAAACCACGCTAACGGACACCTGCTTCTCTTAACCTCTCTTCATGTTCTTTTCTCTTTCCCCATCGACGCCTCCGACAAGCCTGAGTGGGATGCCTGCATCGGCTCCGTTCGTTAGCCAAACTTTTTCTGCATCCTCCCGTGGACTCATTCTTTGGAGACCGCCCCTGAGCCAACCTGGCTTTGTCTCGATATGGAGCATCTGTCGATCGCGCATGCATGTTCTTGTGCATGTCGAGTCGCGAACCGCACATGATTCCAGTGATTCATTTGCAGGAGATACCTACGCGTCAGTGTCATTGGACGTTTCTTGACAAACTGCTTGTGGTTTGCCTCATCGACATGAGCCCCAGTGGGAATACCCTTGAAGTCAAGGCCAAACATTCATCCCCAAGCACCATGCGGCTGGACATCCCTCATGCTCGTAAACACAGTACAGCACCCCAGCTGTCAGCTACCACACTCGACGCCATCGACAATCTCTATCAAACTGCCACAAACGACACTGTGTGACCTGAGCATCGAGTCCTTGGCCCCTCCTCCCCACGTTTCCCCCGGATATCTGCGTTCGTCCACCTGCAACATGCTCCTTTTAGAAGGACGTGGCTGGGAACGTGGCGACGAGAACTTCTACACTTGGAAAGTGATCTCATCGGACCAGAATACCGCATGTGCCACCAAAATTCCTTGCATGAGATGCTGGGTCAGCTCGGAGACTGTTGGATCTGTAACCATGCCGCCCCTCGCTGGTCGTTCAACGTGTGGGCGACAGCCACAGGAACCAGCAACTACCAGGACATACATGTCTTCAGAGAGATGGCTCTTGACGTCAAGGCAGACTTGCCACGGCTATAAAGGTCTCGAGTCCTGCCTCGTCAGACTCTTCTTGCTCATCCTCTTCAAGACAGAGTTTCTTCAATTCGCAACCGTACTACACTCTACGCTCTAGATTCAACCCTACCGCCATCTTCCATCGCTACATGCAAGGCTTTGAAGCACAATCAACCATCGTAGGCGACCAATACTCCCATACACAACTCCATCTGACCTCGATAACTCAGATACTCACCATCCAATCCCCTCGCACAATCCCCTTAACCACCCAACATGTGTGACTGGGAAGAGTTCTTGTTCCTATGCAACCATTCTACACTACGCCTCAAATCCTACTGCCACTTTGCTCGCAACGACCCGAATCATCAATGCTTCGGTGTCAAGGTTCTCCGGAACTCGTGGCGGCAGTGTGTGCCTTGCGATGACTGCGCAGCTGCGTGGCAGACCGTGGAAATGCAGGGGCAGCACAACTACCAGGGTGGCCAGCATATGCCCAGTCAGGGCTCTCAGCAGTCAAGTTCTTGAACATGTACATCACTTTGGTATTGGCGGTGGGAGGGAGGACCAGTGACCATGCTCTGAGCTGGTCTAGCTAAGGGGGGAGGCTATATCTGGGAGGTTGGCCGTTTACGGTTCATCGTGTGTTAGTTTATATATATGTACGTAGTTAAATCATTTCGGGGCTTGCTCTAGACCCGGCACATATGCGAGCCGTGCAGGCCCGTGAACCGGGTCGTCGAGGACCTCGTGCGGTTACACATCAACGATAGCTAGAAATCTTGCCACGGGGGTTTTCCCAATTGCAAACACGTAAGAACTGCACCATGTGGAACGGACCTGTCAGGTCTGGAGGATGTGTGTCCCCTGTTGTGCTTCGGCTCCCAAACATGGAGTCATCATCGGTGCCCAGAGGAGCCAGGAGCGCGGTGGTTGGCCCGCGGGAGGAGAGACCTGCGGCCCGGCCTGTGCTACGATGCCGGCATGAGAGAGGGATAGGAACCGTGTGGGAAACGGGTTTGCATTCAGCCTTTGAAAGGGGAAACGTCTGTGGTGCGTCCTCATCTGGGGTGTGACCTGGAGATGGGGGTTCCAAGCACAGACCGTGGGTTCCCAAGATGTTGTTTCGTATCAACATGATGGACCCCGTCGTCGTATGATGTCGAGTCCCAGTAAAAAAGCAATAGTACAAGTTGATAGATCCATACTAAAACAAGCATTGTAACTTTCCGTCAGCTCATATATCCCCTGGCCACCACACGGCGAGCAACAACGAGATCGAATATGCTCCAGGTGGCCTCACACTCCACAAGGCTCACAGCAGCGGAGAAATAAATCAGACGAGCTAGGTGACTGCACTGCACACGAGGCACCAAAAGGAAGGGGGGTCGGGCTCAAGTTTGGGAAAATCTACAGCTTGACTTGGACGCTCGGAGGCAACTCGGCTAGTCAATCCATGTTTGTGGCACCCTCCACGACGCCGACGACGTTGTACCGCTTGGAGAAGAACGTGACCCAGTCGTTGAGGACGCCCTTTTCCTTATCATCCAGATCCTGCCAGTCTGCCCGCGCGTCCTCGGGCTTGGTCGAGGTCTTTCCCAGCGCCCTCGAGGCGTCCTTGCCAGCAAAGACTAGAGTAGCAGTGTTGGTCAATTCGGATCATGTTGACTCATGGGATACGCAGAGAATTACCGTTGTATGATCCTCCTGGTTGGTAGGCCTTGTTGCCCGTGACATCGTAGACCTTGCCCTAATTCATTGCAGATGGTTCAGCCGTGTTCCTTGGAGAGGACGAGTTGTACGGTGCATGCGTCTTGACATACCTTGATGGCCACGTAGCACTTGCCTCCATCTCTACCTGTCATAGAATTAGCTCAAGTTCAAAATTTGCAGAAGGTTCAATGAGGTTTGGAGACTCCTCATCATGGCGGGGGACATGGCCATACCGTCAGCTGCAGCAAGCTCCTCCGGAGAGATAGGGTCGTCCTTGGGGGGATCCAAGTTCACGGGGGTCTTTGGCTCGAACTTTCCAGACATGGTGACGAGTGTAGAGAATGGACAAGATGATTGAGTGAATGGGTTGTGAGTGAGGACAAGAAGAGACAGAGAGTGTGAGAGCTTTAAAGATTCCGTCATATGCCATCGTTTGGGCTTTGCTTCCCCCAGGCCCCCACCAAAAGGATCCCTAACTACAGGGCTCCCCTCCCGCCTTCCAAGGTTCAAAGAGCCTCGGCCACAGCCTAACAGCGTCCGTTAGTGCTTGCCTGATTGGAAACGCACGGGCCAGCATTCGCCGAGGTTGGCCCGTGCGTAGCCGTCATGGCCAGATGGGATCCATTAGACGACTTGCAGCTTTTCATGGGGTTTACGACATCACCAAAAACCTCGCCCCTCATCATACGTGGGATTGCCCCCCGACCATCGTCTGTCCATTGCTTCCCATAGCAGGCCAGCCATGTCGGTCTCGGCCGTCGCCTCGCTGAGGCCCCTTCGTGGGAGATGCCTGCAGCATGCGACTTCGGGTCTGCTCTCCGTCCACCTCCGGTCGCGCTCCGTCAACCTCAGCTTCCGCGCCGTCATCCCGCTCCGGCCGGACCAACGCCGATTCCAGGCCAACGGCCCGAAGGCCAATGCTTCCGCCGATCGCTCGGACAAGGAGCTCGAGGCCAAGAGGAATCAGCTGCCCAAGAAGAGCCAACCGCCTCAGCCTCAGATCACCTTTCGCCAATTCGCCGGCCGTGCCCTTGGTGCTGGTCTGCGCAGTCTGGTCGTGGCCATGAGCCCGACTGGTATCAAGACAGCCTTTCGCCAGAGTCCCGGAGCTACAACGCTGGGATTGTTCATGTAAGTGACTTGTATGCCCCCATCCTTATGCGCCACTGACGGGAAATAAAGACTCGGCGTCGTCTCCGTCATCGCCGGCTACACTGTCTACCTCTACTTTACCTACTTCTACCATTACCAATTCACGAGATACCCCAAGCCCATCGCCAACTCCCTGCGACGCGCCCTGTACTATACCAACATTAGCCCCGATGCCGAGCTCGCTCTCAAATACTACAAGCGCGCCATGGAGCAGTGCGCCGAGCATGGCCTGGATCCCTTCTCGGACGAGGTTCTCGGCATTCGTCTGCAGACTGCCCACTGGCTCCAGCTCATCACAAACTATACCGGATCTCTGCAGGTTTTAGAGGGCGTTTTGGCCGACTGCAACAAGTGGATTAGTGTAATGGAGCACTCTGTTAAGGATGGCCGAGTCAGCGATGAGGGCAGACTCCTCAAGGCACCATCGGAGACCACTGATGCCGCTGAGGCCTCTGTCGCCGCTAATAATGCTACCCCTACTACTGAATCAGAGAACAAGGACGAAGACTTTGTGCCGGAGAGCCTCTGGCATAAGCGTCAACGACTGCTCACCAAGACTGTTGGAATCGCTATCAAGCTCGGAGAGCTCTACGCCGACGAACATGTCCTCGAACCCGACAACTCGCAAAAGCACCTCATCTGGGCCGTCGAGACCGCCCTCAAGGAGTACCGCCGCCGCAAGGACGACGGCGTGAAGCCTGGTGAGGGCGACTGGCTCAACCCGGAACAGATGGGCGGTGCCATGGAGTCCTTGGGCCGCGACTACGAGCGCAAGTCCCAGTTCCACCTCGCTATCCCCCTCTTCTTCCAGGCCCTTCGCCTCTGCGAGGTCCCCTGCCACCGCGCCGTCATCATGAACAACCTAGCCGCTAGCTTCGCCCAGCACCCCATCTTCGTCCCCATCAGCGCCGGCGAGACGTCGGATGTGATCAAGGAGCTGCACGACCCGGCCATGCCTGCCACCAGGAAGGATTGCCTCGAGGCCGCTCAAAACTGGGCCAAGAATGCATACGTCCATGCCAAGGATGTTCAGAGCAGCGAGCGTACACCCGAGTGTGATGAGGCTTGTGCCGTCGCCCTCTGCAACTGGGGCGACGTTGCTGCTATGCTAGGCAACCATGACCTAGCTCGCAAGAAGTACAATCAGTGTATTGACATGGCGACCAAGCTTGACTATCCTCAAGCCGCCAAGCAGGCTCGTTCTGGGCTGGCCAAGCTGACCTCAAAATAAGACCAATGTGTGCGTGTATAAAAGGGGCACCGTCTCACTTGTATTGGATATATCAATTGGGGGTGGATGAGACAGGAACTAACGCCATGAATGTAATGGGCAAAACCAATGTAAAATAGAAAGAGTTGCACAATTGCATCATATCCAACTCAATGTCGAACTTCACAGCTTATATAGAACAAACGTGAGGCTATACTGCAGCTCAAGTGTTGATATCATGAATACATTGTCTGCATAGCAGTTCTAGAGACAAATGCCAGCTTTCTGCTGGTCAATCCTAGGCTCCCAGCCATTCTCTACTGCTTTCTTGAATACCATAACAATCCCAGACCTAAGCTCCTTGCAAATGATGAATCCCTTTCCATACCGATGCGCCCGACTCCGTGATGCCATTCCCATCCTGTCCGAACCCGGGTCCCAGTTTCAACGTCTACGCCATCTTCTGCCTCTTTGGTTCAGCCCCATTCACTGTAGAAGCGCCTGTTGATCCACTGCCGTTCGCAGGGAGATCAGCCAAAGGAGGTCTTCCGTCAGCAGGCGCCGGTCTTTTGATGGTTGGTGGTCGGTACGATCCTCGGTTAGCCAGGGGACTACCCGAGCCACCTGGTGCACCAATTCGCCGAGCATGATCTAGCGAGGGGTTCACGACATTTCCCCGGGAGCTCTGAGAGCTCGGCATGGATGGGCGCACAGGGGTGAAGCTGCTGGTGTTGGAATGTGGCGCACGGCTCGCCTGGCTGCTAGATGGGGCAACATGCTGACCGTTCCTCGCGACAGGCTTAGATGAGTTGTGGTCGATACCAGGAGTCTTTCGAATGGACGGGCTTTCTGCTTTGGGATTGAAGGCTTGTTGGCCATGAGGCACCGCAAGGCGAGCATTAGTCGATCCTTGCAGCGAAGACTCGGGGAGCTGGTTGACGGCCTTGGCAGAGAAGAACCCTACAGTTTCGGGCATGTTTTGAGGCGCATTTGGCGGTGGCCGAGGGTTTCCGTTCTGGTTTGGAGTTGTGCGACCACTAACTCCAGGCTGGGGACGATTTGAAAATCCGGCTGGACCTCCGTTCGAGGGGTCTGGGCGTTGGTGCCCTTGGTTTGGCGTCTGCGGTGGGCGGCTCGCGGGTCCAGTAGAAATCGACCTGTTAGGTTGCTGCTGGATTCGTTGAGGCGCATTGTTTGACGTCGAATTTGACGTCGAGTTCGATGTCGAGTTCGATGTTGAACCCTGGCCCAAGATCGATGTGGCCAACATGATTTCGTCCGGGTGCCCATCTTCTGGCACGCAGAAGTCGGCCTCGTCGAGCTCTACAGATATTCAGCCTCGATTTCCTCAAATCCATCCGAGGACAGTATACCTCCGAGATAATCATCAAATGACTCCGACATGGGGAGCGCGGGCTCGGTCTTGACGATTGTCGTCGTAGGAGCCGCAGGGGGGGGAGGCGCCACGGGCTCAATCTTTGGAACGTCGCGCTTGATAAAGTCTGAGTGACGATGAAGATTGTCTTGGTCAAACTTCTTGACCGGCTCAGCCTTCACTCTGGTGACTTGCTTCACATAGTCCTTGTCGTAGATGCAGTTACCCAGGACGTTGCCAAAGCTTCTCAGGGCGCGCTTCAGTCCATCGGTTGTACCCTCCTTCTTAGCCTTTTCAAAGGCCATCGCCTTTCCCTTTGCATTTTCAATCGATCCGTATCCGATGTCTTCGTGGTATGTGCCATCTCGTAGAGTAACTCGCACAATGACAGACAGACCGATGCTGACACGCTGCGTCTGGGGGTTCTCGTCGGCGAAATCGACCTGAATATTTTGGATCGAGGATGACCATCCGTTGAAGCCAAATACCTCGTTTGCCAACGTGATGCACTTTTCGGCGGTGAGGTAGTGGACCTTGGTGCCACCAGGACCTGCACGAGCAGAGATGTATTCTGGACCAAGCTGCTTATCAAGCTTCGCAGCAATGGTAGCAATGTCCTTTGCGGCCCATTCTGAAACTCGCTGACGCGGCTCCTCGAAGGGATTCGTCACGGTCGTGTGTTGATCGCCCGGACTGGAAGCCTAGTTAGTTGGAGAGTCAAAGGGGAACGTGACACGTCCAGCGACGTACGCAGGCATGGTGAATGCTTCAGCACTTGACGCAGTTTATTTCGACATGAAGAAGGAGAAGAAAGCAAGTCAAGCAGGTTTGGAATCAAAGACCAAAAACTGAGGCCCAGGCAGAGACGGGGATGTAGCGTAGCTGATGAAGCTTCACCAGTTGAGGCGGGCTTGATATTGATTGATGACGACGCGTTCACGGCCAGGCAGTCGCGCGTTTAGTGCGAGATGACGGGAGAGCACGTGACTCGGAGCAGGCAGCGACCCACTCTCTTTTCAGACCGGATCGTCGGGAGCCCCCGCGCTTGCCCCACCTGTTTCTCGATCTCTTTGTTAGAGACGCCCTTGACGCTTTGGCTTGGGTTGTAAGTGGAATAGCATTAGGAGGGTCTAGAATGATTGGATTACCCTCATCACGCGGCCATATCTTGTGACTTTTGAACAGTATTGGGGATGGCAGATGCCTTGGTATGCTACCATGAGCAAGAGACCTACAGCTATGGAAAGACACTTAGCGACAAAACTTGAACAAACACTTACAAGACAAGTACGCTTATGAGCATTTCGCAATGTTCTAGAAACATACTGTTTCGTATCAAACCGGACGAATGATACCTCAAATGCCAGGCTCAAAAATCGATCATGTAGATTGCCGGAGTTTGAGTCACGGCAACATCGCGCATGACCGTCTCCATATGGCCGTTTCAACGATCGCCGATCTCTACAAACAGCCCCATATGTCTTTTCAGAGTCTAGAGCGGTGAAGACAGTTGGGTAGCGATCCTCGTTTGCCCATTGTTTAGGCTTAAAAGTTCATTTATAGGTGAAAATTTGCTGTGACTACAGATGCGGACTCGGCCTCGATGGCAGCAGCATCAATATGGTCTACACTATGCAGTTATCAATCACGATCTACAGTAAGCAGCCGAGAGGAAACTTGAAATGTCAGCCAAACTCTTTGTATTACCGCAAGTTATTATATATGTTTATAAATCAAGTTTACAGTTAACTCGCAATTTGGTAGTTGTGAAGGTATGGCCATACTGCACGGGGGGTGCTAACAAGCAACTAAAGGGTGAGACTATTGCGTTACTTCCATCAGATGGGACCATTTCCTGTGTCGGCACTTGGATGATACGGATCAAGGCACAAGACCAACAACGCGGTCTCCCTAGGTAGTTATTGGAGGGACATAAAATATCCGTGCAAGGCAAATCTCCGGACGTCACATCAAAGGATTGTCACTCGACCATAGTCACAGGCAACGTAACACGATGACGCGGAAGTAAGCCAATTATCCAAGTTGATTGCCAAAGCTGTCAATTATCTCACGCTCATGAGCAAAGTTTAACCCGCTTCAGGCGAGCTACAGTCTGCCACAATCGTCGCTTGATAAGATCACCTAGGCGATGGCCAGGTAAACTAAAGCAAGTCTACATACAGGAATACGCGGTCTGTCCGCGCTGTCAAGATTGGTAGAATAAAAGAAAATCCCAGCACTGATCCCTGCTATACGCGAGTGAAGGAGGAGAGGGATGTCAAAAAATGCACGCAAAAAAACGCCACCAAACCCTGCCGTGACGAAAAGGGATGCCTCAAGTCTATGCCAGCCCCATGATGCCTAAAGAAAGTCGTCGTAAAGATGCGGTCGTAATATGTGCAATGATGACTCGTCCGGTGCGCCGCGATATGCAATCATGATTTCGGTCTGTTGGGCAAAGAGCTGCCCTACCAAGGTCCAACCCGAACAGGCGCTCCGTACGTACCAGACATAAGCTGGTTGAGGATGGAATTGGGGTCAGAGGCACCAGCCGGTCCGGAACTCGTGCTGGGGTCCAACCAGCCAACACTGGTAGTCATGGCACTGATGGCGTAGGCAAGCCGGCCGCCAGATTGCTCGTTGTGTCGTGACAAAATCTGATCCCATCCTCCGCTGTGCAAGTTGATGCCTCCAGCCCTCTTGCCCGCCTCGTTAATAACAAGAGCCCAGGCCTTAGAGATCTCCTCGTATGCGTTTTCCTTGTGGTGTCGATATGTTTGGGGTTCCCAGTCAGGGAGCTTGTGGATAATGTTGGTGGCCTCGTTCAAGAACTCGAGCGACTTTGTGGGCTGAGTCTCGTTTGGTGGCAGAAACTGGGGAGTGAAGTCGGAGAGTGCGTCAATCAAGGCCACAAGAGGCTCTTTGACTCGGTAGTAGGTGTATTCGGGACTCGTCTCGCCATAGGGAACTGCGTTACTCAGTTTCTCCATATAACCCTGCAAAACCACAACGACCGACGAAACGGACGGGCGAGGGGCTCCAGTTTCAACTTCATGGCCAATGTCGGGATGCCTTTCGCATATCCTCTCCAGGACAGTCCTCAACTGGGCAGTATCGAGAGTCTCAAGGAGTCGAGGGAGAGCAAGGGGTCGACCAATAACTTCGTTGGCACGGATCTTTTTCGAAGGGCGGGCGAGAGGTCGGGAAGAGATAGTGGGCGAACTTCGAGGAGACATGGTCTCATCACCATCTTCGTCGGCTTTTCGCTTTCGGGTGGCCATGTTGTGAAAGGGTGATACTGGGGTGAGGTTAGTGGCAAAGAAGAACAAGGGGTAAACAACACCAAGGGAGATGCAGCGAAAGGGATGAAAAGAACAACTCACAGGATCGCTGGGGAGAGAGATGATGGTTTTCGTGCTGATGAGGGAAAACCGGAGGTTGGGGCGAGAGCAAGACGTTCATAGTGAATAGAGCTGTTGTTCACCGAACAGTACTCGACCAGCAAGTTCGGCGTTGACCGACGAGGGAATAAACCACAGAAGACAACAGGAATCACGCTAGTCGAGCGTTTCTAGAGATAAAGGTGGTTTGATGGTGACGAATATGTTTGTTTGTAGGTAGGTCGTCGATTGCTGAGGCGGCAGCAGGAATCTCACAAAGTGGAGAGTTTCGTCGAAAGGCAAAAGTTACTGTCGGCGGCGATAATCAGGGGTCCAGCAAGGCGAATCAAAGGTCAAAGGAAATGATGCCGAGGGCCGGTATATGTTCTTGAGAGGTGTCGAGCTCGGGCTCGCAGAGATTGAAGTCGAGGCGAGAGAGGACGATCGGGGGGTTGATGGCGTGAAGGAGGGTTTTGTGAGGTTGTGAGGTGGAGGAAGATGAAGGACCCGCGGACGGGGATTGGAGTCGGGGTTGGGTTGGGCTTTGAGGGAGTTCCCAGGCTGTTTTTGGTTCCGTTGTCTGGGGCTAGCGTTTTTTCCGCCTGGGCTGGCCTGGGCTGGGCTTGGGTCACGGGCGCCTCATTCGCTAATAAGGGCCTGCCCGTCCTGGTTGGTGTCCTGGACCACAGGTTGAGGCCCACAGGCCACCAGTGAGAAGCTGGCAAGCCAGCCAGGCAAGGTGCCTAGGCTGCCCGGGGCATCGCTAGCCGCACGTGACAACTCGGCGCCGTTCAGAGCGGCCATGGCGTCGTACGGAGCCGCTACAGTGGGAGAGTGGGTGATTAGTGGGGGTTAACCTTGTCGAGGTATCATCCAGGCGGACTCTTTTTCATGCGTCGGAGCATTCAATTACATCTCTGCCATGACTCTCTTCCTCAACAACAACCAAGATGGGTTCTCCCCTCCCTGACAAAGCACCTGTCAGAGTCGCGGAAGCATACCGCCTCGTAAGCCACCTCGCACACGTGTCAGCGGAATGGCTGGCGGGTCTCTCGGCCTGCCGGTCCCGGCTGTCATTTGCTGGCGCCGCAGTGCAAATTACGGAGGCACGCACCCTGAGGAGCTGAGGGAGCAGCTGGGCCCGGGCCGCTCGACGGGGTCGGGGTCCTTGCCCAATTCGTACCCCGTCCGGCGGTCTTTCCGGCCGGCGACGGTCTCGGCGTCCTGCATCTGCACTCTTTTGTCGGCGCCGAAACAGCAATTTTTTTTTAGGCGGCATCCGGCGGACCTACTCCTATACTCGGAGGGTTTCTTTCTCTGTTCTCAAAAGTGCTTTGCGACAATTTATTACTAGGGCCTTCTGAGCCACGCCAGATGTGACGAAAGTGCATCTGGGCTGGTGGCCACCATCGAAAGCTCCGGGTCAAGATGGGCCAATCCACGGGCGTCTCTCCTTGGTCACCCGCATGTCCAAGGAACCGACGATGTGGCTAGCAACGCCCATTCAATGCAACGACGTAAGCGCTGGCCATTGAGAGCTAGGCCAAACACTTGGGCGGTCACGAAGAGCTGGGCCTTTTTCCATTCAATCCCAGCTTCTTTTTTTGCCTTGAAGAAATCGCCTCCGAAATACGCAGTTCTTTCAGCCAAAATCGTCTACTTGCAGAGGCGTCAGTCTTTGACAGCTACTCTTCAATTTCCGCCCTCGACGCCAAGACTCTCCTGGCGTGAACCTTTGAGCCTAGGAAACCACCACGTTTTATCGTATGCAATGTTACGTTGTACCTTGGGTTGGGAGTCAAAGCACAGAGAATTTCCAGGGGCATCCCTCATTTAGACACGTGCGGTGAATTGAATCATGGGCAATTCCCTGTTTGTTCATTGTCAAGTTTCAGACGGTCGATCCAGCTGCCACCTTGTCGCAGGTAGAGATGCCTCACATCCCTGCTCTACAGAGTAATTGTCCCGACATTCTGACTCATCGCCAAGGAATCAAGAATATGCGTTGGCAATTCAGCATCTGCAAGTCGTCAGCGAATTTTCTCTCCTGAGTCCATCAACGTCTTTTTAGTTCCAGGAGGTTGGTATGTGATGTGTCTTCAATATCCGACATCTCATAAAACGGCATTTGCATGCCCCGCACCCGGAGGAATTGCAGGGGTCTAGCCTCCGGAGGATGGACCCACCTTTGCCGATAGGCTCTTTTCTTATCTTATCGCGGGAGAAAGACAGGAAATTTTCCTGCGCCTCGACGCTCGTGTTGCTTCGTCCAGATCAACTAGTCCAATCAGCACAAAATGGCGACAAAAGAGAAGAAGGAGAAAAAGTCCAAGTCCAAGGCCGAGAAGCCTGCAAAGGCCGCCAAGGCGGAAAAGACTACCGAGGTCGAAAAGACCGAATCGACCCAAGATGTCGACATGGCCGACACCGAGCCCACGTCCTCTTCGAAGCGCAAGATCGACATCGAGGAGATCGAGGTCGACGTGACCGCCCCCGAGCCGCCGTCCAAGCGCGCCCGCCGTGCGCTCAAGAAGGGCAAGGCCCTCCCTGCGAAGCAAGATAGCGACGATGAGAGAAAGGGCGACAAGGAAGGCAAGGACAAGAAGGATGCAACCCGGTCAGAGCATGGCGTCTGGATTGGCAACCTGCCCTTCTACCTCACGTCTGTCGATCTGCGCAAGTGGCTCGTGGATAACTCTGGAGAGGTCATCTCTGATGAGATGATTACCCGAGTCAAGCTTCCGACCACCAAAGAGCCCGGCCGTGACAAGAACGCCAAGCCCACCAACAAGGGTTTCGCCTACGTCGACTTTACAGACATCGGCCCCAAGGTCGCCGCGATTGCGCTCTCCGAGACAGAAATTGGCGGACGAAAGCTCCTCATCAAGGACGCCAAGTCCTTCGAGGGCCGCCCCAAGAAGGAGCCCGAGGCTGCTGCCGATGAAGACACCCCCGAGGGCAAGGCGCAGGCCGCCAAGGAGCAGAAGAAGGAGGTCAACGCCAGCCGCAAGATTTTCGTGGGCAACATGGGCTTCAAGACAACCGACGACGACCTGCGCAGGAACTTTGAAAAGTGCGGCGAGATCGAATGGGTCAAGGTGGCTACCTTTGAGGACACGGGCAAGTGTAAGGGCTTTGGCTGGGTAAAGTTCAGCGAGCCCGAGGCTGCGGCGTGGGCTGTCAAGGGCTTCGTCAAGATCAAGGAGGAGGTTGAAACAGAGGAGGACTTCAAGGACGATGAAGACAGGGACGAGGACCGAAAGAAGCAGTACAAGATGCGCAAGTGGTGGGTCAACAGGATGCTGGGCCGCGAACTCAAGATCGAGCTGGCCGAGGACGACCAGGCGCGGTACAAGAAGCGGTTCGGCAAGGACAGAAAGGCGAACGATAACAACAGCAACCCTCGTGGCCGACCTCCGCCCAGGAGGTACGACCAGGCAGACAGCGAGGCCAAGAGCGAGGGTGGAGTGAAGCCCCTCAAGGAGGCCGAGGACATTAATGTCGCTAGGTTGACAGGCGCAGTGGTGAAGCACACAGGCACCAAGATGACTTTTGACTAGAGAAGCCAGTGGGAGGGAGGGGTCCCAATTCACGAGTTCAAGATACCCCAGTTTCAAGTCCACCATCCGATGCATGAGTGAATGAATTGAGATCACATGCGATACGAGTCTGTGGGGTCGTCTTTGGAATCACGGCCGTTGCTCCACTGCCCGACTCCGGGTGGCCGGAGGTCCGGTGCGGATCCGACTTCCCCGCATTCTGTTCCGTCATAGTCATTTTAGGATATAACATCATCATACCTATAGAGCATTTGATTGACTTCTCCAGCTCCGTTTCATATCGCAAGTCATCATGTATGAATCTCAGGTCACGTTTGTCATGGACACTATCTGTCCTTGGTATGAGCTCACCCATTGTCGCACTCTTAGCTCATCACTGACTCTGTCTCAGGACATATCTCGCAAAGAAGAGGCATGAAACTCACATATATAATCAATACATAGTCATCTAACTCTTCTTCAGACTCGATCACGCCCTCGGCCAAGTCCGTTCCTCGTCATCATCCGCCATCTCTTTCACCCTCCATTTCTCCCCCTTCCAGCCAAGCCCCAATCGCGAGGCCACAATCCCAGATCGTGCCGCACATGCCCTCCACCACCAGCACAATGACAACGCAGCCGCTCAGCAGCTCTTTCAGGCACACATGCTCTCCCTGGCTGAACCGCTAAACATCCCCCTTGGCTTCACAGGGCCGACGGGTAACTCCTTTCCCGCTCACCGGGTCATCCAGCAGGTTCAGGAGGCCTACGGCACAGACATTGCAAATAAGCTTGTGGATGCAGTTTTTAGACTGTATTTTGCTGAGGTGAGACATCCTGGTGAGGATGAGATGTTGATCGAGGCTTGTGTTGAAGCTGGAGTGGATGAGAAGGAGGCCAAGAGTCTCGTGGAGGACAAGGAGAAAGGGGAGAGAGACACTAAAGAGAAGATTAGAAGTATAGGGATGGATATTGATTCGGTGCCGACTGTGATTATAGAAGGGCGTAGGAGGGACTTGACTCTGACAGGGCTTAAAGAAGTCGCCGACTATGTCAAGGCATTCGGGACCATCACCAAGGAGAGCACTTAGCAGAGACTTCAAATCAGGCAAGAGTCATGAGTGAGAATAAGTTAACATATACATTTCTCGTTTCTTGGAAAGAATGTCGTTACGTAAATACATGAAGGGATAAAAAAAGGACATGATCAGTCATATCTCATTACAAGTCATAGCCACTCTCTCCAAGACGTCCATCTCATAGCCAGCGAAGCAACACTGCTCATGATCGGCTAAACATCAGAGGTACCAGCACACTCCGACTTTCCAGCCCTCTTCGGTCTTCCATGACCATGCCGGGGCCAAAGGCGGTGCCCAGATCCCGGCCGGCCAGGAGACGGCACGCATTGGCCTCGCCTACTCGCGGCGGCTTCTTGCCGTGGCAGAACTCGCGGCTGAGTTTTGTCAAGACGGCAGCCTTGGCCTTTTGCAGGGCGCTCGTCCGCGCGACGGCGTCCTCGGCGAGTAGCCGATGCGCCTCCTCCTTTTCAATGTTGCGCTGGACGGGAGAGATTCCCTCGTCTGGATCTGTGGCGGCGCTCCGCCTCTTAGAAGGGTCGTAGGTGGTGGGCTGGAGGAGGACAGGTTGGGGATCTGAGGTGAGGATGGGAGCTGTGATGTTGGGGACGGGAGTAGAGGGCCGGAAGTCATCTTCTTCCAGTGATGGACGAAGTCTAGGTTTAGATAGCTTGTTGCGACCTGAGGGAGAGGGCATTTCAGGGGCATCGTCATCTTCACTGCGATGCTTTCTTCTGCGGCGACGGGACCGCTTCTTTCTGAGTTTCGTGCTGAAGCTCACTTCTGATTCTGTAGGTGGCACTTGAAGAGGAGCAATGAACTCGTCTTCGAGGGGCAGCTCTTCAATGACATCCCTCTCCAGGTCGTCAAAGGGGAAACCACCGAGGTCCATATCCAATAGCTCGCGGCTGGCAGCAGCCACTGCGGCACTGGGACTTGGTAGATGCTCAGAGCTAGGGCTTGTGACAAGACTGCACTCTGATGGAGTAGCCAAGCTGCTGCTACGAGACCAGGCATCATCGGTATCAATAGGCGCCAGGACGTCATCCCAGTTACCATTGTCGGCGAGGACGACACTCTCAAAGTCAAACTCCTTGACTGTTGGACGATGAGAGTTGATGAGGGTGCTCAACTGAGGCGCATTCATAGTAGCATTCCGAATTTGAAGGTAGCGCAACTTGGGGAAGTGAATAGGTCCTCTTGCTGGGGGAGTAGGTAGTGGTGACATTGGGGATGTGACTTCGTGGAAGAGCTTCCTTGAGGCGCGAGGAGGTGCAAACAAGGGGTCAGCGGCCAGTGCAACTGGGCAAGGTCCCTTGCGGCCAATCCACTTAAAGGCAAACTTCTCAAGGTTGGGGGCAAAGGTGCGGATGTACTCGTCGATGATCTTGAGGTGATCACGACCAGGGGAAGGTCCGTAAAAGTCCCAGGAGTCAACAGAGATGGAGAGCTTGCGAATCTGTCTCCAGCGACGACCAGCTGAAGGAACAGTTCCAAAACCGTTGAGATGACGGAGGTAGTTGAAGGCGGCGGGGTGAAGAGAGGAGAGTGAGAGCTTGTTCAACTTGGTCAAGGGGGCACGCTCAAGTGAGATACGCAAGCTGATGAGAGCATAGTCGACAATATCGCGGCGGTATCGCTCTCTTGGGTCTTGTCCGGGACATCGGATAGTGAGATGGCGCATGTTGGTCAAGTTGCGCATGGCATTGATGAAGCTGGGTACATTGGTGGCGGCGTGGAAGAGAGGAGGGTACTGTTGGGTGAGGATATCGCCAAGCTCAGCGTTGGCGTACTTGGGTCGGGACAGGACAGATCCCATGCTCGTGTGAGGCGTGTAGAGAAAGCATATCTCATTACCAGAAACAGGATGAATGAGAGGAGGGAGGAATGTGGCGTCTGAGTGAGGTAGGTAGAAGGTGAGATGCTCGATGTGATGGCCGATACGAGCGAGGGCGGCAACGCGGGCAGGTCTGGTAAAGGTCGAAGCTGAGAAGGAGACGTGGACACGAGTGAAGAGACGCTTGGTGACGAGGTTGCAGCAGGCAGATGAAGCCTGGCGGACAGCACAGATGTCCTCGGTTGAGAGGTTAGGGAGAAGGGAGTCCTTGATGTGATCGCTCCTCAAGAGGGCGAGGAAGAGCTGTTCTGTTGATGAAGACATGTTGATAGCATGTCGTGGGGGAAGAAGGCTCTAATGTTGATGTCGGTTGGCAATGATATGTTGTTGTTGTCGTATGTTGTCCCAGTGTTTACGTATCGATCCTCGTCTTGGGAATTGCCGGAGATGAGTATGATAATGATGTAGAATGGTGTGATATCAAGTTGAAGAGCCGAACAGGCACAAGATGATTTGAGGCTTGACTCTTAATATGTAGACGTACGTCCTTTATCCGTTGCCAGCTCTCAATTGAGCAGGACGAACAGGAAGGTAGTCGTCGCAAGAGACTCGATGAGATGATTGTCAAGTATAGAAGCAATGTAGCAGTGTCAAAGAAGTTGAAAGCAAAGTGTCTTGAGTTGTAAAATGCTACATCAAAGAGAGAAAGGGTCCGGCTCACGAGCGCCGGGTCCGGGCGGCCGAGATATATCACCTCATGTCCCTTTCTCAGATCAGCCTCGCCTTTTTCCCCTTTAGACCTGCAAGATCCAAGAGGAGGGGCGAGCGAACCGAGGGGAATGGAGAAAAATTGGGATTTCCCACCAGCCATGGACTGCTCTAGTGCCGAAGCCCTCCTGCATTGGTGCCATCGCGAGAGGACCGCCTTCGCCGGGCGACGACTGGTCCGCGGTGACTCAGGCTGCAAAGATGCATGTCGCGGGACCCCGGCAGCAGATGCGGCTTGGTGGAGCACGAGGATCCCGTCGAGGTTCGAGCTTCAAGGTTGAGGACATCGCGTTGGAGGGCTGACCGACCGCGCGCTGCGCTCGGATACTGATTGGCCAGCTCACCGTGGTGCCTCGCGATGGCTTCTCCATGGAAGAAAGCATGGCGGTGTACTCGAGGGATACCCGCAGACCCCGTCTCTTCGCTGCAGTCGAGTCTCGTGGCATGGTGATTGATGGCCACTCGGAAGACCTTCTGCAGGCTCTTTTCCTGCAGAACCCACGTCACCACGCTGTCCTCTTGCCTCCTGCCGCAGAGTCTGCTCCGTCCTCGGTCAGGCCTCCCGGATCATCACCAAGTATCTCACAAGTATCTTTCGGATGTTTATCGATGGATCTAGGTTGCAGCGCTTCCCCGAGTGTGGGGCCGTCACCCACCCGCGCCTTGGAAACATGCATATGGCATCTAACCAATCATTTCCGTGTCCAACGACGCGACAGACGCGTTGTTTCAACCGAGTTTGTCGCGCTGTGATAGGCTCATTCGTCTACTGTAGACTTCCAACCGCGATAGACGAGTTTACGTCCAAAGCGGGAATCGAGTCCTCTTGCGGGACGGGACGAAACGAAACAAACCGAGACGAAGAGAGGGGATGCTACGCTCATTCTTCTAGGCTAGGAGAAACTTCTGTTCTCGTTTTGGAATCTGTCAGGTCCCGATGCTGCTGAATCTGGGACTGTCAAGTAGACACTTGGCTCCATACGACATGAGCTCCCTCCCATCGAAACCAAGCCCATGGTCGATCAAGCGCAAATCATGCTCGTTCGCCTCGCAATCTAGATGCAAAATGCGCGACACACAGACAAGTCCATTCGGATGCGTCACGTCGCGCCACAAATGATATCCATTCATTCGCCTCCATCCATCCATCCATGTCCGTCCCATCACATCGCCTATCCTTGCTCTGCCCTGCCCTACCCAGCAGCAACTAGACGACTGATGGATCATCCACTAACCAACCAACCCTTCTTCCCAAATCGAGCAGATGGATGAAAAAGCCGCAAGACTAAAACATGCATCCCCATTAAGCTTCTTACCAACGTCCCTGGCTTTCTCTGTCCTAGACTTCTCCACCTGAGTGGCACAGCCCCCAGTGGCTCTTCGCTCTCCGTCCTCGAAACGCGTCGAAACATCTCGTGGCACGCTATGTTAGTTCCTTTTTCTTCCTGGAAGAATTTCTACCTAGGCTTTCCGTCGATGGGGCGCTGTGCTTGGTCCCCTTGTCACACGGTCCCAGTCATGATGCCTCGAGCCTTGTCCACTGCCTTATACCCAGATGGCTCTTGTTCATCGGCAGATCTTGTCTCATGTCGCCGGAGGGCTCCGAAGGTCTGGGTTGGTAGTTTTCTTCTTGCAAGAGTTGCCTGATCCTCAAAGCCTTTGCACTCGCAAGACAAGCAACATGCAGTGTACCATCCAAGCGAGGCCCAAGACTTCTCCTTTCTCCTGCTGTTGCCCACCCTCAGACTCTCCCAGGACAAATTTTGCACATGACCCTTGTCATGGGGCCGCATGGGACAGAGACACATGCCATGTGCCGAGTGGTATCAATGAATGTAAATTCCTCGTCTATGTTGTCCCCCCCTCAACTCGCTGTCCGTGGTATATATGCAAAGTTTAGCAACATCATGCTTGCCTCGAGTTATTGGATCTGAACCGAGCCGCCTTGACACAATCCAGGCCTGTGTTGTTTCAGAAAGATTTTGTTGATTGCCGTCGCCACATTCAAAGTCTGTCCGCAGATGGTGGGTATCAAAGTCGCCAGCCCCAGTCATCCATCCAGTCCAGACGAGTCCCGCTTCGGCGAACGTCTCGGCTCTGGTTTACCAACCAACTCCCGTAGCACCCTCTGCTGCGAGGAAACCGTTTCGTCGCCTCATCTTCTCCTGCTCCGCACCAACCATTTCCCTCATGCTTGATCCCCAATTAGAATGGGGCTCTATTTTCCCCTGCCCCTACCTCGTCCACGACCTCCTCGTCCACCGCGTCCGCCACGCCCACCTCCTCTAGGCCTTGGCCCCTGAGGCGCGTTGCCGTTGTTTGGCTGTCCACGGGAGCCCTGCTGAGGTGGTGGGGGTACATTGCGGTAGTCCCTTGTGGGAGGTTTTCGAGGAAGCGATGGGGGAGGCGCTGATGGCTGCGATCCGTACGACGAAACGCCTGGCGGAGGAGGTTGCCCGTAAGCTGTTCGAGGAGGGGGCGGTCCGGGCGGAGGAGGTCCAGGAGGGAGGGGAGGCTGGACAGGCGCTCCGTTCTGTCTTCCACCTCTCCCCGGTCTGCCATTTTGGGAGTTCCCGTTCTGCGGCATCTGAATATTACTGGCCATCCGAATCTGTCCCAGTTGTGTTTTCTGCTTGATAGGCCTGTGGCCCAGAAACTCTACATCCGAGTCATCACTTTCTGAGTAGTGAACGTTTGTCGTCCGCGCAGCGTGGCCGCGGATCTTGAGCTCGGGAGCGCGCGTCGTCTTGCCGGTTTGCAGCCCTCCCGTTGTATCCTCGATAGCAGCCAAGCCACATTCAGGGTCAATGTATTGGTCGCGGTTCTCGATCGACCAGGTAGGGTTGGGCACAATATCGCGACGGCGCTTGCAATCAGCGGAGAAGTGCATATCACTCCCACAAAGGGAGCAGGACGCTGGGATAGACACAACCTTCTTGATCGTCAACGCGTCTGGGTGAAACGATCGCCATAGCAGTGTGCATTGTTCCTCAAGGTGGTCTGCCGAACTGCACACTGCACAAGCAAGTCCTTCCTCCTTGGTCAATGCCAGCTTCTCGGTGCAATGAGCTGCCCCATGGCCCAGTTGGCGGCACTTGTCGCATCTTTGCCTCGTGGGGCAGCAGATGTCTGCATGTTCCAGACTTCCACAAGATGAGCATATTAGCGTTGGGCAACTGGGTGCCAGGTGCGTACTCCGACCGCAGAGCAGACACATCTGAGTAGGATCAGTGGCCGAGGGGAAATATATGCGCTGCTGCTCCAACGCTTCCGATCCAGAGGGGACGTTTCTCTGGGTATCGATTGGCGCATTGTGCTTGTCTGAAGACTCCGATGTTTGCTCTGCGCCAGATGTTTGGTTGCCATTTGCCAAACCTTTGTCCAAGGATGACGACGCCCCTTCGTTTGTGTTTGACGCGGCCTTTCCGCCCTGCTCCTGTTTGCTCAGGGTAGGTTCGTATTCGACTTCGCTCTCAGAGTCGGCCGCATCTCCGTCGTCCGCAATCTCGCCCTCGCTGATACTAGAAGTGCGCGAGTGTTTGCGTTTGCGGCCAGTTTCTTTGTTGGGCTGTTTAGCCAGCCAACTGTCAAGTGTTCCCTGCGAAGCTCCCTTAGGCTTCGATGGCTGGAGGCTCTCCAGAAGAGCAGCTAACTCGCCTGTGCTCTCAAACTCTTTCGCTACCTGCTTAGCACTTCGTCGCTTCTTGGGCTTCAAGCCCGCATGGTGCTCGATATAGTTAGCATACGCGGCTTGGGTCAAGGAAGACGAGATAGCATGACTCTGTTCAGAGTTGAGGTCTTGAAAAGCCCGCACCCAGTCCTTGAACCGATTCAGCCAGGAGCCCTGTTTGCCAGTGAGACCAGGAACCTGGAAACTAAGCTCGCCTCGCTTATAGACAGGTATTTCACCTGAACCCTCAAGCGCCGACTCACTCGGTGTACTTGCTTGCGTGGAGGACTTGTTTGTGCCTGTTGAACCTCCCGTAGGCTTCGATTGTTCAGTCTGGTCTCCAAGTTGTGGAGATGAGTTCCCTTTTGAAGATGCCTTGTCTGCATCGCGAGAACCCTCCTCACCGACTTGGGCATCTTGGGCATCCTCTGCTTTCACTCCTGCAGGTTCTGATCCGGCAGTTGCTGTCAGATCAGTCTTCAAGCGTTTCGACTCGGGAGCCGTTGTCGACGGTGAATCGTGAGCATCGTCCAGTGACCTCTTTTTGCTGACCGGGGCAGCCTCATCGTCGCTAGACATGAGGTTGATGACCTCACCGGGATCAAATTCTTTAGATGGCATCTTCGGGGAAGCAAAGGTGTATGTGAGTCTAATGCAGCAAAGGAATGAATCCCCAACAATCAAGCTCGGGGCAAAGGGTCAGAGGTTTGCAAGAAAGGTTTGTCAAGCTCCTCAAACACTCTAAAATCCCAAAGCCTGAGGCTTCAGCCTCGGAGAAACGGCTCCAACCGCAAACTCTCCAACGGCTCCGCCAGATGAAGGTTCTGCACAGCTAACACCTAATAAGGTCTCAATCAACAATGTCCAGACAGAAATAGAAGGGTGAGTCGAGTGTATTTATCCCAGTCAAGTCTCGCCGAGAGGTGGTGCGATGGATCCAGGCATCCACGGCCTGCACTGGCACATGGGAAACAAGGAGCTTCGAGCTGAGATAGGTTGGTAGGTAGGGGTACATGGATGCACGTACCCGTGATGCTGCCGGATGTGAAGCCACGATGCTTGGCTTGCGAGGGCATGTGCTGTGCTGAGGCGGCGAGTGAATAGATGAACGCGTCTAATAGCCTTCCAATGCTTGGTCCAGTGAATTGAGAATCGAGCGCTGCAAATGAAGTGCAGTGCGCTGAACAGGATTTGTTGCGTCAGGGGAGAGATGCGAAATGAAAGCTGTGATGCTATCGATAACGATGAAAGACTCGACCCTGCGTTCCACAGGCCAGCCAATCAGAGGAGGCTACGAGGGTGTCTGCAATTGGCAGTTGCTCACTCGGGCACTATCCCCGAGGATTACCCAGCAACAATCCCTTGCTCTCACTCGATGCCCCCGGCCCTGTATGCTACGACAAGCATGCGACGTCAGCCGATATTCAAGATCTCGCGCCGACTTTGTACGTGCACAAACGTGGCAGTGACTGATGCATCAGACGTCTATTGTTTGATGCCCTCGTCAGCTCAACGGAGACAAGAAGCGGCCAAGCACAAGTCGGTCAGAGTGAGACCCATGCTTTTCTTACGTTGACATGCCATGCCACGCCATCTTGCCGTATTCTGTTTCCCATCTCGGGTAGCCAGAGATTTTTATATCACATTGCAATCTCGCGGCGAAATCTGGGCTCAATCTCTTCAGATCTCGCTTCCCTGCTTTTGCTCCCTTTCCACCGGTTCATCACCGTTAGTGAATCATTGCTTCCTAAAAGCTTAGCCCAGTCTTCGCATCGTTCAGTCTCCAGATTTGCAGAACCACCATCTGGTCTAGAATCTCTGGCATATCGACCCAGCATCGACAGCCTTTCTAGTGCTTCGTCGTTCGTTCCATTCGCCGATCACGTGTGCCCCAGAACATCTGGAGCAGTCTGGAGCGCTTGGCGTCCTAGGCCAGATATCACTTGACTCGCCTTGCTCTGGGACAATTCGGCCACTGTTGCCCTCTCCGGACTTTGAGACGGGAGAATCCCTGCTCTGGTTGAACGGCTGGTCTTATTTCTGGACACCACGAGACGGCAATCCCAACACCCGACACTCACGGAGTACTGTACCTGGGTCCGTCCTGCGGTCCCCTAGAATCCCCTGAAGCTTCCCCTGGGCCAACCCCACGGACTAACTATCCTCCAGCGAGCTACCGCTGCAAGTTCGCCCGCTACGCCCGCTAATTTCAGCAACCCCTCCCCACCCGGAGCCTGGTTCGTGCATTGCGTGTCCCTTCTGGTGGTCCGGCTCCTTTCATGAGAGTGGCTCCTCCTGGCTCAAAGCTTCCACCTGCTCCTGTTCCTGCTCCAGCTCACGGGGGGGACTTTGGATCTTCCGTTTCGGCTTCCCGTCTCGTCCTTGCCTCGACTTCATTCGTGTCCTTCTTTTCAGCGTCCATTCTTCTCTTCGTTAACAACCCAACCCGTCGTGTCCGACCTCTCTGTCTCATTATCTAGCATCACCATAAGCATCTCGCCTCTCACTTTGCCCTTGCATCCGCTTTGCATTCGCCCCCGGACACTTTTCCGTGACATCATTAGGGGGAGCCGCTGCAGCTGCATCCTCATCTTTCTCTCAACTCAATCCAGAAAAACCGCCTCCGTCTGCCATCATTGACAAAGGCAGTGCAAAGCCCGAGCATCCGCCTCGTTGCGAGCCGTCCTCTTCCGCCGATCCCTCCCCTCCTCCCGCCTGCTTCGCTTCACGCTTTTGCGTCGAACCCCGTCAATACCGCCAAGCTGTCTTCCCCAATCTTACTTCAGCGCACCGTCTCCTACGACGCGGGTACCAAACCTCCGCGCCGGGGCAGCATCTACCTCAACATGCCCGACCGAAACGCCGCGGCCGGTGCTCGGAGGAGAAGGTCCAGCAGCATCCTCCAGGTCTACCATGAGCCTCCCGAGACTCTCGAGCAGATTAGCGACCAGGCTTCCCTCCCTAACCTCAACGCCAACTGGACCAACGCCAAAGGTATACCTTGCCTCCACATTCTGCACTTTGCTTCACTTCGGGCCGCACGCTGACATGAACTTTGCTGACAGGTGCCTGGACGATCCACATTGTCCTGATCGCCTGCTGCAAAATTATCTACGATGCTCTTCCCGGCGTCTCCCAAGAGACCTCGTGGACACTGACCAACATGACCTACATGTTTGGCTCCTACATCATGTTCCACCACGTCCGTGGCGTTCCTTTCGACTTCAACAGCGGCGCCTTTGACAACCTCAATATGTGGGAGCAAATCGACAATGGCGCCCAGTACACGCCTACCAAAAAATTCCTTTTGGGCGTTCCCATTGCCTTGTTCCTCGTCAGCACTCATTACACACATTACGACTTGACTTATTTCATTATTAACTTGCTTGCTGTCTTGGGTGTTGTCATTCCCAAGTTGCCGTTTGTGCGTCCCGCCGTCTCAACCCTTTCCCAGGCGTCTGCCTGCATAACCCAGACTGCCTACCAAACTCTATTTTTACATGCTAACGTGTCAACAGAGTCATCGGATGCGATTCGGACTCTTCTCGGGTGTTCCGGAGGATTAGGAAACGGATGAGGAAGCACAATGACTACTACTACGGACCAAACTTGCTCGACTGGCGTCAGGGGCGTTAGGGAAAGATTGTGTTTGACAAGAAAGAGATTGGGAGATATCACAAAATACAGAATGGGGATGGAGAATGTGCATATTAATAGCGAGCATTATCTGTTACGCGACTGATGGCGCTAGGTACGGTCGTTCAGGGGTAGCTTCGGAGACAGCAATTGGATTTGGCATCAGCAACATTTTCTCAACATTTTCCCCTTCGCACGACCGGTTACGCATGAACTCGCACGCAATACGTTCATGGCGCTTGCTGCGGCTGTTGTCATGACGGATGATATGGTGTTGTTCTCGGCGAATTTCGCAACGTATGGATCATTCAGTCGGGACCAAAAGGGTTGAACAAGGTTGACGGGAGCGCCATAGAAGTCTATGGGCCTATCCGGCTCTTTGTAATCCTACCTGGCGTGAACTGAGAAGTTGAGGCCGAAAATCATGACGAATTGTGGTGCGTTCAAGGGAAGCTCGACTCCCCCCTCCCTGGTTCAACAGCAGCAAGTGGCTAGAGCCCAAGCAGCATTGGAAACTGGTTGCTCAACTATTAGGACACGATGAAAGTTATAAGAAGAGGCCAAATTGGCTACTTCTCCTTGAGGGTTCCTCAGCTTTCTTCAAGGATAGAGCCGAGACAACGCTCTCTCCTTTGGTGCACTCAGTTCCCCTCCTTATTAAGTTAGTTTTTCATCTACATCACTATCCTACATCGATATCCACTATGAGGTGCAACGTCTTGGTCCTCTTGGCCTTGACGAATGGCCTTGCTCAGGCCGCTAGCATTGGCCGGCACGAAGGTTCCGTCGGGGCCCATGGGCATACACATGGCAGCTCCTCCGACCCAGTCGTCAAGGCCGCCGTCAAAGCTGAAGCTGATGGCAACCAACTTGAGCACGAGGCCATAGCCCGAATCAAGAACAAGGGCAAGGACCAACGTGTTGATCTTCTCATCAAGAACCCTGCGGGAAAAGGCGAGACTCTGACGGCGGAAGTGTTTACCCCCGGCACCAACCAGAAGGACCAGAAGGAGTCAGACCCAAGGGGCCAAGAGACATCCCCGGATGGGGATGCGGTTGAAGAGGCAAAGGCAGCTGCTCAGCGCGAACAGCGTGAGATTGAGTGGAGGCAAAGACTTGACAAGGAGGTCGCCGAAGCACGCAAGAAGGTTGACGAGCGTGAGCGTGAGCGTGAACGCAAGGAAAAGGAAAAGAAAGAAAAGGAGAAGGAAAAGAACAAGGACAAGGACCACAAGAAGGGCGAACATGATCCTCTTCTCCACATTGACCCCTGCGAAGAGGTTCACCACCATGGCTCGCATCATCATCACAACGCCTCTCACCACCACCACAACTCCTCTCATCGCAAACATGACTCTCATCACCACCACAATGATGACTGCGATAGCCATAGCCATCACAAGTCTCATCGCCATGGCTCTAAGCATCACCATAGCGGTCATCATCATCATGACTCTCATCATCACCACAACCACACTGGACATCACCACCACGGCCATAAGCACGGTCATCATCACGGCCACGGTCACGCTCATGAACATGGCCACCGACACGGCCACGGACATGGTCACGTACATGGGCATGAACATGGTCATCGACACGGTCACGGGCATGAGCATGGCCACGGGCACGAGCACAGTCATGGCCACAGGCATGGACACCACCACGGGCATGGCCATGATCATGGACATGAACACGGACATGACCACAGGCACGGTCATCACCATCATCATGGACATCATCACCAACATGACCATGGACATCATCACCGCCATCGTCACGGTCATCAACACGGTCATGGCCATAGCCATGGTCACAGCCATGGGCATAATGAGCATCATCGACACCATGAGCACCATGGCCATCACCATGGACATGGTCACGGACACCATCATAGTCATCACGGCCACCATAGTCATGATGCCAGTCATCACGGAGGCCATCACGGTGGCAACCATGCTGGAGCTGGTACAGGTCACAACAACCATCATGGACATCATGGAGGCCATGGCGGTAGCCGCGGCGGCAACCGTACCGATGCTAGCAACCACAGCGAGGGGCATTACGACTACACTCATACGCCCAAGTACCATGAGCACACATACTACACCACTCATGAGCCTACACTGAGGGCCGACTGCTCTGGTGGAAGATGCAACCGCAAGCCCTGCTGCAAGTGCAATGGCCACTGGGCCCAGCCTGGCTGCTGGCACTGCAAGAATCATCAGGAGTTCCCTGGAGACAGCTGTCCTACCACCACCACTACCACCAACACTCGTTTCAGCACCAGGTACTCGACTACCACCCGCACCGGCGCTCCCACTTACACCACCACGACAAAGCGCAAGTATACCACCTCGACCAGGACCTACTCACGCAAGAGCACCACCACTATTGCCCCTCAAATCACCAAGGCTCCCGAGGCCAAGGGTGGCAAGTCAGGAGACGAAGCCAAGGGCTTCGAGGCCCCCAACTGGCAGCCAAAGAAGGATGGCAAGGGCTACAAGGTCCCAGAAGGTTACGATGGCCCCATTCCTAAGAAGAAGGAGAAGGAGGCAGCCCAGGAGGTCATTTTGGAGATCTGCGCCAAGATCGAGAAAGGAGAGTACAAGTCTGACAATGTCTGTGAGAAGATCAAGGTGGAGTACAAGGGCGAGTACAAGGATGAGGACATTTGCGAGAAGGTCAAGCATTGTCCAGTCTATGGCAAGGCCCCTGCTCCTGCTCCTGCTCCTGCTCCTGCTCCAGCCCCTGAAGACATTTGTGAGAAGGTCAAGAAGGGGTACTACAAGCATGAGGAAGTTGTCTGTGATAAGATCCGAAAGGGACTGTACACGGGTGACTACAAGGAGGAGCACTTCTGCAAGAAGATCAAGCACTGCCTACCCCCTATTGTCCCTGCTCCGGCTCCAGCTCCAGCTCCTGCGCCAGCTCCTGCACCCGCTCCGGCTCCAGTCCCCGAGGACATTTGCGAGAGAGTCAAGAAGGGGTATTACAAGCGCGAGGAAGTTGTTTGTGATCAGATCCGAAAGGGTTTGTACACAGGTGACTACAAGAAGGAGGAACCTTTCTGCAACAAGATCAAGCATTGCCTGCCCTACTACGCTCCTACTCCTAGGGAGGACATCTGCGAAAGGGTCAAGAAGGGAGACTACAAGCGCGAGGAAATCATTTGCGTCCAGATCCAGAGGGGCCAGTATGCGGGCGATTACAAGAAGGATGAGGTTGTCTGTGAGAAGATCAGGCACTGCCTGCCGTATCATGCCCCAGCCCCAGCCCCGATTCCTGCTCCCATTCCCGCTCCCGCTCCCGCTCCCATCCCCGCGCCTGCTCCTAAGGAGGACATTTGCGAGAGGTACAAGAAGGGCGAGTACAAGAAGGAAGAGGACGTCTGCGTGAGGATCCAGAAGGGCGAGTACAGGGAGGAGTACAAGAAGGAGAAGGATGTCTGCGAGAAGATCAAGCCTTGCCAAGAGCATCACTACTACAAGGCCCCTGCTCCTGCCCCTATCCCTGCTCCTGAGAAGTACAAGTACGAAGTCAAGCCAGAGGTCGTCTACAAGTCTGAGGAGAAGTTCTACAAACCAGAGGAGAAGATCATCTACAAGGAGGAAGAGAAGGTCGCTTACAAGCCGGAGGAAAAGGTTGTCATCAAGCCTGAGGAGAAGATTGTCGTCAAGCCCGAGGAAAAGGTCATCATCAAGCCAGAAGAGAAGCCTGCTCCTGCTCCTGCCCCGGTCCCCGCCCCGGCTCCAATTCCGGCTCCAATTCCGGCCCCCGCTCCCAAGCCCGCCGAGGAAAAGCCCGTCGCCAAGCCGGAGGAGAAGAAGCCAGAGGAGAAGAAGCCGGAGGAAAAGAAGGTGGCCCATGTCACTCCGGAAGAGAAGAAGCCTCCTTCCGAGGGCAACGCTTCTTCTGGAGGTAAGACGTTCCGTGATGGCGATGACAACCCCCCGGACGTCCCGTTGACCGTATCCACCTCAGCATCGAGCCACGCCGCCACCATCTCGACCGCCGGTGCCTTTTTCTTTGTCGTCGTCAATCTGCTCCTGTGAACCTGAGTGGATAGACTAGACAGAGTCCAATCAAGGGGAGGGATGGAAAAGTTAGTTTTCTGATGCGAGATGTTTTGGGGGCACGGCTTTTATCTTGTCGTTATAATGGTAATGGACTCTGGAGATGCATTTAGTAGGTAGGTAGTTAAGGACCTAGGGAAGAAATAGACGTGGCCCTCTAATTGATCGTGGTCTCTCCTCTTGATGATCATGTCAAGTCAGCCTCAGATTGCAAAATTCCCCCGTGTCGTCCGGTGATTCGGTCGGCCGAGCATCGGACATGTCGCCGGCAGTTGGCACTCGCTTCGTCAGCCGTGAGGAGAACAAACAGAGAAACAAACGTCATTTTCCCACATGTACAAGATATAGGCTTTTTAACTCCGAGCCACCGATGTCGATGGTGTGGACTGCTACTACCAGCCGTGTAGCTTTTATTGGTGGGCCGGAAATCGGCATTGAGGTGGGAGAAATGGCGAGACGACGTCGACTCGGTTTCCGAGGATCTTGAGATGCATATAAAGATGCAAAGAGGGGCATTGTGTTGATGAAGCTATACCCATCCATCTCAAGTCATCTAATCAATCAGTTCAACCCCATCGTCAATATGAAGGATAACGTTACCCCGCTGTATACTAGCCCTCAACTGGGCGCCAGGGTCTCGACATATTCCGAGCAGCATTCGACGCCGCTGCCCAAGTACATCAGCGACTACCACGCCCATATCTCCTCCACTCGTGATGATTCAGAGTACTTGAGCTCTGGCTTCCAATCCCAATTCAATATCTTCCTTGCCAAGTCCATCGGTGCCAAGAGAGGTGAGTACCAATCTCTACCGAGTAAGATATTCGCCAAGTTGCTAAACGGGCCTTTAACAGTCCTTGAGATTGGCGTCTATGCCGGATTCTCTGCCCTTGTCTGGGCTCATGCCGTTGGACCAGACGGCCAGGTAACTGGCTTGGAGTATGAGCCCGAGTACGCCAAGCTCTCCAACGAGGGATTCGCAGCCAACGGCGTCAACAACGTTGAAATTGTCGTCGGCCCTGCATCTGAGACGTGAGGGAGACAAACGCCTGACTCACCGAGAAGAAAGAATGCTGATTCGGATAGGCTACCAAAACTGAACCCCAGCAAGCCGTACGACCTCGTCTTCATCGATGCCGATAAGACGGGGTACCCAGGTTATCTGAGACAGCTCCTCGAGGGGTCTCAGCCCGGCAGCGCAAAGAGGATTCTCCGACCTGGTGCCCTCATCGTCTCGGACAACGTGTTGCGCCGGGGTTTGGTTGCGGATGACAAGGCGCTCGGCGACGAGGAGCTCACTGGAGACAAGCTCGCCAACGTGCTGGCCTTGAGGGAGTTTAATGACCTGAGCTTGAGCAACCCGCGATTGGAGACGTTTGTCATACCTCTGTGGGACGGTGTCAGCGTCATCAGACTCATTGATTAGATTAATTGGGGAGCACGAGTTATGTGTGTTTTGTTCCAGGTGGTTCAAAGGGGTTGTCTCAGGCTCAGTATAAGTTTAATTTGATCGAGTACATGCTACTACTGAATAAATGACAACAAGCAACATGGAGATGACGCATCTCCTTGGTATCGTATCTGTAATGTACAGGTGAAAAGAAAATGTAAAATGTCATGATTCATATTTGCGTATAGAAAAGTAGCTCTAAAGAGCATCTGGGGTATTTCCCTTGGCTTAATCCAACAGTAGTCATTAGTCCTCCTCTCTCATCTTCTCAACATAATCCAAAAACTCAAGTAAAATTGCAGTGTGCCTCTTCTCAGCCCGCGTTACTTAGTAGCGGGTAGGGGAGGACTGGTATGCAGCCATCTTCTTGCTCTCACGGCTGCGGCGACGACGGCCTGAGCAGCAGGTGAAGAAGACAATGATGGTGGCAGCCAGGGCGAGAACAGCAGCGACAAGGACGAGCCAGATACCGACAGCCCATTCAGCGTTGAGGTCGATGTCGGCGTTGTTGACCCGTCTCTTGACAAGGGCAAAGCCAGCAAAGTCACAGGCTAGGGCGACAAGAGTGACAAAGAAGGCCAAGAGGGCGACGAGCGACGACATCAGGGAGCCCAATGTGCCGGCGCCGAGGGCCAGGAGGAAGGCGATGAAGCAGAGCCCGGTAGCAACGGGATGCAGCACCATGACATAGGTCAATGCCTTGGCCGTGTTTTCAGCAGCATCAGAGAATTCGACGACATTGCCTCCAGCAGCGTTGTAGATGACCGAGGCAGGGTTGTAGCCGATCTGAGACTTGGAGCATTCATCGCTAAGAGGTTGTTAGCATCGTGTTGGTCCAATTGTCGAGGCGATGGCCTCAATATTGTCAAAACTTACCCGCTCTCTCTGAGAATGCAATAACCAAAGGTGCCAAAGTTGATTGTTGTTGGGGTCTGGCTAGTGTTGGTCCGGGCCAGCTCGTTAAGGTCGACCTTGAGGATGGCGATGTCGTTGACAACAGGAGCAGTAATGTCAACAACAATGAGCAAGACTGTCGCAGCGAACAGCAAGAAGCCGCCAAAATGATGGATGAATCGTCCAACGCCCATTGTGATGTGGTGTATAGTGCGGTGTAAGAGTAGAACACGCTAGAGTATAGATGATACAGCTGATGATAGTAAACAAAAAGATACGATGACCACTCAAACAGAAATCGAGGTCGTAGACGGCCAAGATATAAGTTGCGACACAATGCCGCTACTCAGGGCAACAAGCATTGCGCAGCAGATGGAACGGCGGTGCTTGGCTGAGACGTCATCACCAAGCCCTGTTTTGGACTCATCCGTGCCGAAACCCGCCATGCAGAGGGCCAAGCCATATTAGTGATTCCCATCGCGAGTGACAGGTTCTACGACGCAGTGACGTAGATATGGTGGCTTTGTCGAATCGTGGCTAATCTGCCGGGGTGTGGGGTCGCTCGATTATTCCTGATTCGGGCCATCTTGTTATTGGTCTTGACAAGGATCTTTTTCCTTGGGGACGTGTGCCGTCGCTTTTCCAACGTCACACGTCCAAATCCTTGGCTGATCCAATCGAGTCCAGGAACCTGGCGAGGTGAAGTGAGGTAAAGTGAGATGCGCAGTCTTGGAATGATCTGCTCGTTCCATGGCGCAATTACACCGAGACAGCTTCCTCCTGGTCCTCGGCGAAAACCGTCTGGGCTGCCTCATCGCCGCGTGATACCAGAGATGAATATGATCGTCGCCTTAGGCAAAAGCTAATGCTAATTCGAGATCTTCTGGCGTGGAGATGCTTAGCTTAGTCTAGCCATGAGTTGCGTCGCGTTGCGCAACTGGCTAAGCCTCAGTCGAGGAGCTGAGATTCGTCTCCTGTTTATGGGTCTTGTTTGACAGACTTTTCTTTTTCTGTTGGCTGCTCGATATCATCCTCCAGTTCGACATCTTCTGGCTCATCATTCTCTGCAGACTCTTCCTCTTTCGCATTAGAGCGGTTGAATTTGCTCGGGATGATGTTCCGAAGTGCAAATCGGACAGTAGCGTTGGAATTTTTCGATGGCTTCGCTCCAAAATCAGGAGCCCATTGCTTCAGTACCGTCGTCGCCAACGAGTCGGGAAGCGATTGGTTAAGGGTCTCGGAAATAAAAGATTTTTGATCCTTGATAAAATCGGGCCATGGTCTGCTCAACATCGACTTGGCGCTGAGGTGATGTCGGTAATCAGGAGACGGAGACACTTCGATAGTAAACTCCTTTTCCGCGTCTTCTTGAGTTTCTTGCTTGAACGTATGTCGACTTTCGATTACATTCAAAAGCGTCCCAAAACCTCCAGCACTGGCCTTGCGTTTTTCGTTCGCGGGTGTCGTGGACTTGGTCGGTGTCTGGACGGTAACTGTGTATGGGCTACCGGCAGTCACTTTGGTGACGGCTGCAGCATCCCTCATCAATGATACGAATGAGGCATCATGGCCCTGGACAGTGTATGGTTAGCACAATTAGCAAGCCTCTTTGCTGATAAGGATGCCTACCGGGATGGCTCTAAAGTGTTCAACCGGTCCATGCTTCTCCAGCAGCTGTAGAATGGACCGCCTCTCGCTCAAGGTGACTGGTGGTGGTGAAACGGCAATGGATACAGAGCGCCTTGCTGTTTCCTGGGAACGCACAGCACGTGCAGCCTGTGCAGCAGTGGCCATGGCGCAATCGATCAAGGAGAGCTCGTAGAATAAAGAGCTTGTCTTTCTTGGTGGTGAGCAAAGAAGCTCCAAAAAGAATGCGGGCGGATGGCAGGGGTTTAACTCGGCTTGGTGGGGCCGAACCGTGCACGCATCCCGCGTCTCCAGCTCCTTCCTTACCTTTCGCGATGCTCTTTTGACTTCAACCTTCAACAATCGAACCTTTCATAAGCACACAACGTTACGACCTGCTCAGACATCGCCTTCAACTTATTAACAACATAATCGCTTATCGATCCATCATCCTGAGACCGTACTTTATCTTCCGACTGCCGAAGCAACAAGCTACGAAACCTCCCTCCTACAGGAGGGCATCGGCTTCATCGACATGGCGACGCCAACAGCCATGAAGCACGTCGCCTCGCAACAGGGCCGCACGCCCTCGCAACTCGCTGTCGCAACGCCTCCCGTATCTACACCCTTCTCAAACCCTGCTCATGCTGTCTTTTCGCCCCGAGGGCCGCGTTCGTCGCCGCAGCAATTTAAGAAGTCACCAGCTGCTTCTACGCTCATGGCGGCGCAAGCCTCCAATGCGCCCTTAAACTTCGACAGTCCATCTACAGCGGCAGCCATGGGAGCCCTTGGTATTGGCGCCGGTCTTGATATTGGCCTTGATAATGTTGGTGTTGGTCTTGGGAATCTGGGTGCTCTTGCGGAGGATGACAAGCTGAAGCGTCTGGAAACCATTATCGAGGTCTTGAACGTATGTGGTCTTGCTGCTTCCTATGCACTTCTCTGCTAACTTCTCTTAGAAAAAGAAGGGACTCGTCAGCGAAGCCGGCTTGGAACGTCTGGCGCAGCGAATAGGACTCGACTGTCTGTCAGAAGACCACACAGCACCCAACGGCCGAAAACAAAGAACCCTTGTCATAGCAGGCTCAGCCATTCAGTTGGATATCGCATTGGACAATAATATCGTCGAAAACCTCTCGCTTGCTTTTCCAGAGTCTGCTCCCTCAGTCACCAAACACGTCGATCGAGCAAGTCAGATCCTCCTTAGAGATCTTCAGCTTCTCCCAAGCCAAAGCCCATTGACCAAAACCCTCGACAAATTCGCCATCAATCTAGAACGACTAGCAGTTCTAGACAAACTCAGCATCATTCCAGGACTCGACTGTCATGAGGCTTTGGCAGGCATCTATGGGAGCCTGGAGAGACTTTACCAGTGGGACGTGGCCCAACTCAGCCAGGAGCCAGGAATCAACAAGTCGCCCAGTGCGCTATCCGTTGCAGCCATGTGCACGAGGCACGGATTCCCTATTATGCACCCGAGAGAGCGGGTGGGCTTGGCTTTGCAGTATTGGAAGACGCTACGACTTATTCAACCGACAACCGACAAACTTGCTTCATTTGCCGAAGAGCGAGAAAAGGTCTGGTCACTCTTAATCGGTTGCGCTTCCATAGGGGGTATGGGTCATCAGCCTGTGAGGGTCTCCGAGGACTGGATTTCCAAGAACGTGGTGACAACTGAGCCGACCTTGGATCCCAAAAAGCCGAACCTGGACTGGCTAGAGCCCGATAACGTTGTGCTACCCCCATCCGAAGAGAATAAGGACGCCGGAATGGAAATGATTCAACCAGATCTCTCAACAGCAAGGGTACCTCAGGTCATGTTCACCGTCACATTTGACCCTCCTGTCATTCTCCCTCAGAACGACTGGATGCGGTTGCATGCTTTGGCGAACGTGAACGCTCCGCCCATCTTTGGATATCCGCCTACCTTTGACGGCTTGTTCTTCCCTGTGCCTCCTGGTAGTGCTCAGGATCCAAGTGAGCTTCGAACAATCACTCGTCAACGCGATGTCCGCGTATATGACAAAGATCAGAAGCCATTGGTCAAGTCTCACCGGAACTCGTTGTTCATCTACAAACCTATATATTCTCAAGTAGTTACTGAGATACCCTTCTCTCACCCTCGCCAGCTTATCGACATGCTCCCCTTACTTCGGCAGTATGCTTTCGTTGCAACCTTGCTCGAAAGCAGCTTTGGGTCTGAGACAAAGGAAGCTGAGCCACGACCCAAGCAAGGAAGCACGCCAGCCCCAGCACCCAAACCCAATGTTGACAGCAAAAATGAGCTGGCAGACTTTATGGACCTTTCTCCTGCATCTTCCGAGACCCCAACCAGTGAAGAGATCAACTTGGATGTCACTCTCTGGGTCCATCCTACTCCTCATCTGCAGGTCGTCTTCCCCTTCCGCAACTCGACAGCTAACGTCACGCTTAAGGTGCTCGAGGACGGAGTAGTGGAGGTGGCTGATGAGAACGTCATCCCTCGAGATGAAAACGCCAAGATGAAGAATAAGGAGCTGACGCGGTCGGACCTTGGCAGGGTGCTGGAGCACATGGAGGATCTCTGCAAGTGGACTGAGTGGATCCGTACACGTCTTGCTTGAGGCGAGGTGGGCGTGGCCAGAGGTTGAGGAGTCTATTATCGCGTTAGGTAGAGTTGGATGATACCCCGAGAGTCGTGATTACGCACTCATGAAATGAACGCGCGTCAAGATTGTGGGAATGCAAAGTTAATTCGAATTTGTCATTCTCAATACTCGTACGCATAGAACCAATGTTGAAAGAGCATGTTAAGTCAGTGCACGTCTGAACTTGACCATCAAGTCAACCTCAGCTGGCATCGCCTTGTGATATAATACATTGTCTAGAGTTGATGATAATAGTACATGTACATGAGCTATTCCTGTGCTGGCTGTAGAACCACAGTTGATATGCAGACTCATGGTTAGTCGCAGCAGCACAATGCCGGCTATTGGAAAGACTTGAGCACAATCGTCGCGTCTCGCTCCGGCTTGCCCTCCTCTTTAATCTTCCTTACCCGGACCAACTCGCCGCTGGGGATGTGGATGATGGCGCTCCCGTCACGCTGGTCCGTTACAAGAGCCTCATACTTGTGGCCCTCCAGCCCCGGCTCAAGATTCAGATGGAGAGACATTCGCGAGCCGTAGACGGCGAGATCCATCAGAGATGCCACCTCAGCGTCCTGGAAGATTAGCCTCTTGGTCTGGCCCTTTTTGTTAACGGCATGCGTCCAGATCGATCCGAGCACTCGCACCCTCCGTACAAACTCGTCGGCCGTCCAGTCGCCCCAGTTGATCTGCCCATCAGCCTTTGTGACTTTTGGCGCGTGAACAAGCTTCCTATCTCTAAGATCCTCGGCCTTCCAGTCTACCCTCTGATGAGGCGGCACGTGCACGCCATCCCGCAGACCTTGCACGAGCATCTGGGCTCCGACGGGTGCGAGGAGGCTCGTGAGCTCCTGGACGGTGCAGCCGGGTGGTATTGGGATGCCTGGGCGAGGAGTCTGGGCTAGCACGGTGCCGTGGTCAAAGGCTTTGTCGTCAAGTGTCTGGAGAGAAACTCCGGTGTTGCGATAGCCTCTTAATATGGCATGGTGGATTGGTGCAGGTCCCCGAAGGCTGTATTGAGGTCAATCGCTACGCCTACATCCATGAGATTGGTTTCGACTCACTCTGGGAGTAGAGAAGGATGCACATTGAGGCCCCCATACTTGGCTGATCTCAATATCCGAGGGGGAACGAACAAGCCAAAAGAAACAGCGATGACGAGGTTCGTGGCCTCGGGTAGCTACAGAGCTGCTTTCAGTCTCTTGAACTGTCAAGCTGATAGATGCTTGGGGCAACTCACCTCCCATTTCGTGAATGTTTCACGCTGGTGAATCCTCAGTCCCAAATCCTCTGCTAGTATCTTGCAGGGGACTAGAAGAGTGTCAATATGGGTATGGAGGTTACATAAAGGGGTGTTGATTCACCTTCTCTGAGTGTTTTGAAGCTTCTGCCCATGCGTTTTGGGGGCAGAACCATGACATCTAGGGACTCAATCAGGTCCTTATTCCGGCTATGCTCCTCATATACGGCCTTCAATGATGCACAACTGAAGTCGTCAGAGCCACAGAAGAGAATCCGTAGAGGCTCTGATGACCTAGTCGTTGCATGAGAATAGCATTGCCGCCATGGGAACGATTGTCGGCCGAGCAAGGACCTCGACCTCGTGAGAAGGTGAAACATTATAGCATGTATCTTTCCATGGGACGAAGATATAATGTTTCTCTTCCTGTATCAGTTTTTGGTGGTGAGCGTTGAATTCTTACATGCATCCCTGTCAACAGTCTCGATGGTTTCAGTGAAAGAATGGATCACAATCGCGATTGGTGCAACATCTGCTTATTTGCATCATCCGCCCAAGAAGGCATTGTCCTCATTTAAGTGGCATGAGCTTTATATCACATCAGTACTGTATGTGGAAAATCACGGGCGTCTGTATTATCATTATCCGGGTTTGTTAAAAGCAATTCGTTGTGAATACTGTCAATTGCACGCACACCGAAAGGGTTGCCTTGTGCTCTAGGGTAGCTTCGTCAACGACAAGATTCACCTCAATATTATGACTGCTTATTGGTTTGCATTCATTCAGGACAGGCAGAATAGGGCAAATATAGAATCAGAAAGCGCTCAAGTTTTTGCTTTTAGAGCCGTTCAGTATAGCTCACTCTCCTCTCAAGTAAAGCTTCCCAGTGTCCTAAACGGCCGTGTCCCTCGTCTTCTTCATTGCATCCAGGATCCGCTGCTCGCACTTCTTACATGACCGTATATCAATCGATTCCTTCCGAGACAATATCTTCTTTTGGCACTTTTCCGGCTGATTGTTTATGACATGCTCGCACTTCTCTTCCTGTTGGTCGTAGCGGACGAGGTAGTCACATATGTTGCAGTGGTACTTGATGAAGGTGGTTGTGCACATCTCGAAGTGTTTTGGTTGTCGGAGCTCAATGATGTTGAAAGGTTGAGGCTATTCTTTGAGGAAGCTGGGGATATCAAAAGGTTTGGTATGTTGACCGGAATACTTGGCTACTTATATGTGTGGATTCTCGTTTCTTGAAATGCTGTGGCATTGCTGTGATACATGCTGGTTTAACTCGAGACGTGGTGACTTGAAGCCATAGCCAGTACGATTAACTATCAAGTTTCAAACTTTTCAGTAGGCCAATGGAACAATGGTGCTACACAATCTCCTGTTGTTCGGAGCTGTATATGCACAACCAGATATCCCTATCATGTGTGTCCTCCAAGACTCAATATCGCCCACCGCCATGTGAGGACTGGGTGTGTATACGAGTAAGGCAGGAGGCAAAGACAAGCATACATATGACAGTGCGAGATATGTGGTACTGTCACGGAGCTGAGACTCAACCTGGGCCTGATTCTCTACGAAGAGTTGGGATGATGGGGCGTCAAGGAATGATATGATCATTCAGCATATTAGAATAGATCATCCACAGCCTTGTCGGCATCCTTCTGAATCAACTCAACCATGCCCTGAAATGACATATTAGAACCTGACTTGCGTGGAACGGGCGACCACTGACCTTGGGCATGATGGGCTTGTCATCCTCTCCCTTAACATAACGGAAGGGCATCTCAGTGCTCTCATGCTCATTGAACTTGAGCTCCGGGAAGTCGAGGTAGGGAATCTTGTCAACGGGCACTAAATGGTCACCATGAGCCTCCAAGCATAACATCATGTACTTATGGCGGTGACGAACCCCTGTCTTGCACGACGATGCGAGTCACTCGCACTGCTGTATCTGTTGTCATCTGCTTGGGTCCCAGTCTGCGACCCTCAAAGCCCTTCTTCCTGAGCTCGGATGTTCGGTCTGTGAGTCCATGTTAGGTAATGTATCACCACTGGCAGTGATATTCCCATTGCTACACACCTCGGGGAGGATCATCGCCTGGATAGACGTCAGTCAGTAACAGTCCTGAAGAGATTCTGGATATAAACGTACCCAAGATGCCTCCAAACAAGAATGCGTCAAAAGTATCACCATCCTCGGGAGAGAGATCCTTGGCAGCGGCAGGATCAAGCAGACAGACGCGAGACTTGTTGGCAGCATAGAGCTCCTCAACACCTCGCTGCTCAGCCGTGAAGGCGGGGTTGCTGGCCAGGTCGGCAGGGACCTTGAAGGTGGGAGGCAGACTAGAGAGGATGAAGGAGCCGTGTGTATCCTGCGTCTCTTTGGCAATGGCGAGGTACTCGAGCTCTGACCAGGGGCCGAGCTCTGGGTCGAGATGCTCGACAATAAAAGTCTTGCCCGTGGTGGCCATGGTTTTTCTTTGTCTGCGCTGAGGGGTAGTGGCAAGGGTTACTCGCTTGTGCACGCCGTGATAGTGAATGGGCTAGAAACACAGGAGATGAGCTAAAAGCCTATCTTGACCTGGCTGTTTTATTGATATGAACCTGTAAAAGAGATTTTGGTGGTGCGCTTGGTTGGCCAAGAGAGGGTTTTGGAAAAATTGCTAGCTAGAGGCAATCCAGTGAGAGATCGCCAGTGGAGGCACTGGGCTTGGGTGCCACGAGAAAGTGTGTAAGTGATGCGACTCCGCAAACAGATTTAGCTAGTAGAGAAGATGCATGACAAACAGGAAACAATACGAGTAAAACATGTATATTCATAGTTATTCTCCTCGATGCGAAATACGCACATTACGCTTGTAGAGATCCATGTCGCATCTATCCGCGGATCCATCTTTAATACTCCCTGCAGACAAACGAGGCTGCTATTGAGCACTGATTATCGGTCACAACAGGGCGCCACGCAGTCTATTGAGTATCTTGGCAACAGAAAGAAAGCGTGCTCAGAATTTGCAGTAGCAAGACATCCCTATATCGCAAATCATAGTCTCGTGGCCAACATCAACTCCTCGTACATACACAAATTGGAGGCAATTGTCAGTGGAGATATCCCCACTACAAGAGCCCCTGGACGTCTCCTTTCCCGGAAGAATCGGTGCCAGAACTGGCGCCAAGCCACAGAGCCGAGCCCCAAGCCTCCTCCTCAGCCGCCACTAAAGCGGAAGCTTTCTTGCTTGGTTGCAGCGCATTCGGGGCTCAATGGCCCCGTAGGTCCCGCGTCCCAAGGTAGTTTCGCAGTTGTTGTCAGGCGAGGCAGGAGGTCTAATCTGTAATCCGGGGTCTCGACCGGCCACCTCTCCCTTTAACCCTTTCAAGATCCCATCGTTTCAACTGTGCCAGGCCAGTTCGTCGACCAACTCTTGGCTGGCATCGGTCTTTCATCTCTCTTCTTATTCTCTTCTATTTCTTTTCCTTTCCCCAGTACAAGACGCAAACGCGCTCGCTCCTTGATTCTGCGTCTCCTTAACAGCTCCCGCGGCGTATCCCGTCCGCAACTTCATCATGGCCTTCCTATCGATACCCTCCCCGAGGCGATGGGCAGCCCTCCTTTCCCTCTCTCTCGGGCCAATCCTGGGCGCAGCAGACGCAACATCCAATTCAGCGGCAGATTATTATGTCCGCGACCTGCCTGGACTCCCTAAGGATGGCCCCAATATCAAGATGCATGCTGGGTAAGTTGGCACGTGTCTCCGTCTCGTCCGCTCCTGCTGACGCGTTCATCCTCATCGCAGTCATATCGAAGTTACCCCCGAGAGTCACGGAAATCTGTTCTTCTGGCACTTCGAGAACCAGCACATCGCTGACAAGCAACGAACCGTCATCTGGATCAACGGCGGACCAGGATGCAGCTCCGAAGATGGTGCCATGATGGAGATTGGCCCCTATCGGCTCAAGGATAAGGAGAACCTCTACTACAACAATGGCTCCTGGGGCGAGTTTGCCAACCTCTTGTTCGTCGATAACCCTGTGGGCACTGGATATAGCTTGGTCGACACGAATGCCTACGTGAAAGAACTTGACGAGATGGCCGACCAGTTTATCCAATTCCTTGAGAAGTGGTTCGCCCTCTTCCCCCAGTATGATCGCGATGATGTGAGTACCCCTTGGCCCTACTGAAATGATGAGTTGCTAACATATCGCAGATCTACATCGCTGGCGAGTCCTATGCTGGACAGCACATCCCCTACATCGCCAAAGCCATCCTCGATCGCAACAAGAAGAATCCTAGCAAGGCCTGGAACCTCCAGGGATTATTGATCGGAAATGGCTGGATCTCACCTGTGGACCAGTATCCCGCCTATATCTCATTCGCTCACGAAAAGGGGATCATCGAAAAGGGCTCCGATAACGACAAGAAGCTGCAATCTGCCCTGCGAGGTTGCGAACGAGTCATTGCTTCCAGCCCTGGCCGTGTCGACTATGGTGAATGCGAGGAAATCTTGAAGAACATCCTCGAGTTGACCCGAGATGGCAACAAGTGCATCAACATGTACGATGTGCGGCTCACTGACACCTACCCCAGCTGTGGCATGAACTGGCCCCCGGATCTGGAGTACCTGACTCCTTATCTCGGAAGAAAGGACGTCGTTGACGCTTTGCATGTCACCTCAATGAAGTCAACTGGATGGAAAGAGTGCAGTGGTGCTGTGGGTGGTGCCTTTACTGCCAGGAACTCGAAGCCTGCTGTTGAACTCCTGCCAGATCTTCTCAAGGAAGTCCCAGTCCTCCTTTTCTCTGGAGCTGAAGACTTTATCTGCAACCATCTTGGTACCGAGGAACTTATCAGCAAGCTGGAATGGAATGGTGGCAAGGGTTTTGAGGTGACCCCTGGAAACTGGGCTCCTCGTCGGGACTGGACCTTTGAGGGCGAGACTGCCGGTTTCTGGCAGGAGGCTCGAAACTTGACCTACGTTCTGATCTACAACTCGTCTCACATGGTCCCCTTCGACCTTCCCCGCCGCAGCCGGGACATGCTGGATCGCTTCATGGGTGTTGACATCAGCAACATTGGAGGCGACCCGACTGATAGCCGCATTGACGGTGAGAAGGGCCCTGAGACCACCGTGGGTGGCGCCTCCAACAAGACTCAGTCTGCTGCCCAGGATCATCAGAAGCAGTTGGACGAGGCGAAGTGGGCGGCTTACCAGAAGTCTGGCGAGGTTGTTCTTGTCATTGTCATCATCGCTGCCATCGCATGGGGCTATTTCGTCTGGCGCGAGCGTCGCAAGGGAGCCGCATACCATGCCCTTGCCAACCACGACAACAACAGCCATTCAAATGGCTTCCGGGCCAAGTCACAGCCAGGTGATCTGGAGTCGGCTGCTTTCGACGAGAGCGAGCTAGACGATCTTCACGGGTCAACGCCGGCCACCGCCACCAGCGCCAGGTTTCCTGTGAACCGTAATGATACTCGGGAGAAGTTTGTGACTAAGTATGCTGAGCCTAGTTCATAAAACGGAACGCATACTGGGTTTGGGCAGCAACATGGTCCAACATTCATTTAGCTGGCGTCGTGGTCTTTTGCATACTGAGAGGTCGGTATAGGAGTAAGGCGTTTTTTGTATACATAGGAAGGGAAGGGAAGTAGTTGAAGTAGAAACCAAATCATATTTTTGTTGTAATCATCTAGATGGGCCGAGCTACGCCGTGAACGCCATTTCTAAAATCTAGAGCGCTCCGTAGAAAACCAGCCTTTGCCTCCTGTCCTGGCTGCTTTTGTGATGCAGCCTTTGTTTGCCCTATCCCAGGTTCCCAAGAGAATCCAATCCGTGCCGTGATCAAATCTGTCAATACGCCTGCAGTGCCGCGCCGTCGTGGTAGTTCATGAAAAGAGTCTGAAGTTTACAATTGCACATCGTTGTTGAGCAGCCGGACCTCCTCGCCGGGTTTGAAGGGCGGCAGGCCGATGTAAGGGCACCCGTCGCATCGGAAAGCATCGCCGAGCGAGCAGTTGCCGCATGAGCCAACCTTGCCCTGGACGGTAAAGTCGATCTCGGCAAGGTCGTCGGTGGCCAACTTGACGCTCTCGAGCTTCTTGTCGGCCTCGGCACGCTTCTCAGCGTCCTCCTTGACAAGACGCTCGGCCAGGCCGCAGCTGCAGTCCTTGCAAGCGCGACGGCGCTTACCGGCCTTGGGCTGACACTCGACAGCTGATGGAAGGTCAGTAAGATGTGACATGTATATTGAGAAAGAATTGACATACGAATATTAATGGGGCGCAAAAGATCTTCCTCTGTCATGAGGGTATCCTCGTCGATGAGGTCATCGTCGTCAAGGTCGTCGCTAAGATCGATGAAGCCGACACCGGCGGGGACCACGGGGACAACGGGCTTGACCTCGACAGGCTTCTTCTTCTTAAAATTGAGGGGAACGGAACCATCCGCAAGAGGAGCGGGCTGGTTCTTCTTCTTAAGACCAAACTTCAAGGTGACGGCTCCCTCGTTGTCGCCATAGTCGGGCTTCTCGAAACCTCCCCGCGAAGCCACCAAACCGGCCAGCACCGCTTCCTTAGACAGAGTGGACTCTTCCAGGCTGTTTCCATCCTGCGACTGCAGACGACCGTTGGGCTTGAGGGCTTCCGCGACAGGGCCAAGAACGGCGCGGTTCATCAGAGCCAGGGACTCGCCCAGCATGAACGAGGCGTCGGCGAGGATCAGGACTCTGTCGTAGGTGGAGGACGGCAGCTTGACCAGTCCCGCAGAGAGACGGTCAAGCATCTGAAGATCGGTAACGGAGCGATCATAGTCGGCGAGGACAGACGAGAGGGCGGAAGAGTGGGAGGCAAGAGTGGGAGGAGCCAGAAGCAGCGTCCGCTTGGGTGGCGAGACAGACTTTGAGACGGGCATGACGAAATCGTCGCTCGGATCGATCATGAGGGTTGCGGGCGCCATTGCAAAAGAGAGGGACTGGAAGATCTGATGAGGACAAGATGAAGACAACGAGGAGGAAGAGAAGGGGAGGGGACAGGGCGCTGGATTTGTATTGGAGTCGGTACAAGCCCTGACGACTTTTAGCCCAGGGCGTTGGTGTGAACCGGATTAGTCAATCGAAGCAGTAGCCGCGTGTGGCCCGCCGTAGATGGACTGTGCACTTTGCCCTGGCAGAAGCGGGTGATACAGTGCGGATGTGTCCCCGAATGAACGGTACTACATCGATATCAAGAGTTGCGGGGTTCACTTCTGCTTTTCCACGGACGACGAACGGAAGCCCATGATATCGATAAGGCCTCCCCCCCCTTGTTCCGACTGCGGAGGTGCGGAGCCAGCCACAAATCGACCCTGCAGGCCGTGCTTGGTCGGAAGCTATATCCGTACTACGGACGGAGCGCAGAGATAATCATGACGGGTTGCTGACTAGACCTAATTCCTCAATTGCGTCCTCAAGAATATGCGGGATGCACTGTGTGTGTGGCTGCGAAACAACCTTAATCCCAGGCCCGTCCGGCCCAGACCTCACCTCCCCTTTCAGTTCACCTTCTCCCCCGGAGATACAGGAACTCGCAATTCTCGCTTATGTAGAAATCGCCTGCTAAACCGTATGACCCGGCTCTTGCAAACCCTTTGACTCCCGACCGTGCTCTGTCCTATGCCACCACTCGTGATTGCGCTGACATATCGTCCTTGGTAATCGGAAAAGATGGGGGGGAGGGAGTGTGTTCCAAGCTAGTCAACCGATGTCGGACCAATCCCGACGACGACGTTTTGTCTTCGGCACTTTTCTGACCCAACAAGGGGATAAGTTGCCGATCTTTGTGATCTCGTGAGCGGATTCATGCTCCGTGGCACCGATCACCCTAATTTTCCGTGCTAGACACACACATGCTGCAGGCTGTGGTGGGGAAGAGAGGAGGGCCCGATTTCCGGGGTCGAGCATGCCGGGTTCTTTCAACACGTGCTTAGCAATCGCTTGTGCTCGTGAGGTTCGCCGCCGAGCAAGCACTGCTGGGTTAATATGAGAACTATTACTGAAGCTGACCTTTGCTACCGGTGCTTGCCCCTTTGTTCTAGAACTTGACGTCTTGACCTACGCCGTTTAGTAGCGTCTCTTCGCGTATAAACTACTCATACTTGCTCTCTAACAGCGGGACGGACCGCAAACCACTTACTCTTAGTCTTCTAATATTTTATTTATATTTCTTTTATTTCTTATTTCTTAGATATTTATTTAATCTCTAGAGCTATCTTCTTTAATATCTCGTATCTTTATACTCGTAGCTGTTTGCTAACTTGTTTTATCGCAGAGTTCCCTTCCCTTAGACTAGTATCATCATAAGGCTTCACTACCTTAGGATGAGCAGTGATCGCAACTGCCCGCTACCGGGACGGTCACTGCGTCTTGCATCTATAGAATCTTCTCGTAGAAAAACACACGCCTGTTTGTTTTGAAAAACATATTCGCCTGAGGCAGCGGCGCCGCGTACCTTCCTTCTTTTCTTCGATCGCGTCGTGCGTTGTGCATCTTAGTTGTGAACCCCAACGCACCTTCCTCAACTTCATCTCTCTGCGTTAGGCATAAGGCATCACACCTTGTGCTTAAGGCATCTTTGAGATAAAACAGAGGTTCTTTCCTTCTCCTTCTTCACGCAAAGACACCTCCAATCTTTGCCGCGACCTCAACGAGCTCGCCAATAACGCCGGCACACACCGATACGCAAGGTACGATCTCTATATTCTCCTTCTTCTCTTATTCTCTCTTGCCGAGCTTGCGCGAGTTTGTCGCGGTCCCTCGCGACCTCTCGCGGTTCTCTTATCCTGCACTTCTCGAGCTCGCGATCCCGCGTGCGGTTCTCCTCGTCCCGATCTCCGCCATCACAGGCACACCAAGTTCCAGGCTTGATAGAGTGGCATCTAAAGAGCATATCTCAGGCTCTTCTCCTCCTCCTTCTCTTTGTTTCTCTTTTCCTTCTTTTCGTAATTCTTTATTTTAGTCTCATTACACGCAAGATCGGGACGGTCGCGCCGCCCACCTTCCTCAAATCTTTCTTTTTTTTCTCACTTCCAGGCTTGTTCAACGCCCGTCTCATACTAACAAACGCTCATAGCGACTTACCTTCGTTTCCGACACTCCCTTTCATCATGGCTGACTGGGGTCAAACCGATCAGGGGGGTTCGTCCCAGTGGAACACTGGAGGTCAGGACGATTGGGGCACTGGAAAGCAGGAGTCGTGAGTTTCTTCTCGTGGGGACGAAAGAAGGATCTTTCGCCTCGTCTAACCCTCTTAGCAACAACTTTGGCAATGATGGCGGTTTCGACAACGGCGGCTTTGCCAATGGTGATGGATTTGACAACGGTGGCTTTGAGAACGGCGATGGTGCCGAGAATGGCCATGCCGACAATGACAAGTGTTTCGGCTGCGGCGAGACTGGGTATGACACTTCAAGAACCAAGTCTCTTGTTTCTCACATACTGACACTTCCAGTCACCGTCGTGCCGATTGCCCCAACCCTCAGGAGATGGCCTGCCGCTACTGCAAGCAGCCTGGTCACATGGTCAAGGATTGCCCTGACAAGCCTCCCATGGTCTGTGAGAACTGTGGCGAAGATGGTTTGTTTCACAATGCCCCAGGGCGTGGACTTCACTCACATCTGTACAGGCCACATGCGCAAGAACTGCGAGAACGCTCGCAAGATCAACCGCGACCACATTGCTGATGTCTCTCTCGATGAGGCCTTGAACAAGATCAAGCAGGCCGTTGCTGAGAGAGACGTTGACGACGCCAAGGAGGGCGTTCAGGAGTACATCAAGGCGTCCAACGGAGAGGCCACTTACCGAGATGTCCAGACCGCTCTCATTGAGAAAGACATCAGTCTCTGGCTGATTGCTTCCGAGAAGCCCCTTCTTCAGGTCTTCGCCAACATGGACCTCCAGGGAAACATGGGCAAGAAGTACACGGTCTCCTACCGCTTCACCGAGAAGGCGGACCGCCCTCGTGAGGTTGAGGGTTGGCCCAAGGATCGTGACGAACTCCTTGCTCGCCTCGACGATGCTGGAGAGGTCGTCGACAAGGGTATCCCCATGTGCAGCAACTGCAGAGAGCTTGGTCATATCGCCAAGTACTGTACCCAGGAGAAGGCGGAGCGCACCGATGCTCCCAAGATTTCCTGCTACAACTGCGGTGGAGACGGACATCGTGTTCGTGACTGTGAGTACTGGAATCTAGTCAACTGTCATTCTGCTAACATCTTCGGCAGGCCCTGAGCCTCGCGTTGACAAGTTTGCGTGCAAGAACTGCGGGTGAGTTGCAGCTCCGGACGTTCAACCTACTTCAATGACTGACATGCATTTAGCCAATCTGGTCACAAGGCTTCTGATTGTGAGGAGCCCCCCAACCCGGCCAATGTCGAGTGCCGCAAGTGCAATGAAGGTGTGTTAGCCAGCTCTGCTCTTGTCGACCTGAACTAATCCTTGTAGTCGGTCACTTTGCCAAGGATTGTCCCCAGGGTGGTGGTCGTGCGTGCCGCAACTGTGGTGAGGAGGGCCATATGGCCAAGGAGTGCGACAAGCCTCGTGACATGTCCAGCGTCACTTGCCGCAACTGCGACAAGCCGGGCCACTACAGCAGAGAGTGTCCCGAGCCCAAGGACTGTGAGTGCCTTGAATGGACAGCTTCTACCAGCGGTGCTAACTAAGTTCTAGGGAGCAAGGTTCAGTGCTCGAACTGCCAGCAGATGGGCCACACAAAGGTCCGTTGCAAGGAACCTCCCGTTGACGAGATGGACGGAGGCAACTTCGGTGATGCCGACAACGACGGTGGTTGGGGTAACACTGGCGACCACACTGGCGACCAGACAGGCGGCGATCACAAGATCGCCGATGATGGCTGGACAGTTGCTCCAGCTGCCTCGACTGCTGACGCTGCAGTCTGGTAAATCCAGTCCCTCGGGAACAAAAGTTCGGACATGATCCGATCTCACGCGTTTCGGGAGTTGCACTCTACATCGAAAGGGCACCTGGGGATGTGTATGTAATGGGGCGATTTCGTCCAACATGGACGATGAGAGATAAAAAAAGTAGGTGGCCAGAATAGTAACTGAGTGCAATCAAATCTCAATTCAATGAGGACTTTTAATTGTCGTGACAGGGCTACAGATTGTAGTCTAGTGCAGAGTGAACTAACGTAGTCAAGAGTAACACGCGATTGGTCCTTGGTGGCCATGAACATGATCGTCCGACCCGCACCCCGCATCATCAACTGAGGGTCCGAGGTTTGATTTCATTGAGAGCTGGATCATGAGTCTAGGCCATCTCATTTCAGGTCTGAATATCTAAGTTGAGGCTGTTGCAACACCAAGATCTTTGTCTGACTGATCTTGACAAGGTGGCATCAATCACAATGGCCAACCCTCGTGTCATTGTCTACCACTACTCGTACTCGCCATTTGCCAGACGGCTGATTTGGTATCTGACCCTACGTGGCATACCGTACAGCCAATGTGTAAGTTGGAGTTTGAGCTTATACCACCTGCCTTGTCTGCGTACGCATTGGTACTGACAGTGAGATAGATTCAACCTCCCTTGATGCCCCGGCCGGACGTATCCCGCCTGGGCATCTCATACCGTCGTATCCCAATTCTCGCCGTCGGCCGCGATGTCTATCTCGACACGCGGCTACAAATGCGCAAGCTCGAGGCCATGTTTCCTAAGCTGCCTCGCCTCGGCGCCACGAGCCCCGACCAAATCGCTGTTGAGCGTCTACTATCAACCCTCACCAACGACACGGACATCCTAGCCACAGCTCTACCGCTCCTCCCCCAGGACCTACCTCTCCTCAAGGACCCGGCGTACTACCGCGACAGAGGCGACTTTCTCGGCACTGAACTCAACGGCAGCGGCATGGATGCTAAGAAGCCAGAGGCGCTCGTCGAGTTGGCCAGCGACATCGGCTTCCTGGAGAATGCTCTCCTTGCAGATGGACGCGACTGGATCTCGGGGACCGAGAAGCCGAGCCTGGCCGACATTGAGGCCATCTGGCCGTTCCACTGGATAACAGGCATCCAAGGCGCTCTGCCAGAGGACAGATTCTCCCCCTCCGTGTATCCACGTGTATACGCCTGGATCCGACGGTTCCAAAGCGCCGTGTCGGCGGCCAAGAAGCGAGTGGGTGCCCCCGTGACTCTCTCCGGCGAGGAGGCAGCCAGCGAAATTCGGGCCGGGTCGTTCTGCGAGCCCGAGAAAGATGTTGAGGCCAGTGACGCGGTCGTTCTCGCGCAGAGCCTGAGAAAGGGCGTGGCGGTGATGGTTTGGCCGACTGACACGGGGTCATCGGGCCGTGACGAGGGGACTCTTGTGAGCATTGACGCAGACGAGGTCGTATACGAGACTGGAGGTGTTGAGGGCTTTGTGAGAGTTCATGCGCCGAGGCACAGGTTTAGGGTAGAGGGTGTCAAGGAGGCCAAGCTGTGAGGGGAGTGTCTGCTAACAAATTGCTGCCGTATTGTTGGGATCGCGAACTTGAGTTCTTTAGATCGACAGGCTTTTCAAGCCGCGGGTGTTCCTGTGATTCATATCCCAGCTTTTTGGGGTAAATTATAGTACACGTGTTGTGTTAGCAGTGAGCTCATGAGTCATAAATTGCGTTTTGTTCTCCCTTGTCGACGATCGAAGCTTTTCAATATGGTTGGGAATCCCCTCACTTACAAGCAGACGAGCACCTGACACACAGCTAAACTCGCCTGTTGACTCATAGACAACTTTCCCAGACGTGTAGCACCGAAAACAACGGTACTTCAGGCTACCTCGACCAGAAGTCTCGTTAAATAACACGATGCATAGCATTCGGAGGCATTCAGGTAGTCTTTTACTGTCGTGGTCTAGGGTGGCCGTATCGCAAATGTGCAACATCAACAACCCATCTCGACCAGCCCCACGGTCGCGGGTCTCGGCCGGATCTGCAACAGGTACCAAAGCCTCTCAGGAGAGACGAGGGGAAGATGGACGCCCTGATCCTGTTTGGCCGTTGAATGCTATTCATGGAAAAGCGATACGTCAGAAACACAGCAGGATTACTACATGGGGACGTGCAATACTACCAAGCACCAAGGCACCTTAGACACACACACACACACAAGGGAAGGGACCGTTCAATACTTGGCATCAGCCGGAAACAACTTGACCAAGTGTCCCATCCGAGACGGAGTTGGACATCGAATCTCGATCATGTGCCGTCGGGATCTCGATCATCCTCCAATATCCGATCCGACTGTGATACAGGCTCCCAGGGCGGGCACGATTCCTTGGACACAAGCGCCGAGGAGCCAGTTCCGTCTTCTGAATCCGGGCTCTTTTGCCCGGTCACCAGGCGTACAGTAGTTGGACGTCCAATGTTGAATGTTGTAGGTGTCAACAACTTGTGTTGATATGCAGTCGAACGTGAAACGCCATCCGTAGCTCGGCCGAGTTGACATCACGTCATGGTCTCAATTAGAGTTCAGAGAGACTGGAGGCGGCTCTGCTCTAGGTTTAAAGGCGTATCAAATGGACACACGGCTCTCAAGCAATGCTCGACGACACTCGCACGAACAGACGCCTTATTCCCCTCAGCCGTGTCAGCTGCCATCGCTAAACGCGAGATTCGAGGCTTGATGAGACATGTCGCCATGAATTTTTTTTTTTTTTTGGCGATAGAACCATGCGTCATAGCCAAGGGAGGCGGGTCTTCCATCACGTTCGTGTGGGGCATGGAAAGGATAGAACCATAAGCCTCCAGATTGCCAATGCGGGACAATGTCTGTGTGTTTGTTGAGCCTCGAAAAATCGTGTCCGTCTCAACTGAGGCGTGTAATCAGCACCATCTCCCCCCATGCTTTGGCCCCTGAGAGTTCGTGTTCACGCCATCAGTTAGTTAGTTCATGTCGCGGCTGGGGACGGAACGCTTGGGGGAAAGAAAAGCTTGGAAGTGGACGCTTAGAAATGCGAGCCAAGGGGCACGGCTTGCACGGAGATGCAAGCCGGCCGAGCCAGCCAACCTGGTTCTGGGATGGACGCAGGACAAAACTGGACCGTAACGGGTGGGACATTCCTCAGACGGTCAAAAGCTTGTGACAATGGACGAGGAGAGAGGAGACAGACGGACGGCAAGACAGGGAGAGAGAGAGATGTCTTGTCCGTCTCGTCCGTCTCTAGTACGTCCGTGTTTCTGAGCTGACGTCATGGGCCAGTCATATTGCGCTTGAACGCCTGCAGGTATCAGCACAGTGTTGGACCCAAGCGCGTCCTGGCCTCAAAACGAGACACTGTGTGCTCAACGACATTTGCAAGTCCTCGCGTTTCGTTTCGTTTCTGGCCTCTCTTTGGCTGGGTGGGATCAAGGTCCCCCTCCCACCAGTTCCGGAGCCATCTGTGAAATCTCCCCGAAATCTTCAGGGTGAGATGGGATACCATCCGAGATTAGTTGCTGCTCACGCTCTGATCTCCTTCTTTTTGTAGAGGTTGCTAAACAGATCTGGCGTCTGTCGCCGCTGTGAGGCGAGGCGACTCGAGTCTCTCTCAAACGCGCGCGTACACGCGATCTTTGTCCGTGACCTGGGCGGGAAATGGCCAGATTGGGGTGACGCTGACGAGGATCCGATATGGTCCAGGGGGGATGAGTTAGCGCGCCGCCTCGATTTGTAACCTGCAAAGACTTGGACCAGTCAAGACCGAGCACCGCAGAGAAGGCGACGGGGAAGGATTCGAAGTTTTGCTGTCAAGCTGGCCACTAGCAGAGTGGTCATTTTACTTGGTGCAAGTGTTGTTCTCCTGTCTCCTGTACCGCATCTCGGCGGTCCCCCGGACCGGAAGAGCAGACATGGGGTTGACAAGTCGGTCAAGAGGTCGTGTCGGAGAAAGGGGCTTGCAGCAATCAAGAGCTTCTAAATCTGCTGGGTTGTGAATGAATGCGTGGTTGTTTGTTTGTGCGGGCGTGCGTGAGTGTGTGTGTGGTAGAGTTCAGGGGGGTGTTGCAGCAACGTCGATCTTTCGACAGCGCCTCAACTCGGTGGATGCCGGCAAGGACCGTGAAAGGAAACGAGGCATTGAAGGGTCGCCCGATTATTAAGAATCGTCAAGTGGTTGAGGCAGACGAAGAGGTTAGAACGAGTTGTGGTGATGTGAGTTTGTGTGGAGAGAGGAAACGTGACATTTGATCCATCTCGCCTTCTGGAGCCGAAACCACGGACGGAGAGGCAAGGGACGGAAGGATTCGAGGTCACGAGCTTTTGGAAAATTGCTGCAAATTGGAACGCGGAACACGAAGGGTTTCGATGCAGTCAACCGCGCTCGAGCTCGCTCTGAAAGGCCCTGAAACAATAGTTCCCTGAAAACGGTCCTTGGTGTTGTCGTTGTCGCTGGTGGTGGTGGTGATGTTGCTGGCTGTCGTGAACAATCATCCATGATTTTGACAAGGCATGGCCTTCCTTGGACTCCTGCGTCATCGCGACGTGCGCCAGGCCAATTGGGCCGAGGGGGTGTTGCTCCGACTGTCGAGACCCGCTTTTCTCTTGCATCCTGCTGGACACTGGCTCTGCAATTGCTTGAATTGGGGTGTGGAGCAAGCAAAATGCTAGTGGCTCATGTACCCGCACAGTGTCAATATGGTGCATTGCTAGGGATTCCGACTTGTAGATAGCATTGTGCTTGCTTTGTTTGAGCCAGTATCAAATTCGGCACGATTGTTGTTGACATTTAATTCAGAAGACGGATATAAACAGACTCGACGTGAGCAATATCTCTCAAGGCCAGATACGTGCCATAATTAGAATCCTTAATAATCATCGATGCGTGGGGTGTTTTCATGACATGGCGATCGTCCCTATTTCCTCTGGCACTTCTGTCCCCGTCCAGGCTCCCCTCCTTGAAACGGCTGAACCTAATTGGTTCCCCCGACATTCACAGAGGGGAAAGAATCGGACGACTCAACCTGCAACACAGTACGCACAGTACACTCCATATTGAGTGGCCAGTGGGTTTTGTCAGCCGCCCTAGCGCGTCGCCCTCTCAGGCTCTTCCATTTTTTTTTCGCCCCCTCCCCCCCCCCAGGTCCCGGCCGCGCCCACCCCCAAGCAGGCCTTTCCAGGAGCCCAGCGCCGCCGCCTTCTTTTTCTGCGCCTTCTTTTCCTCGCTGCCCACAAACGTCATCTCTGACGTCTTTTCCCAACCTGATCCTTTCACAATCCTCGTCCATCGACGCAATCCCGCAAACAACGCCGCGCCGCTTTGTCGTTCTTCGTTCGAGACGGGACGCTCCCTGAGTCCTCGCCAGGCACGAGCCGCAACTCCACTGCAGAACAGAAACGCTGTCGTAGTTGAGCATCTATTTTTCCGTATCTACTCTTTTTTTGCCCGTCCCTAATATTCTTTCCCACCCGTTGCACGCCCAGACGTGCGCGCGCGCCTCGTCTCGCCTCGCCTACCAACCTACTTTTGCACGATTCCATTGCACACTCCCACCTCTCCTCCTTGGACGACTTTGACGCCGAGTGTCGAGTACGCATATATCCCATCTTCGACAAGATATTTGCCTTTTAGCAAGCGCCGCCCTGGACCCAACAACTCGTCCCAACTGGCTTGAACAATCGAGAAGCTCCAAGAGGCTTATGCGGTGCGCTGTACGTGCGCTTTTGACTGTCCACGACAACTGCAACTCCTCCCCCAGTCCAGCTCCTGGACTACTTTGCCCTATAGTATCTTTACGGTCATAGACCGGCTGTCGCGCTGCTTTTCTACCTACTGTCGCCTCTGACCTCATTTGACTTTTTCGTCTTCCTCCATCCTCCTCTCCTACCACCCACCCCACTCGTCAAGTTCGATCAACCTTGCCGCCTGCCCCAGCTATAATACATCATCGTCATGGGGACTTCAACAACTGATGCCTCTGTTGGAGGCGAGTCGAAGTCCCCAAAACAATCTAACAACTCTCCCCCGCGACCAGGTAAGTCTTCGGACATCTCGTACCCATACTACCTATCCTTTGTGTCGCATTCGCAGCAGTCACAGAAGTGGCATTCCATACTTTTACCTCCATCACTGCCAACTACTCGAATGACGTATCATCGTCATCGCTCCCCGACCTCCCTCACCATCCTCACTTTCGTCCACTTCTGTCCACCTTCGTCATTGCCTCTCTCCTTCCTCTCCCATCCCTAGTCATTGCTTCCACCATCGTTCCCCTTGGTAGTTGTCTGTACCCCTTGCTCACTCTTGCCGTCGCAGTAGATCCCTCGACCGACGCGAAGGCAACCGATCCTCCCGTGAAAGCAGAGGCTGCGTCCAATGCCGAACCAGCCAAACCACTTGCGCCTCCTCCTCGACCCGGTCAACAACAAAGCAACAACACTCCCGACTACTTCGCTGCCCAAGTCGGCGGATCTCTCAGTCTGGAGCCCAATCCATTCGAGCAGTCCTTCGGGGGCGCTCCTGAGACTCCAGGTGGAACCAAACTCCCCTCTGTCGCTGCATTGACGTCACCATCTTCTCTCCTGCCCGGAAGCAACGCAACACCATTTAATTGGGGAGGAGGATCGTTGCGGACTGGACCTTTGAGTCCGGCGATGCTTTCTGGCCCGGCCAGTGATTATTTCGGCGATACTCACCACCTCCGAGGTGGCTTTCCCACCCCCAACGAGTCTTCTCTGAGGACTGGCCTGACGCCTGGCGGGAGCGGTTCTATGTTCCCTGCCCCCAGCCCTAACTCTCAAGCCCTTTTTGCGCAGCTCGCCAGTGGCGGAGCTACGCCCAGCACACTCGATTTCCATCGAACTGCTATCAGCGCCGCTGCCAAGCGTGAGCAACCCAACGGTCCTCCACCACGATCACAGAACCAACCCCAGCCCCCACCTCCACCACAGCAACCTCCTTCTGTCACCTCGCAACCCCAAGATATGCCCAACGGTGCTGCCGTTGTCAAACCTGAGGCGAAGCCCGCGTCGGGCCCTTTTGACCCGCACGATAACGACGCGGCGAATGGTCTGTTTATGCTGGCCCACGGTAGGAACGGTGCTCAGAACGCGAACCAATTCGCTCCCACTTCTGGCGCTCCTGGCCACGCCCATCCCGCGCCTGTCGCGCCACAGAATATGAACACGTCTCCACAGATGTCGAGCGTCAATGGTGGCTCTGTCGGGTCTGGTCGTGGTGTTAGCGAGGGTAGCATCGCGTCTGATGAGAGCGAGCAAGCTAGACCTAACACGCGAGGCAAGGGCAAGAGAAACCCGCCTCCTACTAATGGGCGACGAAAGGCGGAGGAACCTCCAGCCAGGCCACCCACCAACAAGAAGACCAAGACCAACAACGCCGCCGCTATGAATGGCAGCATGGACTATTCTGATGATGAAGCCAACATGAAGCACGAGGAGGGTGGCTCCAAGTCCAAGATGACAGATGAAGAGAAGCGAAAGAACTTTCTCGAGCGTAATCGGTATGGATCTCTATCCCTCTGATGGCAGTTTCGAGATTGATTACTAACCTTTGAAATAGTGTTGCTGCCCTCAAGTGTCGCCAAAGGAAAAAGCAATGGCTGGCCAACCTGCAGACTAAGGTTGAGATGTTCAGCACTGAGAACGATGCCTTGACGGCGCAGATCAACCAGCTTCGAGATGAGGTTGTCAACCTGAAGACGCTGCTCCTTGCCCACAAAGACTGTCCAGTCACTCAGCAGCAGGGACTTTCAGGTAGCTACATCGCGCATATGGAGCCATTCCCTCAGCAGATGAACCCGTACGGCATGGCAGCGCCCATGCCGAACCAACAGGTGATGGCCGGCCAGGGCGTGCAGCGTCGCTTCTCATAGAGATGCGACTGGAATTTCGGACCATGAAGCTGAGCCGAATCAACTGGAGTCTACACCGGACTCGACGATACGACCCTTATTTGAATGGACCAGGAAGGATGTGGATACCTCGCGCACACAGGCAGGGGTAATGGATGGTTTAACATACACATTATACAGAGGGCTGGAGGGGTTGCCGTTCCGAGAGCCTGCTGGCTCACATCTTCGTTTCACCTCTTTGGACTGTACAACATTTGACGAGCGAGAACAACCAGACGGGGACCGGTATCTGGTATGTGCTCGGTTAGTGAACAAACTGTTGGAGACGAGTTCACAATCTTCTTGTAAGGGGGTACCTGTGGTCTCTCGTGCACCTAGGTGACTGGTGGGGAGACCTTGGGCCCTCACAACTCTTTTAACCTGTAAGTATTCTGGCAAGGCACACGGAACGAGCACATCAAAAAGGTGTTTGGCCAGGCGGACTTTGCCTGGGGGGCGTTATGAGGAAATTGGGTCTTGGTGGACGACCACACTTGGTGTTTGGACTCGGCATTTTTGCAAGTAGCGCTAGGTAACAAAAGCTACTAGGTTCGATGAATGATAGCTGCGATATGAAAGATAACAAGTATTATTGATAACTGAGGTGCCTCTTGCGATGTGATGTGAGTTGTCTTGGTGGTGAAGGGTGTGGACGAGTGTAGCGAAGCTGTAAATGTAGAACATCTGTGAGATGACGAGCTGCAGTTAACTCAAGACCAATCTTTTGTAACTGTGACGATGTATTGACTTGGGTCTGGACTGACGTGCTGGTTAGACTGTTTCTGTATACCTAGGCCATGGAAACAGAGGCCCATTGTTGATATGAGCATCCATAGACATCCATCCATAGAGGTTCGTCAATTAAAAAGGTGGCGGTCGGTGAAGAGGAATTGGGTACCTACCTCCTCTGGGTCGGCACAGAGGTGGGGCGGTAGCTGACAGCCCTAAATAGGCTTAGCGCGGAATCTGACTGAGTAAATGATTCCCTCATGTAAACAAGACGATGCGCCCCATCTATCACCACCAACGTCAACGTCGCGAGCCGGAAACACGCATCAACGAAGCCGCAGCCCGACCGAGTCATCGCGAATTGCGTCCAGGAGCATTTTCTGCACGTTTTACAGACTTTATCACCTCGACCGGCACGTGCATCGCGACGCGACGCGCCTGTTCAAGCCTGCGCGACCGATTCGGCCGGCACAGACTCTCCACCCGGCACTAAACAGTCTTGACCTACCTTGTCTTGCCGTGACGGCCTCGCCATCACCACCCGAAGGTGACCTCGCAGCGCAACAGACGGTCCCGAATGCGCCACTCATGACGACCCTGGTGACGACTCGGCGGCCGCTTCAACTTATTAGCATGAGCAATCAGCCCCAACGACGGACGAGCAAGCGCCTCGCTGGTAGGTGGATGGATGACGACGACGCGCGGGGTGCAACGCGCGCTGACCTTTTCACAGCAACCGCCGACTACGAACGCGACGATGACTTTCAGTTTGTACGCAAGTCCAAGAGGGTCAAGACGGAGAAGGCAGAGGAGCCCGAGCCGGTCAAGAAGGCGGGGAGGGGCCGCACCACAGCTAAACAACGCGCCGCCACCAAGGCCGCAACCACCAACGGGACCATTGTCGAGGAGGAGACGAGTGTGAAGGAGACGGCGCCCAAGGAGAAAGTAGTAAAGGAAACCACCACGGCAGCCAAGCCCGCGACGAGGAAATCTACGAGACGAAAACTGAGCGTGGACGCGTCTGTCGAAGAGCCACCGCTCAAGGTTCCTAAGAGGCAGACCAGGAGGAGCGCGCGGGTATCGGGGGAGAAGCTTGAGGAAGAGCCTCCGCAGGCAAAAGAAGCTCCTCCTCAGACGAATGGCGCATCTCAGAAGCGCGCTCGCCGGCCAAAATCGCCTCGCCGTCCGCCTCCGGACTGGGACAAGTCCCCCGAGCCTCGCGCAGCGCCTGTTGAGTCAGCGAAAATCGCCCTCCCGATGAGCGACACGCCCGTCATCAACAGGAACAAGGAGATGCGAAAGAAGGGGGGCAACTCCAACAGGCGGAGCAGTCTAGGCATGCGAGGGCGGAGGGCTAGTTCACTGATCGAGAGTGGTCAGACAGCGATCCCGCACCGGGAAGTCAACACGGCGGATTTCTACAAGCATATCGAGGCAGAAGGCTTGACAGAACCTCGGCGGATGAAGCAGCTGTTGACTTGGTGTGGTGAACGCTCTCTGGCACCCAAGCCTCCTCACGGAACGCCAAACTCGAATGCTATTCTGGGCGGTGAGTGACATTGTTGTGTACTTTTCAAGATCAAGATTGCTGACTTTAAACAGCCCGTGCAATTCAGGACCAGCTTCTCAAAGATTTCGCGTCTCGATCAGAGTTCTCAGACTGGTTCAGCAGAGATGACGACGTGCCAAAGGCCCCTGTTGTCCTGAAGCCCAATCCCAAAAACATGGAGCTGGACGAGAAATTGGCTCAGCTTGAGATCAACATTAAGAGGTATGTGCAAAGCAAGATGTAAGCTCAAGTCCCATATTCTAACCATGATCAGATTACAAGAAGAAAAGAAGGCCTGGCAAGCAATAAGAAAACCACCACCTGAACAACCACCTCTCTTTGAAGAAGAAGAAACTGGCCCTATCGTCCTCCCAGACTTTGACCTTCTAGACCCAGAAGAAGGCAAGATCAGGGGTCTATTAGCAGACGAAACAGCATCATTCAACGCTATCCGATCACAGACCGAGTCACGGTTACGAACTATTCAGTCGTCACTCGAATTCCAGGTCGATCACCTCGCCGACAACGTCCATAAGCTCGAGCAGCGGGTCCTGGTCGCAGGAAAGGAGGCGGACAAGGTCCTCAGCATCAGCGCACTGCGTCTACGCCAACGGGAAGAGAGGGAAAAGGCCAGCGCGGGGACTAGGGATATGCCCATGATGGAGGTTCTGAGAAGCCTAGGCAACATTCTACCTGAAGGGGGAGGATGAAAGGGGGAATCTCTAACTTGTGCAAATGAAGGCCTTTGACGTTTGACGGTTCCTCTTTTTCACCCCCTCTGTTCTTCAGCGCATGATATTAATGACGATATGAGATGATGCGTCTTTTCTTTTACCCTCTTCACCTTTGTTCTACGGAACTTGGCGTGTATGGACAAGCTGGATATGGCTTCTTGGGATGGACATGGCGGTGGTTTTGTTGTTTCTCGGTCTGGCCGTGTTTGTTTGTTTTTTTCCTTTTCATTCTGGGTTGAACCTGGGAGTTGGGCATCGTATGGAGTTTTTCAAACCTCCTTGGGAGAAGGAGGAGAGGGGTTTTATATGTGTGACCTTGCGATATGCAGGCACAGATCGTGACTTTAGATGTTCAGCGAAACCAACGAAAATCAGATTCCACATTCGCGTGGTTTTTTTTTTTTGTTTACTTTTATTTTTAAGTATCTCGTATACGTTCTTTGTCAAATTCTTGACTTTGGTTCTAGGCTTCGAGTTATACAATGATAGTTTAACTTGTACATAATAGTAGTCTTCAACCTCTATCTTCCCACACTGTTCCTTTTCCTTTCGTTCTTGAACCTCAGACGTCCAGGGGAGGCATGAATCCCATACCACCACCCTCACCACCATCAACACTCCTGTTCCTCACGTGATGCCTCAACATTGCGAGGATCTCACTATCCTTCCACCGCGCGGGGACGGGTCTGTACGCTGGCTTGAAGTTGCCGACAGTCTGCGCCCACTCGCCCGTGGGAGGGTGGCGCGTGACCTCGTCAGCCGAGGGCTTGGCATCCTCGGAAGATGGGTTTGTGGAGGAGAGCTCCTCCTTTTGCGTGGCCCAGTAGTAAATGTCCCAGTCGTTCTCATCGAGGAGGAGGTCGTATTGGTCGAGGAGCTTGGGGGGCAGTGTGGGGAGGTGCTTGGATGCGAATGTTGAGAGGAGGAGGTCGGACTCGAGGGTTCCGCGCTTGCGGGACTGATCTTTATATTCTGTCAGCTTCAATCATTATTATCTTGGTGGATGGGGGAAACATACAGACGAGACGAGCTCGCTTGGTAGCATCGTCCTCTCCTACTCTCCGCAGAGGTTCAATCTTGAACTTTGCGCCCTGCAATTCTCCAACTCCAAGTTCCGAAGCCTGGCTAGCATCGTCTGCCCGTCGAGCGGTCGTCATCGAGAGAGGACGCATAAGAACGAAGCGGCGACCCGCAGTGGCGACGGCCGGTCGCATGGTGCGCGAGACGAGGGACGCTGCCATGGCAAAGATGGCAGCAACGAGTGAAGAATTCGAAGAGAGAGAGGCCGTGTGCGATTGAAGATGCGCGCAATTGAAGGTGGTGAGAGACAAATCGATGGGCGGAGAGATACGGAAGTGGGTTTTCTGTTTCTTGGAGTCGTTGACGTCGAATATTCGGGCCCAGAGCCGAGGCCGAAGAATTGCACGCCCGAGATTGGTAAGTCAGACACAAAGCCGGAGCGGGTGGGTCCGGGGTATCAACCGACGGACCCGGCAGATCTTGGGATGCATGATAAGTTGTACTTCATGAGGAATTGCAATATTTACAGACATGACTCCATTTATTCGTAACCGTATTTTCTTCTTCTTTTGTACTCATGGAGAGGGTATATCATCTCGAACCACCCCCCAAGTCTAACATCTAAGCTGAAGGCTCAGCCGTTCTGTCAGGCAGCTCGACAGTCTTGTCCTCGGCCTTCTTCTCAGCCTTGCCCTTCTTCTCCTCCTTCTTCTTCTCCTCCTTGGGCTTGGGGTTCGGGTTTCCGGCCCACTGCAGTTTCCGCGGCTTCATAAAGGCATCCAGCACCTCGTCCGTCACCTCCTTTCTCCGCTCCTGGAACTGCGCCACGTAAGGCTGCAGAGCCTCGATCGCTAGCTTCTTCAGCTCGCCCGTCAGGAGGGCGCCGCTCTTGTAGTCGTTGTAGATCTTCTCGAGCTTCTCGTCGTCGTCCTCAAAGTAGGTGAGGTAGATGTACGCCACATCGACATCGGGGTTTCCTCCCTTCTCGCGGTGCTCCTCAAGAGTCTCACGGCCACCGCTGAAGGCATAGCGGTTGATCTTGTTCTACATGGAATGTAAGTCTATATAATTAGTTAATTAAATCATCAAACGCACCTTGATCTGCTTAGCAGTATCCGTCATGAAAATAGCCGAGTTGGGGTTCGAAGAAGACATCTTGCCACCCGCACCCTGCAGCGCCGTGAGGAACTTGGAGTGAATCAGGGCAGGCTTTGGCGAAGGGTTCTTCATGCGGTGCGAGTTGTCTCGAAGGAGGCGGAAGTAGGGATCCTGGTCGATGCCCATGGGAATGAGGCACTGGATCTTGCCGAGCTGCTTTGTTCGGACGGGAGAAGGGTCGTCGGTCCAGATCTCGGGGTACGAGGTTGCGAAAGCAGCCACGCACTGCACCGATGGGAAGAAGATCTTGCCAATGTTGGTGCTTTAAAGAGTTAGTAGTCTACAATTTAGTAATGAGGACAATCTACCTACCTCTCGTTGAAGCCAAAGGCTCCTCGGACCTGGTTAAAGGTGACCAGCTTGGAAAACTCCCAGGCGTTCATGAGGAAGTGATGACTCAAATACTTGAGATCACTGTACACAAACGTCTTCTTTACATCGAAACCCAGAGCGATAATGTCGCGCGCATTCTCCATGCCGTACGCCAGCGTCTCCTCAAACGTCAGGTTGTCCTTGAACAGGGCCTTTTCGTCGTCCGTCAACATGAAGACCAGGGGCACGTCAAAGACCTCCTGCAGCCATCTTGTGAACTCGAGGGGGATCGTGTGGCCCAGGTGGAGGCTGCCGGTGCTGGGTCCGCGGCCCGTGTACAGGAAGAAGGGCTCGCCGTGCTCGTACTTTGTGAGGATCTTGTCAAAGTCGCGATGGCTGAAGAAGAGGCCGCGTCGGAGCCAGCGGTGCGGCTTCCTGCCCGTCACTCTCTCGAACCGCTCGAGGAGTTCCTGGTTGATGATTGAAGTGTTCCATTTCCTGATTAATTGTTAGATCAACAGAACAAAAAAAGTCGATGAAGTCTGGTACGATTTTCGGGCTGAACTCACTTGCAGATGGCGTCGTAGTTGATGGCAGCGACTTCACCATTCTCGCCCTGCGCACCCTCGACAGACCAGGGGTTGATATCCTGGTCTTGAACGACCGTCTTGGGGGGGTTCTCTTCAGCCATTCTTTCTGTCTTTTTCTTTGCTTCTGCTTGACTCGAGTCAATCTTTCTTTTGAACAGACCAAGTATCGCGGGGTCGTTCCTGGGTGTGGAGGGGCACAGCACCTTCCCTCCTTGAGTCAGAGCTGGTAGTCGGCGCGCCAATTGAATTGATTGTTTGAGTTAGCTAAGCAGGGCTCCAGCCACACTCGACCTATCACAGCCACTCTCCAATTGACCAAAGAGCACACGCCACACTTTCATCTCGAAGCCAAGAGATCGCGTGCCTCCTTTCATCTCTGTTAAAGTGAAATGAAATCATGTATATGGACATAAATTATTGCTCTGTCATGACTTTTGTTACACTCAGCTCGTCAATCAAGCCTCAGCTCGGATAGGCCTAGTCTTGTTTTCCCTTCCCGACCATGTACATGCCACGGATTAAAACGCCAGCATGCCCGGAAACTCAAACCACCTACACAATTACACACAAGCAGCACGAGGCCGTCTATCCTCTCCAACAGGGAGAAGTGTGGTTCCTCCTCAGACAGTGTCGCGCACGCATTTCTTAAAAACAGCAAGTCTAGTCTCTAGATCAGATGCTTTGACCGGAAGTAAGCGCGGAGGTACATGATCTGCCACGCCCAGAGGCCGATGAGCAGCCAGGTGGTGGCGACGCCGAACCACTTGACTCGGTTGTTGGTGCTCTCGTTGGTGTCTCGCAGCTTCTGCTCTCGGGCGCGGAGGTACTCCATCTCGTTGACAAGCTCGGTCGTGATCTCCTCGATGCGGCGGAGCTCGGCCTCGAGGGGCTTGAGTTTCTCGGTGGCCTGGATGGCGGACCAGTCCTTGGCGTCGGCACCAATGTCAATGTCGAGCTCGATGTGGCGGGTAGGGTTGTTGATTCGCTTGGCTATAGGAGGTGTTAGTCAATTCATGACAAGCAGCATGTGATGGTCAGGAGTCGTCACTTACAGCCAGTAAAGACATTCTCGAAGCAAACGTCAAAGGCAGCGTCGGCGTGAGAGGTAAAGACAGTCCTCGACTCGCCAACAACATCCTTAGGGCGACCGTACTCGTTGCCAACGGCATCGCGAATCTGTCAAGGTCCATTAGACACCCTTCCCTTCCTCGAGGACAGTGCAAGCAACATACATAAAGGTTCACCATCATGCCATCGCCCTTGAATCCATCAACGGTCGCCGTAACCACCACAAGTGTGTCCTTGCCGACAAAGTTGCGAATGCAACGCTCCTTCTTGGAGCCCTCGGCGGTTGCGATCAGGTCGAACTTGAGAGCGCTGGCAGCGCCGACGAGCAGCAGGACGCTGCAGAGATACTGCAGCAGCGAGCGTTGGAGGGCCATGGTCGTGGTACTGAGTGACGAAAGAATGCCTGGTAGAGGTGGCTTTCTCTCTCTCGCCTCTGTCGTTTATGGTCGAGTCGTCGGGGATGGAGAGGGAGAGGCTACGTACGTAGATACGATGTTCTCCTTCGAGACAAGACAAGGGGCTTAAACTGAAAGGTGTCCCGGTCGCGCTGGGGCCCACCCACCCTGAGCTGCTAACAGCAGCCCCTAAAACCTCGGTCCAATCATGTAGCGTCTTGGCGCTGGCCTTGTCGCCGCCATCACGTGTGGGGCCAGCCTCGTTGACCTTGGGGGCTTTTCGCGCCCGAGGATCGCAGTCCAAAACACCATCACCAAATTATCCAATTCGAATAGCGTCATCGCGCATTACCGTCACGATGCCCAAGTGTAAGTCAAGACCCCCATTGATGACTTTCGTAATCGCGCATTTCGCTAACATTCTCCATAGTCTTCTGTAAGTCCTCCACGATCCGCGCGCCACCTCGCCAACTGACCTTTGTTCCCAGGCGACTATTGCGATGTCTACCTCACGCACGACTCCATGAGCGTGCGCAAGGCTCACAACAGCGGCCGAAACCACTTGCGAAACGTGGTAGACTACTACCAGCGTGAGTCATGCCCGATATCCCCATCTCAGCTCGTCAGACTGACCCCTCTACTAGAAATTGGCCACGAGAAGGCTCAGTCAGTCATCGACTCCATCACCTCCTCCTACGCCGCCGAGGGCCAGGCCCACGCGAATCCCATGCTTCCTCAGAACCAGCCCGGCCAAGGCTTCCCCCCGCCCCCATTTGGCTTCCCCGGTGGTAAGTCAACGAGAAATATCGTGCCCTCGAGATTGAAAGAGCAAGGCGCGCTGACCGGCTATAGGTATCCCGCCACCCTTCCCAGGAATGCCTGGGGCGCCTCCAGGCCAGTTTCCTCAAGGAATGCCTCGTAAGTACATGTTGCTACGTTCTCGAAGTTGATCACTTGTTGACATCCTATAGCACCCCCTGGAGGTGGCCGCGGCATGCCTCCTATGCCTCCATTCCCTCCTGGACCTAATGGCATGCCTGTGCCACCAAACGGTCTTCCTTTCCCTCCTCCGGGCGGCTTCCCTTTCCCTCCCCCTGGTGCTCCCGGTGCTCCAGGAGCTCCCGGCGCATCGGGTGGTGCTCCTCCGCCTTTCCCCGGACTGCCCGGCATGCCTCCGCCCGGCCAAGGGTTTCCCCCAGGTGGTCCACCTGGATTTGCTCCCCCTGGAGCAGGAGCTCCAGGTCACGAGAAGCGATGAGTGTCGACTACGATAGCGGGAGATGGGATTCCGGCTGATTGTAACCATAGCGTTATTGGCGAATTAGGCGTTCAAGGACAAGATCGGGACAAACTGATCAACTCTAGGTAGTAACCTTTGACACGGAAAAATAGATAATTTGAGCCCAATATTAAGGACAGAGGCCAGCCTCTTGTGAACCTAAGTCTACGTTGCAACCACAACAAAAGCACCCGTTGGATCAATCGTTTGCCCTTAAGACAACCATGAAACATCCTTTTACTACATCTGCCGTATCCATCTCAAGTAACAGCAACTCGTCCTTGGTATATATATTTTACACGGACAGGCATACCCGCGGAGAAGAGCAACGTAAAACATCTCCCGCTATTCCTTCGCCCACATATAATCCATTCCATCATCAAACTTGTAACAGCAAATCGTGAGCAATATCATTTCCGTAACCCAGAATCATTCATAAAGCGTAAATCATCTCAATCATGAACCTTTTGTCTTGATCATATGCAGACCCAAATGGCGTCTGCGTCCGTGGCGTGATGGGATGAGGTTGGCCAGGGCCAGTCCAGGGCCATGGCTTGACTTTTTCAAGTCTGTGTGTGTGTTTGTGTTTGGTAGTGATCGCGCGCAGTGCTCGACCGGATCACGTCTCCTACTCCGTCTCGAACCTCCTTCGGGCCACTAATCTTTTGGCGGAGTTCTCGAGACCGCTTCTCGCGTCTCCTTTCACTAAGCTTCCGCCGAAGGTTATGGATCTCCTCGAGCCTACTACCGAGGGAAAGCCGACGCCTTTCCCTGTTGGCGCGTCGATGGAGACTGTTCGACCGCCAGAACGGCCTCTTCACGTCTCCGTCCACCGCGCTATAAGGTCGCTCTTCGTCATTGTAATTGCGTCGCAGAGAATCCAGGCTCGCACGATGTCGCATAACTCGAAGATTTCCACTTGGAGTTCGGCCAATGGTACGGCGCTCGGTAGTGGGCCAATCGTAGCTGGTGTAGTAAGAGTCTTCCCGAGGGAGGACAGCAAATGTGCGCTTCATTCTCGCGCTGAAGCTTCTCTCAAGTCCCTTTGATGGTCGGTTGTCCACAGGAGGATATCGGAAGATCTGTTCCACCGGGTCGTTTGAGAAACGGACGCCCTCGTCGTCATAGCCGTCCCAGTCATCCGAATCCTCGCTGGACCATTGTGGGCGCCAGAACGGGTGCAACTTGTTCTCTTCCGCTGGACTATCATCCGGGCTTGGATATGCTGGTTCACGTTCCATGTCTGACAGCCCCTTGCCGTGTCGAGTGCGTGAGAGAGACAATCTCCGGGTCAAGAAGCTCTGGGCTTTCGAAGTTGAGGGGCCAAAATCGACCGAGTGGCGACGGTGACGGCTGAAAGCCCGGCGCACCACTGAAGGACGTCGAGGAGGCTTCTCTCCGAGAGCTTCAAAGTAGTTGCCCATATGCACCATCTTTTCGTGGGCCGGTGTGCTGCCTGATGGAGTTGCGGGAATGAAATTGATGGCCGGTGGGTGACTGGGCGGCTCAGGGGGCGCTCGTGGGTTTCGGAGCGGTGAGTCGATGTCGTTGAATGAGAATTTTGTCTGAGGGGGTGTAACAGGAGATTCCTCTGAGGAGTCGGTCGGCAGTGGCACTTCCAACTCAGCGTCTTCCCTCTCATCTTCGTCAAGGGATTCAGATGGCCTCGTCGAATGGTCAACCATCAACAATGACGAGTTCTGATGAGGGTACATCTGCACTGCTAGAGCTTCCGAAACCACTGGGTTAGTCCCATTTGTATCAACAGAAGCCAGCGAGAATGGCGTGTTTTGTGGCCCATATCCCTTGGCAAACAGGAAATCGTCGTGGCGCTCGGAACTCAGGCGACGATGAGCCCAGTCCTTCTCGGAAGCATTCGAAAGAGTCCGTGGGGCCAGCACATCTTCCGAAAATTTGATGTCAGGCACCTTGCCTTCCTCCTTCTTTTTCATCAGAGACTCCTGCAGGGCGTTGTGAAGCTTGATGCTCTCGGCAGTCAATGAGCTGGCCCGTGAGCCATTTCGACTAGTAGGCGCCGAGAGGGAAGACGAGCGAGCCGGGACAATAGGAGGATAATCAACAGTCCTCTGGTCCGAGTCATCGGGCACAGAGCTTTTACGACCCCGGGATTCGCGAGACACGAGAGTCGCTTCGTCGTTGGTCGTCGATCTGTCGTTGGGTGCCGGGCTGATACTTGCAGTGCGGCTCGAACGAGATCTCAAGGAAGGTTCTTTGTTGGACTTGGACTTGTGTGACGACAGCCGATCTGGAACAACCACCACAGGAATACCACCAGATTTCCAGACCTCCCGTCTAGCCCTACCGCTAGAGACAGAATTGAGCGTCGTACTTGAAGCCTGGCTCTCATGCTTTGCAGTATCCGGGCGGCTGCGAACGCGCTGCTCCTTCTGCGATTTGTCCGACTTAAGAGAATGGGCAGTTGAGCTTGGCGAGTCATCGAGAGGATCCCTCAAGATAGTCTGCTTTCGAACATGACGCAGGGTCCTCTGCCTCGTCGGTGTAGCGTCCAAGAGGTAGGCCTCTACAACAGTCGAGACGGTAGATTTCGTCGATATAGCCGATGCCCTGCGCGGGTCGGAGCTGGCGGTGACCGTGCTCGAGGGAGCCGTTGGTGCTGCCTCACGAACTGAAAGTCGTTTCGCAGAGGGAACGCTGTCATTTCTTTGGTGCAACGACAGATTCCTAACTGCCTTGGCTGCTTGAGTCGGTGTTATCATATTGGGCTCAATAACCCTAATTCCGTACGGGTTCGAAGTTGGTATTTCGAGAGGCTGAGGTCGCTTCTTGACGGTTACCAATCTCTGCAGGTTGTGGTCCCATTCCTGCTCGACCTCGCTCACGGAGCCCCAGTCACTGTCATTATGGCCCCAGTCCACCCCTGATCTAGACGTACTGCTCCCTTCTGAACGAGGGGGTAAGTTTGCCAATGCCAGGCCCAGTGCCTCAGGCTGCGGAATGTAGGCGCCAGTATCAGACACCTGGCGCACAGTCGAGCGCGAAGCCTTCGTATTAGCAGACTTGTCTGCATCTTCATCCACCGAAAGCTCCTCCCGTGCGGTTGTGAAGGAGCCAGATTGTGAGCCAACAGTTGTGGTGCTCGAACCAGGGCGCTCAATGACGTCTGGGCGTAGCAGTTTGGGGCGGCTGGCATGGTGAGGCGGTGTTACATCCGGGGTAGGCGGACTCTTCTGGTTAGGTGGTGTACTGGGTGGTCGTGGTTGCGACTTCTGAGGCGTCTGCAATGCTTCGTCGGTCGCGGATGGACTGCTCGCCTTGGCGGACGAGTTATCCGATGACTTGCGCGAGTGTCTCGGAGGAGTAGGGGGGAGATCTGGGCCACTCCCAATCCTTCGCGATTGATGTTTGAGGGTTCGGGGGCTGGATGGTTGAGCGCCGTTTCCAGAACGCGAAGATTCAATGAGCAGGTCACGTTTAGGCGGAGTAGCTTTCGCGATTTGAATTGGGATTTCAGGCGTTCTCTCGTGGTGTGGACGAGGCAGAACTTTGTGCTTTTTGAACTGCCTCTGGCCAGAGAGGCTGGCCCCCAAGGGCGGCTTGGGAGAATAATCGGCGGGAGCTGTCATTATGACGGGCGAGGAAATAGAATGTGCAGCTGAGAGCATGACTTGGAGTGGCGGCGACTTTTTAAAACTTGAGCTTCGCGACGACAATGTTGAGACGAGTTGGTGTTCGCATGCTGGCAGCGATGTGTCGGAAACAGGGTTAGGAAAAGTTGCGGTACACAACAGAAGCGACAGGTTAAACAGCAATCCGAGACATGTAAGCAAGAAGGCGATGCGCTTCTGCAGTGGTGGCAGGCGGTTTTCGATCAAAAATCAGGCAAGGTGGCAGGTGGGCACGGGCACGACCACGGCGTGAACCCGACCTGTTGAGCACTCGTAACGTGGTTCAGGAAGTAGCGTCGAGGATCGAGCGCGATGATAGGATACGCATAGTGCCCGAGGGCGAAGTTGGCGCCGGGATTGGAGATTACGGTTTCTCGTCAATACTTGAGTGTGAGAAGCGAAGCTTGACGGGCGAAAGAGCGACGCTGGTGCGAGAGCGGAAGCAAGAGCAAAAGTCTGGCGTTGAGGAAGGACGGAGAGATGAGGTGAGGTGAGATGACGAGAGCGATTGATGGAATAGATGGATGACGGGAGGGTGGAGGGAGACCAAGGCCAGAAGAAGCAAGGGCGCCGTCAAACTGGAAGGGAAGGGAGGAACCTAGGGAAGGGAAGGGGGCCGCCTGCGGGACACGCTAAGGGGGTCGAGGATTTCAGTGGCCTCAGCGGCTCCTTCAGTGGCCCCAGCCTGTGCATTTCACGAGCTGCAGTGGCCCAGCGGCCCGTCCAGTGAGGTCGCCCAGTGCCAGAGAATCGAGTCCTTGGTGGTCCCCAGTGGGGATCCTCGATTTGGCACTGGAGGCACTGACGCAACCTCGAGCAGGGGTGTCGCCGTCTCGTCGAGTCTCCAGCCTTGCTTGGCTTCCAGTCCATGGTTGCTTGCTTGCTTGTCTGCATGCACACTGCCTGCCATGCCCTGCCATGCCATGCAATGACGGATGCCCGTCTTCCTCAGCTGGCACAGCGACCATACCGTGGCACCAGCGCGCACACATCGAGTCTTACGAGGGCAAAGGACATGCCGATGGATATTTCTGGGACGGTCCGACGAGCGCGTCTCCCGTTGGGTGCATGGGACGGGACCCAGAAGCTTTCTTGCTGTCACTCTTGATCTAGCTCGACAGCCCAGACTTGGCTTGGTGTCCCTGGAGCGACTCTATTGGGCAGATCTTGGAGTCTCGAATCTGGGAACAGGCGCTTGTTTCCATGCTCGTACTGTGAGACCAGTGCGATGTGATGCCTTGATGGACCGATGCTTGAAGTTGGTGGGGACCGCCATGCAGAAGCTGGAGGGACTTGGATGGAAAGACAGTCTGGTATTGGGCTGAAGACCCTGGACTGGCGCAGTGTCGTTTCTTCTTTTGTTTCCATTCAAAACCTTCAATGCCGGGAAGCTTCAGGGATCTTGGCCTGGCTTGGACAAGCGCCGCGCAAGAGAGAAAAAAAAAAACAGGTCCCCCGCTCTCGATTTGCTGCCCACTTGGTGATGCAAGACGCCAGCTTTGTTGATCATTGATACCCCAGATGGATGACATGGCTGGCTGGAAGATCCGCCCGGAATCACGCACCCTTCAGTCCAACTCCTTCTCTATCGACCAATGTGATTCTCCCCTTGGCTCATCCTACGATTTCTTTTCTCACTCGTGGCGATCAACTCTCAACTTTGAACCCTCAACTGAGGCACTACGTGAAGCGTCGTCCCTACACCCTCACCAACCTCGTTGCCTCGAGGGAACGAATCGGCCGCGTCGGAGGCGCAAGCCTAGGGAGAGGCCGCTAAGACGAAAAAAAAGAACTGCCACCTTGGGGCATCTGCAGGATGGCACAAAGTGGTGTCTTGGATAGCCACTCACGACTCAATGCACCTCTCCCACTCGATCTCGCCCACGGCCCTCTTTTCTCATCCGTGAACCAAATCACAGTCGACTGCTGCAAGTCGTGCAAAGCGGAGCCTCTCTATGTAAGAGCTGGGGGTTTTTCTGACCCCCCTGCTCCTATTAGCATGAGATAGGCAGGTGAAAGTTGACGACGCAGTTTGTCGGCTTCTCTGGACGATCGATCAAATCGACAGCGACCTACCCTGTTTCCGGCTCCGTCAGCATGAACATGTCTCTATGCGAAGCATAGTCTGACGTTCTGTTGGGGGCCACAGAGTGGTAATAGGTGCCGTCCCGGTGCGAGCCCTGACGCTGCAACACAAGATGAGACATAAAATTTGGTCTCGCGTGCCAGATCCCGCCCTGCATGTGTAGGCTCAGGCTGGTGATTAGCCCATCGAGATGGCTTCAGTCTGTGTGTTTCTCACGAGGACGCTCTGTCCCTGACAACGAGCCCCTGAAGCGATGCGTCCCTGAGACCCTGCATTTGACGTTTTTATTTCTGGAACTTTGGGGCCAATTTGTTCTCCTGCATTTTGCTGACTGCTGTCTTGAATCGACCGCCTTTTCTGTGCCAGTGAGATTCCGTTGAAGCGAGTTGTTGATGTGGGCTTCGCCAACAACATATGCATGTCTGATTCGGCAAACATGAAATCGCCTCTCGCTTCCTCACTCATGAGACCTCGAGAATGGACATGTGCAGTCTCGCTAAATTTGTTTGCCTTGGCCTGACTTTGTTTTTTTCCTGTGCAAAGTGGCAGGGTGAACGTGACGTCTCACAAAACGTCGTTGTCCGACGCATCACCAGCACAACAAGACTTGATGTGTTTGACGATGCACGAGAACGGCGGAAGGAAACAGCACAGCTCTGACTCAGAAAAATTCTGCAGCTTGTGCTCGATCGAGAAGGCGTTGGACTAAAAATGAAGCTTGTCGGGCCTCATCGCAAATATTGAACAACAGAGGTAGTCCGCCAAAGCTCTAGACCAAGGGGCGGAGCGGTAATGAGAAACCTAACAAGCGACAATGACAATGTAACATGAAAGGTAAGATGGAGCCAATCTTGTAGATCCAATGTATTCTTCTCCTATTCCATAAGAAACGAAATAGTTACCCTAGTCCAATCATTTCGTCTAACCATGGCCAAATCATCTAGCTTCAGTTCTCGATGGTGTGTGCACTTATCATCTACCCTGGCAAGACTGGCAAGAAGCCGCCAGCCGATATCCCATCTCATATCTCCAAATGACAAACCCCCATTTTCAATCCGCACCATCATCAGCTTCTTCTGCCAGGTTGCCTAGCTCAATATCGGCAAACTTCCGATTGCAGATCTCATAATATTACTCCGAGCTGTCGCCCTCGAGCTTGTGGACTGGGTGTTGGCCAATCTACCACGGACTATCACTTTCATATATGGCATCTTTTCACGTAGCAGCAGCGGAAGACATCACTAGAGAAATAGGACAAGGGGACGGTATCCTGCAAATTTTGCCAAGCCATGTCTCGATGACCCGAACCAACACCCTACACTTGAGGGTGCAACAAGATTCTGACTATCACTCGCCGTGCAGCGCACTTCTGCAAGCGTTGATCCCTAGGTCCGAGCGATAACGACCTGCAAACAGGAATCCAGCTCCTGCGAGATCTCGAGAGATAACCTTGCCGGTGACCGCCGTGCTTATAACCACCCTTAGAGAGTGGGCCCATTCGTCGAAGAACGACTCGACTCGAGATGGTCATTCAGCCTGATCTTGGTGCCATACAACCTCGGTGCGGGGAACGATGCTGGCCGGGGTCTCGAGATACGAACACGCTCCTCTTCTCGTATGGGAACTTGGTTATTCGCTCATGTTATCACGCCTTTCCCGAGCCAATATTGAGCTTCTCCGCACATTGTCGGATGATTGCCGTCGCTTGAGCGAATATCGAAGCGGTCGATGTCACCCAAGGTACTCTTGACGGACGACGGATGTAGGAAACGGCGGTCTTCTATTCTCTGGCGGAGATTTCCACGGAGATTCCAAGAACAGAAATTCTCTCGAGGAGGAACGCGTGGCTTTCGGCTCAGACGGAGGCCGACAGGATATATACCTATCAAAGGCTCAAAGCCATTGCGAAGCAGTCAGCAATGCCATGCCGTGTCGCCGATGGCGTCCCAGTCCGCCCATCGTTAGCCTGTGACGCTGTGTGAGGGACAATGAGGCTGAGGCTGGTGGTGGGCTGAGTGCAAGCCACAGGACCCTAGATGTCGGGTCTCGCGCAACGTTACGACAGCGGGTGATTTACACCGGCTTCTAGATCCAACGTCGCCGGGCGGAAGTTTACGAGCCAGTGGCCTTTGCTTGGATTTCTAAAATAGGTCAAAGACATTCATCTTTTTCGGAGGAGAGAGGGTGTCGAGCTATACGAGCGTGGAATAGCGAATGATCTAGGTGAATCGACAAGGGGGAAAAACGAGAGTGACAACCAAGACATGCGACCTTGGCTCGGTGTGGAAGGTCACGGAAATGGCACGAAGAGGGTTGCTGGGCCATCAGGAAGGGCGGGCCATCAGTCACTTGAGTCACCAAGCGAGTCACCGTCTTCCCACAATCTACACGACGACTGAGGGGCCTCGATACGATTGACTTCACAATCACCAGATTCTGTCCGGTCACGGCCCGCGGCGATCTAGCAGCATTTTTCTATTTGGAGAGACCGAGGCACAAGACCGACCCGAAAACCCAAGATCCTGGGGCTCATTGACGATGAAGTCATCGGGCCTCCTGAAGCCACTGAACATTCCAACAGCTTCTGAACCTACCCACTGATTCCTCAGTCCCAGGGCCCTGGGAGAGCCCGAAATGCGAACTAGCGGCTCCATCTCGGTGGTGAGCATCGCCGCACTTTGGGTGCCGGCAACCCCGGCGTCCGGCACAGGGCACATGGCGGTCCGCTAGAAACGCCCATCTTCCAAGAATAGCCCCTGTCGCCTCTTTGACGGGTAGCCCTACACTACCTGAGCCTGACAGTGCCTCCGCCATGCTCCGTAGACAGCTCGTTGTTTAAGCTTTCCCCGTCGGTCGGATCAAAAATCGACGCAGTCTGACATAGCCACCCATGTCCCGAGAAGTTTGTTCCACGGCCTTGCCCAATCCAGGGGCCGCCCCAGCATCCGTTCGGCGAATTCGCCTTGGTCAGCGTCAGCGGAGATGGCACTGACAGCACTTGGCGACGCGGCTATTGCGAACTCGGTGGGGGAAAATGTAGAAAAAATGCTACCTCCGTGACTGTGCGGACTGCTTGCATGGAGACTAACAAGATTGCAGATGACGTGAGGTCTAGGCTCTCAGAGAAGCATCGTGGGAGTGGCGTGCAATCCCTGTGGTTGACGATAAACGGCGGGCCATGGTAGCATCGCCGACTTGGGCATTGTTCCCTTTCGGGACGCGGTGGGGCGGCTCTGAATGGTCATCAGCAATACGGACATCCAGGGTCTTCCTCAACGACCTCCCACACCTCGTATCCATATCGCCATTCTCACTAGCCACTTCGCCATGCCGCCTATCAGCCCTGCCACCGAGTCGGCCGCCATTGGCCTCCCCGAGAGTCGAGATGACAACTCTTAGCAGGCTCCGCTCTATCTCGCTTACACACCCCGTGTAATCAGGCCGCCAGTTCTTCCAAGATATAAGAAAGGCCTTGCCTGATGCTAGATGCCTCTCTCATTATCTCAACACACCATCGTCTTTCGTTCAAGATTAGCTCTGTCGATCATCACATACTTCACTCGACATTATACATTCGTTAATCCTAAACACCAAACAAATCACATCAACCAATATGCGAACTTCGGGAATCATCATTGTCGCCGCGGCAGCCGTTGCCAACGCTCACTACGAGGAGGTTAGTCCATGTCCCAGTAGATTCCATCCTTCCATATATACTAACAAGAATATCAAGCCCGTTGTGTATCCTACACCATCGGCTAGCTCTGTGTCTACAGTGAACCACCCCAGCTACTCGACCACAAACGGTGGAGGCTTCACTACCGTCTACACTCATCCCGTCTACCCCAACACCAACACCACCACCGTCAAGCCTACTCAGTACACCACGAGCACCGTCTACACCACCAAGACTTACACCATCACCAAGTGCCCTCCCACGGTCACCGACTGCCCGATTGGTCACGTCACCACTGAGACTATTCCTGTCTACACCACCGTCTGCCCCGTCGAGACTGGAAAGCCCGTCGAGCCCAAGCCTGTCGAGCCTAAGCCTCATGAGCCCAAGCCCAACCCCGAGCCAAAGCCAAACCCGACTGAGCCCGGAAAGCCTCATGAGCCTCTTCCCACCAACCCTGCCGACTGCATCACCAAGACTCAGACCTATGTCTACCCTCACCCAACTCAACCCGGCCAGAGCGTGACCAAGACCATCACTTACACCATCCCCAAGGAGCCTTCCCACAATGCAACTGCTGTGAACCCTCCTCCTCACCACACCTACAACCCGGCTACTCCCACTGGCGGTGCTCCCGTCCACCCCAACGGAACCGCGCCCGAGTACCCCGGATCTCATGGTGGAAAGGGTGTCAACGGTGGCAAGTCTGGAAGCGATGAGGGAACCGGCAGCTCCACCCCCGACAAGGAGGCCGAGCGTCTTCCATCCGGCCCCACTTCGGAGGAGGATCAGCCCGAGACCGTCACATCCGGCGCCGCGATGACCACAGTCACCGGACTCCTGGCCATCGTCGGCTTTGCTGCTGCCTACCTCATCTAAAACCCCGCACCCCCTTCCTCAATCTTTGTTGGAATTGTTTTTCAACGTACTTTCAAAATTCTCACGATCCTTACATGATGCATGATAGCATAGCATTTGGGGCATTTGTCATTTTATCGCACTAGCGAATGGCGTTCTTTGGGAGATTCCGCTCCGGGCACCGGGATGAACTGGGCCGAGCGATGACTGGGCAATGTTTTATATGAGATGGAAAGGGTTTCAGCGTCTATTTTACATACACGCAAACACGACTTGAAGATATATCACTACTAATTATTTATGGTTAATCCTAGCGATCATTCCTTTAGACTAGACTTGATTTTAATTTTAATTCCTCCATCAAAAGTTGCCAAAGCAAAAACATTTAAACATACAAACAATTGCTCCATTTCCATTTCCATTTACTGTGTTCATAATTCGTCAATGCTCGCTTACAAAATCCAATCCTTGCTTATTTCTTATTCCTCATCGTCCTGCTTTGCACAGTGCATCAAAAACCCAAGCCTGTGGTGCATCTTTCTCACTCTCGCTCTCATCCATGTAGCTCAGATAGAGCGCATATCGAAATAAGGCCTCCCTTAGGTTGTCCTCGGCGATGTCATCCCTTCCCACGCCATTCTGCCACTCATCAATATCCAACTTGTCTCCATCGAGACCCCTCTCAACAGCCCACGAATCCCCGCGCAGGCCGGCCCACAGGGCCATGAGAAAGGCCTCGTCGATGGGCAGGTTCTTGGGGACGCTGCAGCATGGAGACCAGATGGACGGACGTCGTCGACGGCGCTGAGGGTCCCGGGAGATGGTGGACAGGGTGCGCTGCGCGACGTCTGGGTCGAGAAAGGATACAAGCTTCTCAAAGGTGCGCTTGGCGAGGATTGCGTTGAAGGTCCGGGAGGTAAGCCGGGTGTGCTTTACAGCGGGGGACGGCAGGTGATGGAGGATTTGGAGGAGGATCTCCGGGGGGAGGGTGTCCATTGTGGTCACTGCGGCTGCTGGTATCTTGTACTTGGGGGTGGTGTCTGAGGTGGTGGAAGCGTGAAGAAGCCACCAGTTTGTATGATGGTAAAAGATGTGTGTGTGTGTGTGTTTGAGAGGAGAGAGCAGAGTTGATGAGGCAGAGAAGGAGAAAAAAGGACGGGGGCTTACTGGCCCTTTCGTCCGAGGTTTATATCTCTCCGGACTTGCAAGTATCTACGCCCCCGACGTCGTCTCAAACCCCCGGTCCGCAAAGGTTCTCACCCCGGGCACCATGTCAGAAGACCAGCGAATGTTCGGATCCACCGCTCGCCGAGTCAGGCGCAATAGGAGCAATTGGCTAAATGACCCTGGTATTTGTTTTTGCTTCTCTTTGTTTTCCTTACCCCCAACGGATGTACATGGCCGATAGAATCACCGAATGCTGCTGTTTTCCTTGGATGAGTCCTCGCGGAGCTTCAAGGCCGGCAGGGCGATACCGGCTGTGACGTCGATAGGTGGCTCTCGTCAGATGGTAGTTTTGTCGGATGAGGCATGTGCAAGGGATATGATTTGATTTGATTTTTGGTTTTGTAAGCAATTGTCCTGTGACGCTTTATGCTGACCAGGATTACTTTTTACTTGATGACATCTCGTCTATAGTCAGAGTTCTTGATAGCTTCATGCTTACGCCCCCACCGGTCCGGTCTCCTCCTCCCACCACTCCTTCAAGAGCCGTAGTCTCTCGGTCCTTTCCCTGGCCATCCTCCGACCCTCGTCCGTCTTCATCATGCCCTCGAGAAGGAGCAGCTTCTCGTCAAAGTGGTCCATGGTATTCTCCAGTGTGCGGCCCTTGGCACCTCCAAAGGCAAACGTCCGCGCAATGCCCACGGCGCCGATGGCATCAAGCCTGTCAGCGTCCTGCACCACCGCTAGCTCCGGGTACTTCTCCACAAGAGCCCGGGTGCGCGCCGGGTCCTTGACTTCGGAGGAGTAGCTGACCCCGAGGCAGATGGCCTGGACGGTGTCGGCGAGGGCGGCCGGAGCACCGAATGAGACAAGGAGGGTTGATATCAGGCGTGAAGCGTCCTCACCGGGACGTAGGTACTTCTTGTCACCGACATCGTGGAGTAGGGCCGCGAGGGTGACGAGAGAGCGGTCAGCCTCGGGAGTGACCGACTGAATGTGGAGGGAGAGACGGAGGACACGCTGGATGTGGTTGAAGTCGTGTGAGGCGTCGTAGTTGGACATGTACTTCTCAACGTACGTCGTCACCTTGCCGACAAGGGCATCGTCTACCACGAAGTCTTCTGAGGCCATGGTGGATGAACAATCGGTCTGAAATGAGCGACTCTTTGGGAGAGAATCAAGAACGTGAAAGTGAGTGGCTTGGTTGAAAGATCGGGTGGAAGTGAGAGAAAGAGTTGAGTTCACCAGGCTTCTTCTACTCTGCCAGACAGCGAGGTATGTTGGTGATGATAAGGGTGAAAGATGATTCACTTGAACTAGTGAAAATTTAGAGCGTCTCATCTCTCTGGATTTCTAATCAGCAGCAATTCACGGCAAGGCAGCAACACACTAAAGCGGATCAAAACAAAGAGAAACCCTAGAAATGAAGCTCAAAAAGGCAGGTCGACCATGCTTGGTGTCGATCTGACACCGCTAGACGCGACTGGAGTTGCGCGTCGAGCCTGGGCTTAGGGTTGAACGCGACGGGTACCCACGTGACCTAACGGTATCTTGGCATTATCGCATCGACCCGAGCGAAAAAGCTTGGAATAACCATGACTGTCATTGTTTTTTGTTGGTCCTTGGTTTTGGTCCCTGCTCTGGCATGCGTTGGGTCTGGAGGTAGCTGCAGTCTGACGTTGTCTGCATCGGCGACCCCATTTACTGAGCAATGATGCTTGGAAGCTGATATCTCAACTGCAATGCTTGTCCAAAGCCCTTCAATTGGTCTTTCGAAACAATATTGACCTGACTATCGAGTCGAGAGCGTTTAGCGACGCCGATTCTTTCTCTAGCTCTGGCTGTCAAGGTTGTTCAGCTTGCACAAATGCAGTCTACAGCACCGAGGCCATGCCCAATCAAACGGCGTCGGTATGCGAGTGCTGCCAAGTTCAGGGCACATCAAGTGATGAGAATCCTCTGTGAGGAAGCTTGGGAACGATCTATCGCGGTGACGACAGCTCGCAGCGTCTATTTCCACCACCATCAGGACGGTCACGTTCTGTTTCAAGTTCACACCCAAAGATCCTTTCCCGCAGCCTCTCCCGTAGGACACGAGAAGGACCCCTCATCATGGCGAACAAGCAGTGGCCGAGCACACACACACATTCTCTGAGGGAAGCGGTGGACGGTCCTCCCCTTGTGTGACTGAGCTCACATACCCGCCGGGGCTAAAACCCGTGGCATGCATGAAGCCGGATGACGGAGGGCCGATGCTACCGATGCTAGGCCCGGAATGTGAGGCCCTCGCGGACGGGCCGCAGAGGAGGGGAGCATGGGGCGCGGCTTGCATGGACCCAGCATGTTTCTAGCATGGCCATGGGAAGCAGCAGCAGAAGCAACAGCAGAAGGAAGAGTTTCTTTCTTTTTGGTGACCTGATGAGTGTTTCCCTCAGAGTCGAGTTTCCCCCCCTGCTATTAACGATTCTCTTCTGCATAAGAGAGGATCACTTGGCAAATCCAGGTGGCTGGTCGTGGGGATACGAATGAGGCCACAGGCTAAGGCTCCATGTATTGGATGGGCGACCAATCCATACGGCTCACTCTCCGCTCGAGGCCGTCAGTCTCGCTCGAGTTGAGTCGCAGTGTGATATATCACGGGGCAAATACGACGCAGGTTGCGCGCCGGTCCTCGTCACCATCTCGCGAGCTACATAGTTAGCGAGCGAGCGAGAGATGGACACAGAGTAGTGCATCTGCCGCTGCGCAGCGCATCGCAGCGCTGCACATATTCTCTGACTCGCCCGATTTCCTTGAGCCGGCCGCGCATGAACTCAAGGGTTGCACCACACCACATGTACGCCGGGCTAGACCTCGTGTGTGCCAATGGTGGGAAAAGGACACAGAAGCTGTCAAGAGGCAAGACATCACGGCAGATGGGTGAGCGGGCATATAGCCTAGACCGTGCATGATCCATAAGATCCATTTCGTGTGCTATTGCAGCAGGGCATCGAGTGGTCTCGGAGCGGAAGGAGGATCACGCTGCCTGGGCGAGTTCCATAGCGGAAGACCCCGTCCTACCTTGGCTCGTTTGTGGCGGTGATGGTGATTTGCAAAGTTGAATGCATATGCACTCATGGATGGTTCAAGTCATGGAAGTGCGGATGGTGGATTAGGGAGGTTGGCTGAGGCCAGACGCCATTGGCTGGGCTGCAACGTGACGAGAGGACCAGAGGCTGGCGGTGCCACAGGCCAATGGGGGCTCTTGAATAGACGCCCGCGGGGGATCTCCGCCGAGGCCTCTTTAGCGGCCTCGAGCCTGTGATTGGTCCATTGTTTCTCACCAATGGCGCCCCCCGCTCGCTGGGTCACCCAGCACCCGACGGCATCCACGATGCACGCACTTCCCGCCCACTTTTTGTGCTAGCTAACCGCCGACGCTTGGGGAGGAGGAGATGTGATGGGCGAGACTGCGAACTCGGTATCTCCTTGCCCCGGGCCTGTCATTGGCCGGCCAGGTAATCTCTGTGAAATTTTTCCTTGTTTTGGTCTATGTCTTGTATTTTTTTGCTTATGCTTATTCCTAAGGCAACTAGAGGCAAGTAGGTTCGCAGAGGGAAGTCGCAATGCGATGGCCACTCTGCCGGGCCGCCTTATAAACAGGACCAACACCCTCAGCCCCCAAACCCTTCTCTTCTTTTCTTCTCTTCAGCAAGTCCCATTCAACCTCAAATCCGTTTTTTGTTTACCCCCCCGTTTGTTTGTTTTTGTTACGTCCCCGTAGAGCTGGTCTCTATCTGATTCTTAATCTTCAGTTTGTCTCCTCAAAGCCTGACAACCTGCGCCGCCCTTCGTCCCTCCTCCGGCACCTACAACTCGCGCGTCCTCCAAAGTTGCTGGCCAGCTTAGAGACAAACCAAAGAACCATCTTTTATGCTTTATTTGTTCGAATTATCAGCTCCTTCCATAATATTCTAATAACAGAAATCACGGATTTCACTTGCTCGCCCGACAAGCGCTACCTACCAACGATTGCGTTCGCGATCAGGTACAATAGTCAGCAGCATCGACCACCCAAACAACACAACTGGATTTCGGTGAAAACCTAGCCATCATGTCGGCTATTCAGCTCTCGTTTTCCCTCCGGGTTTCTTCCGGTGTCAAGACGGTCCATCTCCTGGGCTCCTGGGACGGCTACGTTGGCCAGCTCCCTCTCTCCAAGGACAAGTCCTCGTCCAAGTCGGGCTCCTGGAAGGGAACCTTCCGTTTCCAGAACTCAACTCTTGAGCCCGGCCAGAGATATTGGTACTACTACATCATCGACGGTTACCACATCGCCCACAACCCCAGCGTCGAGTCTATTGTCGAGCCCACCACCGGCCGCGAGCTCAACGTGCTTGATGTATCTCTGGATCCCGCCAAGTCTTCCTCGCATCGCTCTTCCTCCTCCAAGTCGTCTTCCAAGTCATCTTCCAAGTCGTCCTCTTCTTCCAAGTCGTCCTCTTCTTCCAAGTCTTCGTCCAAGTCTTCGTCGCACAAGTCATCATCGTCTAGCAGCAAGAGCTCCTCTCGCCACTCGTCCAAGGACAAGGAGTCTCGTTCCCACCGCCGCTCTAGACTCTCGGTTGACATTCCCAAGGGACGGCCTCTGCCGCTCTCTGACATTCAGGCGCCCAAGCCCATGTCTCCGCACGCGACCAAGCACATTCTGGAAGCCGACTACTACGAAAATGAAGCCCTTGAGGAACTCACTGCCCGCTTTGGAAGCACCAACATCGAGGAAGAGTACATCACGGACTTCACCACATCGCCCATCTCCAGCGGCTCATCCCTGTCCTACCGCTCCGACAGCTCCTCACCCAACTCGTCCCTGTCCGGCTACAGCACCCCCGGCTCCGAATGCAGCACTTGCACCTGCGAGCGATACGGCATTACTCGCAAGGGCGAGCGTGTCAAGCTCGACTGCGGCGGAGTCAGATGCGGTGGCTATGCCAATGATGAGAGTTCCGAGTGTTCCAGCGGAAGTGAGTCTGAGGATGAAGAGTACGAGTACGAGTACCAAGCCACCGAGGCCTCACCAGCCAGCTCTCGCCGCCACGGCATCATCGGAAGATGAGCGCCTGGCTGTGTGTCAAACCCTTTGGCAAGAGGCTGAGAGAGTCCTCTGCCGTTCATTCCTTGTTTCGAGCAACCCGTGGTCGCGTCACTGCGCCGGGTTGACTCAACCCATGTTGTTTGTGGTATAATCAGCACAATCCTTCAACTTACGGCCCACGCCCTTGAGCGCGGACGGCACGCCAAGCTGGTCTTGGGCAGAAGCCGACCGCGCCAATGCGTGATGTCCAGCTGGGTCGATGCTGCGACCCCCATTTTCCGGTGGCCATGAAGACTCCTCTCGTGGCCACGCAGGTATAATTTCATTCCCTTTTGTTTGTTGTTGGTTCCCGAGCGAGCAGGGAGGCTTATCCTCCCGGGACCAACGTGACAAATGCTGAAGGATCTCGTCCGCCCTGAGGATGAGATACCAGCTCCAGCAGGCCAATGTTTGGATGTAGCTATAGATCTGGCGATTGGAGGATCTTGGCTAGCCATTTTATGAAGTATGAGGTGGATGACGGAAAGGCAGTTCATGAGCTACGATACGATTTATGAAATGACAACTGCCTTTGGATGGATGACGATTGAATCTATCCATGAATGAAAGAGAGTCCTTTGATGAATGTGAATGAGTGATGTGAATATACAGGGACGTAAAGTGTCGTAGACTCGGTGTTTCGGGTTAATGTTGAAACCAACAACTCGTGCGCGTCAAGAGCGTCTAACGAAACAAGACCTGTTAGGGAAGGCGGGGATGGCGGGGTAAATTTAGACCAGACTAATGGGAGCTGTAACACGGACACGGCTGCACACCGTATCTCGATAATCTATCATAATCTGAGCCTCAAGACAACTCTCCTCCAACAAGAGTTTATTTCTTTCAATTGCCAAATATTGAAGCGCAGGGGGACTCGTTCTACTTTTATTAGCGCCTCCGACTCCTCATTCTACTCAAAACAAACTCCCCTCACATCCACCACCGCAACCATGGCCGACGACCAGCTCATCCTCCCCATCATCGACTCCCACATCCACCTCTATCCCTCCTCCGAGGTCGACTCCCTCGCCTGGTGCACCCCAGAGAACCCCCTCAACGGCCAGCGCTCAGTCGACGAGTACCGCGAAGCCACCGCCTCGGCCCCCTCCCTGCTCGGCTTCATCTTTGTCGAGACGGACCGCAAGAATGACCTCGAATCAGGCGCCGCCGACGGCTCCGGCTGGGAAGGTCCCCTGGCTGAGGTCTCGTGGATCAAGCGTGTCGCTCTTGGACAGCCGCGCGATGGAGAGGGTCACTCGGCCGATGATGCGAAGCTTTGTCTGGGTATCGTGCCGTGGGCGCCTCTGCCGAGCGGTGTCGAGGTTATGGAGCGTTACCTTGATCGCGTCAAGGAGGAGGCGGGCGACGCGTGGTCCAAGGTGAAGGGTTTCCGATATTTGGTACAGGACAAGCCGCACGGCACCATGTTGGAGGAGAACTTTATCGAGAGCGTTAAGCTGCTGGGCCGTCGTGGGTTCGTCTTTGATGTTGGTGTTGATCAGCACCGACGGGGCAAGAAGCAACTGGAGGAGCTTGTTGAGTTTGTCGACCGAGTCCATGACGGTGTCCCAGAGGAGGAAAAGGTTACACTGGTGCTAAGTACGTTTTACCCCTTCTACATTGGCACTTTAACTAACCTCACGATAGACCATCTCGGCAAGCCCGACTTCACCGTCATAAACATCACCTCGGACCCGTCCTTCCACGCCTGGCGCACCGCCATGTACACCCTGAGCAAGGATCCCCAGACCTACATCAAGCTCTCGGGCGGCTTCTCCGAGATGCCCGACTCGCTCAAGAACCAGGACCCCAACCACATCTTCGAGGCCACCCTCGGCTGGCTGGGCATCGTCCTCGCCACCTTTGGCCCCAGCCGCATCATGTTTGGAAGCGACTGGCCCGTGTGCACCGTCGGCACTGAAGATGCCTGGCCGCGCTGGCGAAGCGTCGTGGAGCGCATGTGCTGGATGGCCACGTTGGGTGATGAGGAGCGTGCCATGATCTTTGGCGGAACGGCCAAGAAGGCCTACAACCTGTGAGATGCTCTATGAATGGGCTAAACCAGAGTACATGTCGAGAGATGCTGTCGAAAAAGAATGAGGCTCAATGGAATGGCTGGAGTTGAAGCACGTCAAGAATTTAGCAAGGTTCATATTGGATGGTTGAGGCTCATCATGAGATGCAAAGTCACTAGATGAGAGCCTACTCATAGAATGAATGAATATATACCCCATCAATATTACTCGGTTTTCATGCTTTGCCAGTCCAGCCAGCTATCTACACATTCATCCTACTCAGCCAACATCATCAACATGAGAGATACAAAATCAATTGATTCAACAATTACCAATCATTCATATTAACACGCCAACCAGCCTACTACTCCAAGCGCCCATCAGCTATAACAAGCAAAACTCGACAAGCCCAGTAATGCCGTCACGCCTTGCCTCCTAGGAGATCGAGTCTCTCTCAGAAGCATCTTGATATATGCCTTGCAGAAAAAGGACAAAAACTCCCCGTCATACAGTTTGTGTCATAAGTTTCAACTCTCTTTCGTCCACCTTCAACATTTTTGATGATTCGTCATTCTTCACTTGTCCATCCTCCTTTACTCAGCTCCACGTCCTCGGTAGCTGCCCATCTTCTCAATGGAGCTCATGATACCGCTGCGGCCAACACCACCTGGACGGGGAAGACCGCCTGCGCTCTTGGTTCGCTCGTGAGGTGCTCGAAGGCCTGATCCAGGGGCTCGGAGCCCAGAAGCACGGTTGACGCTGCTTCTAAAGTGGTCCGCACTCCGCTTGGGCGTCTTGGCCTCGGGCTGACGGTCGTGCTGTCTCTCGTGAGGCTGGAGAGAGAGATGCGGCGTCTGCTGCGGTTGAGCTTGGGGCTGAGGCTTGGGTGTCTGTCCAACAAAGCTCTGCATGCTCATCATCTCCTCGGCCAGCTGGACCAGCTCGCCCTTCTCGACACGCTCCTGCTCCAGCATACCTCGGAGCTGCTCGTTGTCCTTCTGCACCGTCTGGACCACCGCCTCGAGGCGTTGAACATCTGCGTTGAGCTCCTTGATGGCTGCGCTATCACGCACAGCTTGAGCCTTGCGCTCCTCAACCTCGGCGCTGTCAGGCTCAACCTTGGTCATGGTTGCATCCCGGCCCACGCGGAGACGCTCGTTCTCATCGCTGAGCTCTTCGATGGTGCTCTCAAGCTCACGAACTCGCTTCTCCCATCGAGTCTCGTACGACTTCTTCAGAGCAGTCACCTTGGATTCGTGCTTGCTCTTGTAGAGGGCGTGCAGTTCCCGAGCTACACGCTCGACAGCGAGCTCGACTTCGTGGTTGGACGAGCTCGGGCTCTTGGGCTTCTCGGGTGACGACTTGTCCATATCCTTTCCAGCACGCATACCCGCCATCTTGCTCTCAGCTTCCTGATGCATAATCTCTGCAGCCTCACGTCGCTTTTCACTCTCCTCCAGCTTCTGTTCCAACTCTTCTCGTTCTCTCTGGCTGAGAACAATCTCCTCTTTAACCTTTCGCAGGACATTCTCCATCTCACGTCCACGGTTCTCCCAGCCTTCCTTCTCAACAGCGAGTTGCTCCTTGAGACCTCGTTCCTCACGGAGCTGTTCTAGAGACTCTCCAACACGCTTCTCGGCATCACCAACTGCAGCCTTGAGTGACTGCACCTCGGCCTCCTTTCCACTGAGAGAAGCCTTGAGGGAGCTAATCTCGGACAAGAAGTTCGACTTGAGGGACTCGAGCTCTCTAGGGGTGATACTAGGGACACTGCGAGGAGTTGGCATTGGGGGAATATCAAAGTCGATGAGGTTGGCGAATTGGCGAGCAGGGGTGGCCGCAACGCTAGGGGCTGTTCGGGACGGCGATAGGCCACCCTTGGAGGGTGTCTTTTGAGGAAATCGCATTTGCTCGGTAAAGTCGAGCAGATTGGTAGTGTTTCCAGAGTCTCGCATAGACATGGGTCGTGGCGTCCGGGATGGTGAAGGTTCAGCTCTGGCGCTGGCACGAGGAGTGAGGCCACCAGCATTAGAGAACTTGGTTGAGGTTGGAGTTTGGCCCAGCTTTGCAAACATTGTCAAGTCTGGCACGGCCGAGAAGGTGCTGAATGTGCTGATCATGGTATCATCCGGGCCCACAGACTCGTCCACATCCATCTGTCCAGGGGGGATAATGTTTACAGTGCCAATGGTGGTATCCATCTCGTCGTTGTCTTCCTCCAGCACGCTCTGTTCATCCTCAAAGATCTCAATGGCGCGCTTCAAGCCTTCGTTCTGCCGCACGGCGTCCTCCAAGCTCATTGTTCTCTCGTGCTTCGAACGCGGCGAGTCGATCGGGTTGCTGACCTTAACAGGAAACCGCTTCTCGGGGGACACCTTTCTGGGGCTGCGAGCGCTTGGGGGAAGTCTCTCGGCTTTTCTAGACTCTCTGGCCTCTCGCTGATCGACGAGGATCTTGAGTGGTGAGAGGGTTGCCCCAGAGAGGACACGCGAGTGTCGTGACTTGGAGGAGGAGGGAGGGACGTTCTCTTGATCGGTCAAGATGGCGTCGTTAGCTGCAAAAGGCGAAGCACCTCGCGAAGGGGTGTCGTTATCTGAAGGCACAGAGACGGCTCGCACCTCGTAGCTGTCGTACCGTCTAGCAGTAGCTGGTGTTTGGATGTTGAGCGTCGAGTCCTGAGCTGGCGATAGAGGCGTTTCCATTGTGATGCACGCTGAAAGCAAAAGCAAAAGCAAAAGTCATTCAAGAAAAGGTAGACGCCAGTAGAAAGAGGAGAGAAAACTGCTGGCTTCTTGTTGCTTGTTGCTTGTATTGTTCGAGAAAATGGAGCTCAATCGTGTCTTGGGGGCCTAAGACTAAAGCGAAGTTGTTTACTGGTTGACCTGGCAACAGAGTTGCGGTCTACCACGTGACAAGTCAGCTGACCATAATATCGACCTCCCCTCCTCCATCAGGTACCGTTCGAGTGAGGGTGCATGTCACGATAACACAAGCCGACGGGAGGCTTGCACTCGCAGGTCGGCGTCTTGGAGATGCTTTTGGTGGCGTGTCATCCTGCAGGTGAAACAACCCATCCCATCTCGCAGGTTGGAAAGTGCATCTGTACCACGGACCGGACCGACAGTCAGACAGCCTTTGACGACGGTTAATGTCCAACATCTTTACATACACTTTCATGACATGGCATCACCATCGGAACTCCCGAAGCGTCTGATTACTCACGGGCCATTCATTGCATGCATAAAGGAACTTAGACGTCTTGTTAATTGATGCTTTCAAAAGCCAATTCTGCTGACCAAACTCTCTAATTGTATCAATTCTGTGGTAAATAAAATCAAAACAGCTTTTATTGTCCTTCATAATTCGTTACCTAGTAAATCGACATTCCAGGAAGAAGAAAAACACAGACCGTCTTTGGCGCTATCAATCAGCATCAAAAGAGTCAAGAAGTGAAGAAAGGTTGTGTAAAGTCATAAAGTCGTAAAGAAGTGTCCCCAGCCTCCTCTCCAGGCCCAGACGCCCACCCACAGGGTTGGTCTTGCAAAGGCCGTGGAGAGACATGATGGGTCCGCCCCGAACACATCGTTCCCGCCTGAGGATCATTACAGGCAGTGCTGTCTCATCCCGTACACTCGTGTCGTATCCCGGACTAGTCCGTAGAAAGGGAAGGGAAATGTTGGTTGCAATGGCTCTCTCAAGGAAAATTAAGACCTCCATGCAAAACGTGACTCATCAAGCCATGTACATCCGTGACAGAGCATCTTAAGGTAAACAGAGAATCGGAAGTCGTATCGTGAACTCGTCAGCGTCATCTTTCGGTCCAAAGCGTTTGCCGTTGAGTTTTTTGCGAGAATGCCAGGAAAAAAGAAAAAAGAGCAATGCAGAAAACATGATAAAGAAATAAGTATGAAGGAAGGAATGTATCGTTGCGCCATGTAAACAATCAAAATGGCGCACTTCGATTATCCATTTGGGGAATGCGGTCAGCTCCAATGCAGCCACTTCCCCATTGCCATCGTTGAGCAATATCGGTTCCACTGTGCATCTTGACAGTCATACTATTGCCGCCGCGGGGCACCAACGGCCGACGCAGGTCGTGTCATGGCGTCATAAGCAGGCGCAGGAACTGTTGTCTCCATCATCGTCTTGCGTCGCTTGAGATCGAGGCTGCCCATCGATGGTCCATTACCAGATCTAGACAGATCATCATCGTCGTCACGACCTCGCTTGAGCACGCCAGCACCTCCGTTCATGACAGGAGGCTGGGCATAGCCATTAGGAAGCCCAGACATGTCAGCGGCCGGGGCATAAACGTCGTTGCCGGGAGCACCGTTGGGAGCTCCCCGATCATTACCACCAATGACATTGTAAAGGCTGCTCGACGTCTGCTGGACACGGGGAGGAGTGTTGTATCCAGTGTGCTGGTTGTAGTACGATTGAGCGGGGGCAGTCGTCCTGGGAGTGGCTCGTCCAGATGGAGGAGGGAGGCTGGGGGAACCCGACATCTCTGTTGAGAGGTTGGCATCATTTGTCAAGGCTCCGACACTGGGGGCGGTATAGTTGTAGTTGTTGCGGCTACCGTCGTAAGCGCCGCTGTCATGAGTGTACTCGGCATCATGCTCGTGATCTCCCTCATCCTCATTGGTGTGCTGCTGGGGTGGCTGATCCGACTGGAGCATTCCGTTAGGTGGCTTTGTGTCCTGCTGCTCTGCAGAAGGTTCAGAAGCCGAAGGCCTGCTCGCAGGTGGCGCCATATCATTCTTGGGGTAACTGCTGGTCTGTCCGTAAATGCGGTCCTGGGGGTTTCCTGCCGATGACTGGTAAGGAGACTGGTGCGGCTGCGGGTTATACATGGGGCGAGTGCCATCGTAGGTCTGGTTGCTAGAAGCGTAGTTCTGCATGCTCTGAAGCGAGTTGCCGGGAGGGGTGGTAGCTGGAGTATTGGGCATTGAGCGTGTGTTGTTAAGACCCGTCTCAATGGTCATTGGGTTGGTACCTTGAGCCCCATTCATTCCCTGACCCTGCCAGTTGAAGCTGTCCGAGGCTCCCATGCTCCCCATGACGCTGGATGCGCTCGTTGGTGGGGTGGGGAATGTGTGAGCCCGGTCGAGGGACGGGCGACCCATGGTGTGAGAAGGCAGCTGAGCCTGAGGTCCTGGGAGGGGCATGGGTTGGTGGTGGTTGATCGAAGGCAAGCCGGGGTGGCCTGGGTTTCGCATGCCCTCTTGTTTCCGCCTCTCGGCAGCCGCCATGACCTGCGTGGTCCTGCTCTGGTTCGCAGGGTGGTACAGGAGGGCACCAATGTTATGAACGAATAACGGGTAGAGCAGTTCTGTGATCTTCTCCTTGTTGGCAAAGTCCAGGGCACGGTCGTAAGGAATCCTATCAGTGTTAGTAGATGAACCAATGTCTCATGCATTGAGGGAAAATGACATACCAGACACCCTTCAAGTGCATTGGTCCGATTTTGACGACGTGTCGAACCTTTTCACTCTTCAAGATACCGTCTCGTCGACCTCGGGTCATGCCAGCCACATTCAGAAGCTTCGTACCGTTGATCATATGATTGTCTGTGGCCTCTGAGTTAGCTTGCCAATGCATTCTACACAAATACGAGAGCTCTCACCTTCTCTCCGGGCGACGCAAATGCCCCTGGCCTCAACCTGGAAGCACAGGCTACCCTCATCTTCCCAAAGCGTGGCAGTAACACGAGGCTTCATTCCGGGTGGGGGCTGTTGGCCTGTCGTATCAAACCCTGTGTACTGGTTCTGCATAGGGTTCTGGTTTCCAGCTCCCGGCAGAGGTAGCACGTTCTGGGGTGCCATTGGGTTCGATACTGTGGGCTGGGCAGGCGGGGGTGAGGTCAATCCGTTAGCAGCATAAGGATAGTGGCTGTATGAGGGGGTTGAGTATGCAGCAGCGTGGCCGGGGGGAAGCAACGGCGGTTGTTGTTGCGTATAGTGGCTCATGCCACCAGAAGTCACGGTCTGAGGCGCAGGGGCCTGACCTCCAGACATATGCTGAGAGTAGTACATTTCAGGTGCGCCTTGCCCGTTCATCGCGTCGTAGCTAGGGATTGTGGTTGAAGGACCTGTAATGGCGTTGATGGGCAGAGTTGGGGACGGAGTCTTGGGACCGTGGGAAGAGGCGACCGAAGTGTAGGATGACTGCGAACCCGAGTGGGAACCGATCGAGGAGCCGATCGAAGAGGCAATGGAGCTGACCCGAGGCGACGAAGTACCCGAGTAGGCCTGACCCGGCGGTGGAAGCGGGAGCGATGGCAATCTATCGCCGCTCATATAGGCAGGACGATGCTGGGTGGCTTGGAGGTTGTAACAGGGCACGTCGGACGAACCCCGGGCCTTGCCTTCTGAGATGGACTGCGAATCCAGTTTTCCGGTGTTCCCTTGGTTCAAGACGGGGGACGGATGTGAGCCGACCTCTAGGAAAGGTCTGTATCGTGTATAGATATGTTGCGCGGGTGAAGTATGTTGCGCGGAGCAAGACAACAGCGGCGGAGGTGGTGCAGAGCAGAGAGTCGTAGTCGAAGCAAGAGAATCCAGAAGCGAGGAAGAAGAGGAGCACGGGCGCTGCGGTACTTAGTTACTTTTCTTCCGCGAGCCTCAAAAAGAAAAAAGGTGGAAGGCAAGGAAAGAAAAAAAAATGAGGAGGTCGGTGGAGTCGTGAAGACGAAAGGAAAGAGGACGAAAAGAGAGCACCCTCCTCTGGGGAAGGTTTTCTTTTTGGCGGCGGTGGTGCTGGTGGTCTTGGTGGTGAGAGGAGCAAGAGGAGGAGAAGAGGCAGGCCTGGTACGTACCTCAGAGTCCCAGTCCCAGTCCCAGTCCCCCGTCCGGCCTCTCTTCTCAGAGGAGAGGAGAGGTGAGGTCGGTAGGTAGGTACTGTACCTGCGGTACAGTAGGTACAGTACGTGCCCACGGGAGGAGTGAGATGGAAAGTCGACGGGTCCCGCAATTGAAGTCGCAGGGAACGACTGGGTAGACCAGGGTGAGGCTAGCCTGGACAGGGTCGGGATGGGGGAGTGGGGGAGTATGGGAGGAGGGCGTGTGTGCGTGGGCACTGTGAAGGTGGATGTGGACGTGGATGTGGATGGGGACGAGGACGTGGCAGCTGGCGGGAGGGGTGATGAGAGAATGCCTGCCCGCCTCCCAGTTTGAAGAGCGAGTGAGTGATGCAAGTGTCAGTACTTACCTGGGTTGGGTTGGGTTGAGTTGTCTTTTGTTCTGTAAACGAGAATGTGAGCGAGTGGTTCACTTAAGAATAAGAGGTCGAGGCCATGCTTGCCAGGGGGGAAAGAGACTGCCTTTTGTAATGCATAGAGTGTGTTTTTTTGAGTTCGTTGCTGAAGAGTCATTAACGGTGTATATGGCCATGCTCTTTGGTGAGGAAAGTTGGTCATATGCCACGGCCACCGAAGCTGCCCCGAGTCTTTCTCTTGCCATGCCCTTTGATATGATGCCAATGATGATTTCGGTGGCTATCTGTCTATGCGCCCCGTTGTCAAGCCCCGGCGCTCGACTGCAGAAGTCGACGGGGACCAGATCTCGTTACTGCTGGCCTGCATCCACCTATGCCTCTCTACCTGTGCAGTACGTCTGGGGCAGACCAGGCAGGCATCTCAGCTTCTGGAAGTTTGATAAACGCGAAACTCTGAAATCTTCCGATAGACGCTGGCTGATGACCGCCACAAGTTCAATTGGCTTTCGAGCAGCGCCGAGATTTCATCTGTTACGTTTGTTTTTCTCCTCTCGAGTTGAATTTTTGTTGTGTCGTCGGTCGTCTTTTGTGGGCTCCGCGGTCAACGCTGACTATTACGCCGGAGGCGTGCCAGAGTGAGGGAACCCTCAGATGGCGGCCCGTACTGTGCTCGGCGGAGATCAAGAATACTGTTCGGAGGCTGGATCTCGCCTTGCCGTCCGCTGATATCCTTCTCCCAGATGGAGTCGAGCGTGATCCGAATGCTTCCAATGTTTCTTCTGCATCTCTTCCCCCGGCATCAAAAGGAAACACTCCACAGTCGGGCGCGCACTGGTCGCTCTCCTGTCAACGCACAACAGAGCCAGGGACCGCTCAGCTCGCAGCCAGCAGCAGGCAAACTCGGTGGATGATTTGGGGCGCTGAGAGTCCTGAGAGAGAGGCCCTGGGGCCAGCCAAAGAGCGTCCGAAGCAGCAAAGGTGGGTGGTGCGAGGGGCGTGTCGACAGGGGCTCTAAGAAGGGGTGGGCTGAGCAGCGTCGTGCCGGGTGGGGAGGGGCCAAGTGTGTTGAGCGGAGGAGGAGGTTGATCATGGGGGTCGGGTCTTTGATGTTGACGCTGGGCGGTTGCTGAAGGCGGGCCCGCGGTCCAAGAAAAACCTGAGACACCAACAAACTTGATGAGTTTTCTCGCTGGGCGATGAAAGACGCTCAAGGGTTAAGGGTTAATTTAGAGTTGCTCGGCCTTAGGGAGGCCTTAGGGTATCCTCATCATAATTTTTACAAAATTTTATATGCATTTTGTCCGAACATCTCACACGTACAAACAGACGACAGCGAGATCTGAGCGCCTCTCGGTATCTCGAGATTTTCTTCCACCTGGACCGTGTGGCCGGGCGTGGCCTGGGGCCTGCGGTAGGGGACTGGGGTACCCCCTGGATAGAGGGATCGGTCACCTCCAAGAGGCCCAGAGGACCCAATGCCTACAGGGGCCACGGGGGCCGCCAGGGCTGGGCTACAGCGTCCAGTGCAGCTGCGGATCCCGGGGGGCAGACGGGAGCGATGCTTGGTGGCATCGCCCCCTGGCAGCTCCGCTCACTCGCGCCAGCAACGCAGTGCACCCACTGGGCGGCATCCGCTCGATGCGACGGGGAAAAACCCGCGCACACGAAATCAAGATCAATATCATCCAGAAGGACAAAGGGTCATATCATCAACGCTTGGACGAGGGGCGCTGGGGAATGTCAGCTCTCCGTAATGCTACTCTGGGCTTTGCGCCTCTATCACCAAATATGGCGTTTATCGCGGTTGAAGCGGAGCTATAGAGGGCGCTAGAAATAACTAAACCATCTGCCATGCTCAGATCTGTTCGACATGTACAAGTCTTTTCTGTCAACCCCTCACCCATGGATCCTAGGTGGCTCGCCGGGGCTGGAGCTGGGGCAAGAGGCTGGGCGCTTGGTGCAGGCCGTTTCTTCTTTTTTTGCTTTTTCCATTCTTTTCGACATGGCCTCGGTCTTGGGCGCTTTGTTGCTCACTCACTGATTCTGTTGATGCTCTGGCCGGCGTCTCGCGGCTGCGCTCACTGCTGGACTGGGCTGCGCTGGGCTGCGCTACGAGCCCTGGTTGCTTTTGTGTCGCGTCATCCTGTTGTGGGTTTTGAGTGGGCTTGCTCTTGGGTGGTGGTTATCTTGTTGTTGTGTTATTGCTCCTCCTGTGGTCGTGTCGTGTTGGTGTCGTGTCGTGTGCTATGTGTTGCGCTGTCGTGTTGTGCTGTGTTGTGTTGTGTGTGCTCTTGTTGCCTTGACGCTATTCGCCCGTCCAGTTCTCCTGCTCGCCTTCTCTCGCGCTCTCCTTCCTTCTAGCTCCTAGTTGCGGCACAGCACTTTGCTAGCTCATGGTTCTTGTACCGTGTACCATCCATGGATGGATGGATCGAGTTGAAACCAGGTCGAGTTGAGCTCCGTGGAGTGTTTCCGAGATCCATTTCTGCCAATGGCAATTGGCCCGACAAGGAGCGACAAGAGAGTCAAGCTAGACGGGCAACAGAGTTTCGCGCTTCCAGGTCTCTGGGCTTCTGGCTCGCGTCTCTCTGGCTCTTAGTAACTCCTCTATCTATCGCCCATTTGCTCGCCCGTGCATTCTCAACGGCGCGCCAACCCAGGACGGGGACCGTTAGGTTGGGTTACCTCTGTTGCGTCAAGTGCCGGAATAGCTTGCCTGGTTACACCACCATTTTCATGTGCAACTACCGACACTTCGTATCGGGGAGGTTGAGAAACCAAACGGAACAAGAAGGCCTGTCTGTCTGCCCGCCTGCTTCAAGATAGTGCGGAGAATCCATCAACCCAACCGACTACACATGCAGACTAGGAGCGGAGAGGCTGTGCTCGTCTACTAACTTCTGACTACGGATGTGCTTGCGCAGGAACGGCCGTAGACAAAGAGAGATTCAACAGAGGTGACCGTCGTGCGCTCCGAGTTCCTCACAGGGCTCAATGGGTTTCCACTGTGATAGCTAGCCTCCCCTTGTCTCGTGCTCGTCACCGCCAGCCTCCTCCGAGTCTGGAGCCTGGATGACGGGACTGAGCGAAATATGACCACATCCCGGTCGTTGGATCTCGGGCGCAATCGCGCGAGCCGGCGCCCGCTGGTGCGGAGGAGGTCCATGGCCCGTGGACCGTGATTTCATGGGTCGTCGCCCTCCGAAGTGGCCGGATTCCCCCTCCAGGACTGGGATCCAGCCTTGGGACAAGCAAGCAGAGGCCACACGCCGCCGCTGGCGCTGGCCAAGTCTCTGTCTGGCTCAACACATCGACTTCGTGGCTGGGCTGGCCCGCCAGCAAACCTCACACAAAGAAACACAAGGACCCGGGCTAGCTAGGACACAGTGCCAACGCGGCACCACGCCAGCAGCTAGGTCATGACAAGACTGATGACTGTCGTCTACGGTATTTCCGACCCATGGCCGCTTGCCCTCGGGTCTTGGGGTTGCGCTGTGGCGGTCTCAATGAGCCACTTGCCAGGAATCATGTCTCACATCCTTCCGCCATCCTCAGTTTGTCTCTCTCTGCCATTGTTGCCTCTCCCTTGAGAAGGACTCGGCGGCTGACGGGAGTGGAGGAGAAAGATCGTCGATGCTCAGACAGCCCCAATCTCGTCCAGACCCAGATTTCTTTCTCTCTTTCCGCTTTGTTGAGTCCATCCCAGTCAATCGCCGGCTGCTTCAGCTTCCATGAGAGTTTCGATGGACTTGATCCAAGGAGCCCACTCAGTTGCCAAAACTCGGGAACCGGTCAGCCACCCGGGCGTCCAAGACATGTG